TGTCAAAAATTAATCATTCAAAATAAAGACTACGACAACAGTAACAACAAAGGGATCCGCTCCCTCAGACGGACAGGCTGTGGAAGGAGGACTGAGGCTGTAAAAGGAGGACTCAGGCTATAGAAGGAGGACTCAGACTGTAGAAAGAGGACTCAGGCTGTAGAACGAGGACTCAGACTGTAGAAGGAGGACTCAGGCTGTAGAAGGAGGAGTCAGGCTATAAAAGGAGGACTCAGACTGTAAAACGAAGACTCAGACTGTAGAAGGAGACCTCAGTCTGTCGAAGGAGGACTCAGACTGTAGAACGGGGACTGAGGTTGTGCAGTGGAGGGCTGAGGAGGCTCCTGGGTGGAGAGGGGGACAGCGGGTAAATAGCAATGAAAGGACTACACAATAAACACATCCTATTTGATCTTTAAAGATCTACAGGACGTTTACACAGAGTAAAAGCACTCTGAGCGAGTACCCTTTTGCGGCTTCCTGCTTGCTCCGCAGTCGTTGCCAGATGAGTTTGTGGCTGCACTGGAGGAGAAAGGTCATTGATCCAGTGTGACAGGGCCGTGCGGGGGCTGTGTCACCGCTTAAAGGCCACATATGAGTTTCAGAGAGGGATGGAGAGGCCGGACACCCCAGGGAGACGCCTGTGACACTAAAGCCTGCTTTTATCCCATCAGTGTGGGCAGTGCTCCAGCCAGACATGTGGCAGTGATGTCCAGGACTGAGTCGTTTGCACTGCTGACCCTTTGAACAGACTGTCTGCTAGTTTTATGATGCTCATTCAGAGTGGAACAGCATTAGATTAGCCAAAACAAGGATGATTGACTCAATATTGAGAAAACATAATTATTATTTTGACAAAAAAGACCTGGAGGGAAAGATCTCTATGTTTATGTGATGGTGGCAGACTTTTGTCTGCTGTGTGTGTTGTTGTGTTGTGATGTAGAGACACAGTCTATTGGAGGCGCTCTCCTTTCATCTGACCACAAGTAATAAAAAACAAATCTAAGAGAAGGGAACTGCAGGTGATGTGGCCGAACAAACTCAACAACAAAAATAAATTGAGACTACTAACTGATACAACAATAAAGAAGCATAACGGATGAAAATAAGGGAAAAATCACAATAAAAGATACAATTCAGACACCAAACATGACGAACCTCTTCCACAAGCGGAATTGCTAAGGGATTTACACTGGGGACAAAGGGAAACACTCTGAAGGAATAAAACACTGGAGCATCTGGGGGGCCAAGACTGCAGAACAAATCAAAGACCTGGGATAACACACTCAAAGGAACGGTTTGACCATGTGTTCTGATTAGGGGTGCAACGGTTTGAAAAAATCACGGTTCGGTTCGTACCTCGGTTCAGAGGCCACGGTTCGGTTCATTTTTCGGTTCATTTTTCTTTTTGAATAAACCCAGCTCATGTGGACTCGGCACCTGCTCTGACTGCCCCCCTGACCTAGAAATGAATTAAGGTGAAGGAAATGGATGGATGGGTGGATGGAAGGCATATTCCATCCATCCAATTATGTCTATTTAACATAATTAATGAAAAACAACACAAAGTGCAACATAAGAAGGCACTTTATGAGGATATTTACCCTCATATATTACACCACCTTCCTGATTCTCCCAAGGAGGGGGTCCATTCTGGGCCCAGCCTCATTCACTGCATTTATTTAATTTTTGGCATTATCAGTTGTGACTGGAATATTAGTACTGGGCCTTTGTCTTCCATTCCTCCGCTGCTTGTGTCAGTACCTTCGCTGTGTGACTGTGTGACTGTCGTAGAGGGGGCGTGTCTTCAGCGCCAGACTTTTCATCTCCCAGTCTGCGGTGATGAAGTGAGCGGTTCCGCTCATGGATCTATTATAGGTTCCGCGGGACGTCCAAACGTCAGTCGTGAACGCAGCTGAGGATGCGCGGGAGAGTGGACTTTAGCCCGGTCTGACTGTGCGTAAAGGAGCTGCTTAAATGCCGCGACAATAAGCGGTCGTTGAGACGCTTTTTTCACTCATGTCTTTCTTGTGCCACAGTGCTTACACACTGTGACAGTTTTGTCGAATATGAATCATCAGTGTAGTTACAGTGAAGCCAAAATGCTCTCATACTGGGGATTTAAATGACGCGGGGCTTTCAAGCATCTCCGTTCCTCCGCTCGCAATGACCGCGCTGTGTGTGGACTGAATAACGTGCGCACAACTTTTTTTTCATAAATCAAACCGCGGATCACGTCTGTACCGAACCGAAGACGTTGAACCGAACGGATCACGGATCAGTGATGAACCGTTGCACCTCTAGTTCTGATCATAGACTGTAAAAATTAACGAACGTAGTCACGCCTATCTCCTCCGTTCTAACTAATGGGCCAAAAATAGTGCTCTACTGGAGCTATCCAAAATGGCAGCGAGTGGTCCCGCCCACAATAAAATTGTGAAAAAACGCATCTGCGCATGCGTCAGCTGGCGCAAGCTCCCTTCATTTGAACGAGAGACTTCAAAAATTAGAGTGGTCCAAAAAATTCACCCCCCTCAGCATTGACACACATGTGGAATGGAGCTTTGGGCCAAGAGCCAACTTTTGGACCATCCTGTAAAGAAGTTTTTGAGAGGTCTGCCAATGCTATATGTTAGCATTGGCATATTCCGGGTCCACCCCCATTGGCCCGGGGTGGTATTGCAAGCATGTCAACGCACATCATTTTGAGCCGGGACCTGCCCCCACTGGTTCGGACTGAAAGCCACGTCACTGCCCTTGTCCTGAGTGGGAAGCATTTGGTTGGATGACATTTTGAGTCTTTTCTTACGGGTAAGGTCCGGCCTGCCAGACTCGTAGTCCTGAGCGTGTGTGTGTGTGTGTGTGTGTGCAAAGTACAGTCTATATACCCTTCAACGCAGCCCAGCTTCCCCCGGATATGAACTCGAACAGCACTTATTTCTGCTCAAAGTTCCTGATATTAGATGTGGTTTATGTGATTTAAGAATGGGGTCATTATGGGGAATTTTTTGGATTGTGCTATTGTCAGTTGGTATCTATAAACGTTCTTATGCAGGAGAAGTGATAATATACTCATGTTGAATGATTATTAATGAATAATAGACATATCTTTGAATTCTTCATGTTAAAATTGCAAGGCCTGGTTGGATCATGTGAGAGCAGGCTGCAGAGCCGAGGTATTCGTACACACAGTCGGCTGGAGACAGTGGCAGCGGCGTGTGGAGAGGGAGGGAGCAGACAGCCACTGCATTGCAGGAGGATCCCCAGGCACCCAGGGAGACACAGCAATCAGAGGCTGCATGCGGGGGCACCAGGGATGACGCTCTTTTGTCTCTCCTCAGTCTTCAAACCCGCTCTCATTTATGCTGTGCTATAAAAGAAATAATACTGACATGTCAATCAATATAGATTAGCAAGAAATATACAGTTTGTATCCCATTTTAATGGGACAGGGTGTATTAATGAACAATATTTTCTGCATGTAGAAGAAAAGCAGCCCCATAGCATGATGCTGCCACCCCCAGATTTGACAATGGAGATGGTGTGTATAGTTATTTTTCCACGACACTGTGTTTTTCATTTGGCTCAAAATCTTCCACATTTGTGGAGGGTCTAACAGTGATGATCCGCAGCATTTATGTATATTAAGATTTTTGGACAGTGGTCACAGGGGCCGACAGTGACTCAGTTGGTAGAGCATTGGCCTTTGAGCCTAAAGGTCGTGGGTTCGAGTCCACCTCAAGACCTACTTCACGACTCCCACTGAAGTCTGCTGTCGTTGTTTCCTTGGGCAAGACACTTAACCCCACTTTGCCTGAAGCCCCGCTGAAAGATCTCAGCTCCTTTGGACTCACCACCTGCAGGAGGATCAGTGAGGGGCTGGTGCTCTGTGTACTGGGTGCAGCTCTGACTGCCACCCCCCCGACCCAAAAATGGATTAAGGGGAAGAAGATGGATGGATGGATGGACAGTGGTCATCTTCCTTCAAATAGACCATTGACTCCAATGTGTTCTTTATTGTTGCTTTTGTGTCAGTGTAAAACCATGAACAGTTTTACAGTAAAATTTACAGCTAGAAAAAAGATTGTAAAGCACAAAAAATTGTTTCTGCGAGTGAGATGTACACATTTTTTGAAATTTTTGTAGTTTAGAAAAAGTTTAGCAAAGTTCATACACAAGGCAGCTCAAAACAAATCAAGAACATTAAAAATCATAAATAATCACAGTACATTGAAAAGAGTGACAATACAATCCTTCAGTTTAAACCTGGATTTGAAGAAGCCAGTAGAAGCCTGTCTCACATTTTGATGGAGACTGTTCCAGATTTAGCTGCATGCATTTGAACCTAACCATGCTTTACTACCTTACACCTGACCTCTCTGGGGAGAACCCTAACCCTAACCTTAACACACCGGCAGTAATAGAAACCCTGTTCTATCCTAGGGTTAAATTGACCCACGACAGTTATTAAAAATACCCGAAATACCTTTTTTTCAAGCTGAATTTTGTCATTTTTTCTACTTTGAATCATCTGTTGTGGATCCTTTTGACCTGAGGGTCGCACAAGGGTAGACCAACATCCATCATTAGTAAACTTTTCAAGTTGTAGCTCAGAGAAACAGAGGCTGAACACTTTTTTTACAAGCCCTAGTTTACACATTTGATAATAAAGCAAACATGTAAACTAGGGCTTGTAAGCAAGGACACAATTGTTGATCAAGTTGAGGTTGTCTTTCATTACATTTGAAGATAAAGGTAAAATACAGAAAGTCTTTTTAGTAAGCCCTTTTGATTTCCACTGTCTAATTTAACGTTGAAATACAATCCACACTCTTTCTAACCCAGTTTATCTTAAACCGTATTCTATTATTTAGTTTTCTATGTTTTTTCATAAAAAGGTTGTTCATGGTGAAGGCTGTGATCCTGCAGCACTATTAGCTTACATCACAACCTGACATAAGCCCGAGGCTGTTCTGAATTTAAATGAGCTGCAAGAAAACATGAGAAGACACAGTGGTGAAGAAGAGGCTCTGGTTCAGTATCACAAGATCAAGCCCAACACGTTTGAAGCCTTGAGTTGTTGTCGGACTTTGGGTGTTAACTTGGAAAGAAAAAGTACGTGAAAAAGTATTTCATTGTACAGTGGCAAGTTACTTTGAGTATTTAGTTACTTTACTTTGTTACTTCTGCAAGAAAGTAAATATGTTACTTTAGTTTTGGATTACTTTGTGTCACAAAAAAAGAACATGATCATGTTTGTATGTACAATCTTTATTGTACATATATATCCTGCATGTAACATGTTTGCACATTTCCTCCTTTTGCACAATCTGAGTGTTCTATCCATGCCAAATGTGACATGTAAATTTCTCCTCTGTGAGATAGATAAAGCACATCTTATCTTATCTTGTACGTTTGCTTTATTAAAGTAATTCAAAGGTCAACTACAAATACGTTGTTATTTCTCAAATGGCAGAACATCAACATGAAAGTAAATGTAGCAGGACACTTCTCCAGGTAGTTTTGAGGCTGCAAGTGTTTTAAAAAGTTTGAGGATGAGTCGACTGCATACTGTATAGTTAAAATGTTAAAGAGATCTTCTCCACTGGTAAAACCAAACAATCTCCTCATGTGCAGTAACGCGTCACTGACCAACACTGACTGTTGATGACTTTGGCCATAATAATGCTCAAGCTCACTAGTGTTGGTCAAGTTAATTAGTTACTGATCACTGATTACATCATCAAGAAAGTAATCCAGTTACTTTACTGATTACTTATTATCAAAAATAAGTAGATACTTTATCAACTACGTTACCTTTTTACTTTTCGAATATGTAATGCACAAATGGAAATGCTGTTCAGCATAAATCAAATGAAACAGGTTCCGTGCACATTGTTTCAAGCAACAGTTCAATTGTCTCTTCAGGAATATTGTTGAAAATGTTAAACATTCTTTCTGCACATCAAGTAAAGCCTCTTTCTTTTGGCCTATTTTTTCTCTATTTTCTAGATTATTTAAACAAAATAAGCTGCGGCGTCATGTCCTCTGTGTGTTTGCTTTCAGAGAGTTTGCTAAAGAGAGAGAACGTGTGGAAAAGAGGCAAGAATTCCTGAAGCTCCGGCGACAGCAGCAGATTGAGCGGGAGCTGACCGGATACCTGGAGTGGATCTGTAAAGCTGGTATGCACAATATTGGGGTGACCCGACGGCGTTATCTTGCGTTACCACGGTGACGACACCAGTTTTAATCCCTCAAAAAAGTGTATTTATTTCTGTAAATTATTATAAAATGTGAAACAAACATATGACATACATACGTAACATATAGTCTATATCTTTAAGATATACACTCATTACCTGCAGGGTGACATTTGTTATAATGTTGGTGATTATGCTTACTGTCCATTTTCAAAATATTTTCTGACATGTTTTTGGAGGGGGTTTACAGCTGTGAGCCAGTTCTCTACATTATTACAAATAAAGGCTTGACATAACTCACTTAATAGTAACTAGTATTTAATAAAGTCATTAATTAGTTCCATGTTGTAAGTTGAATTACAGAAGTAAATGGACTTTTGAACGATATTCTAATTTTCTGAGTTCATCTGTACATTAGTGAGGAGGGGAGCTGTAGTGACCCTGGAGTGTGTGTGAGCCAGAGTCTTGTCTGAGCAGTGTTGGGAAAGTTACTTGAAAAGGTATTAGCTATAGTTCCTCATTACATCTCCCCAAAAGTGTTTGCGTTAGAAACAGCGTTAAGAAGCGGCACCAGGGCAAGTGCTGTTTGAAATGTTCCTCCCATTAATGTGCTTTTAAGGCATGGCAGCACTAAGCATCTTTAAACTTCATTCAATCATTTAAAAACACAATGTCACTTGTTGCAGAGGAGGTGATGCTGGCTGAAGAGGACAAGAACGCAGTGGAGAAGTCTCTGGGTGCAGCGTGGCACAAGAAGAAGGCCAGCAACTCGGGTAAAAATGACTCATACTCATTACAGGAGATTGTTTGAATTGCTCGTACAGAGCTACAGACCTCCGCTGGGGACATAACTGAACAGTGGAAGGAATATTCTGATCTTCTCCATGGATACTTCCAGCTTCATGGGCATAATCACAGGGGATGTTGGCTCTGATGCGAAGCCCCGGCAGTAGATTCAGTTCAATTTATTTTATTTGTGGATATCCCAATGTATGTGTGTATAGCAGCAAACAAGATTTCTGCTGTTGTGATTTGGTGGTGCTGGCGTGGAGGACTTAACAGGCAAAGCAGAGTCGTTTCTGTCCTGATCGTGGGATCCTGTGTTGGGGTATAAAGGAGCTAGTGAGATGGGGTTTGTGATGGGGGTTGTCAAAGAAATATAGAATGGGATTGAACTGCATGGATGATATCGGAAGTGGGATATCAGTTGCTAAGAGGTTTGATCTAAAGTCTGGCTGGTTGTAAAAAGTTGTTACGGCCCCAGAATAGATTGAAATTGACAACAAAAGTTGTCGTGGAATGATGCATGATTGAACCAGATGTTGAAAGATAAAATCCCTATAAAACGCTCCCTACAAGAGGTCAGAGTGGACAAAGGGCCAAAAATAAAAACAGTTTGATAAAAGGTTAAACCTAGTGTTCCTGTTTGGAACCTACATGAATGATGATCCGGGTTGAAGACGGACAGTTGAAAGGAGTCCATGAAATGTGTTGAGTAGAGGGGATGAATGTAGCTCCATGAAAGCAGTGGGGGCATTAAAAACATTGCATCTTCTTTTGCTGGAATCCACCTCCAGTGTTGTAGGAGTGAAGAGGGATCATGGAGGGGGTGGTGTGACAAGCAGTTTCTGTGAAGGAGCTGGGGGAGAGCAGGGGGCAGAGGAGCGCTGAGGTGTGCCCAGAGTGAAGCTGAGGTGATCATTGCTGTCCTTCGTGGATCTGTTGGTTTGGGCAGACAGACTGACTTGGTTTGTTTGCAGTTTTTCCTTACAGTTACATAAACCCTGTGTTGGCCGAGATTCAAACCCAGACCGTTCTTGCCGAGAAGTGACAGTGCTCAACTCTCATAGCATGGTGGCATTAACAGACTCCCACTATTCTTGTCAAATAGCTTGTGTTCCTTTTTGTATTTCTCATTTTGCCCTGATCTCCTTTTTTCAGTGCTAAAACGAGCAAAGAAAAGCAAAAACGACTTGATCAATGCGGAGGAAGGAGAGGACCACTTCACCGACATTTCGTCTGTCGGTGAGTAAACTGGAAACATAGATTTTTCATTTTAGGTCATTCTTGCAAAGTTTGTACAACCGTTATCTATTTGATTTAGTTTCGAGGCTTTAAACATTCAAAATAATAAATCATTATAGCCTTGTTTCCACCAGTCAACTTGGCTCTACTCTACTCTTCTTCTCTACCTAGAAACAATCTCTACCTTAGGTCTTGAGCTAAGACTAAAATCCACACCAATGTTGGATTTGAAATTTCCCACTGATTTAGACATGTCTTATATTTTCAAGCCAAATATATTAACAAGTAAAACTAAACAAGAAATGATAATGAAACATTTAACAATCCCGAGTTCTGTGTTGAGTCATATGTAAGCGTTAAAATAGATCTGGAAATGATTAGCCCACTGCGCTTCCTGTGCAACTAATGAAAGTCTAATAGAACCATTTTTCTCCTGCCTTTTTGTGACCGGCACCACTTGACATAAGGTTTAATTTAGGGGACAGAAAGTTCAATATAGTCCAAGCCACTGGGGTTCAGCATAAGAGGTAATAAGCAGCCGTGCATCAGGGACTTTGTCTGGGCTCAGATGAGACGGATGTGGAAGAAACACAAGAAAGAAGCTGGAGTCGTCAGAGAACGCAAATTATACAATTAGACCTTTGCACTTCTCCAGTGAATTATCCAGGTGCTGAGGCTGTTGCTGCAAGTGAGTAAGATTAACAGAGACAGTGTTTTTATTCACTGTGTAACTCAGATACACATACTTAGTTACTTAAAATGTAATCTAATTTAACTAATTTAATTTAAATACTTTGATAGACAAAGAGATAGTTTATCTCAATGGGGCTATCCTTAAATAAATAAATAAATACATTAATTAATTAATAGTAGCACTGATGTTTCTACTGTAGATTTCATCCGTTAAAACGGGCGTGTCAAAAGTAAGGTCTGGGGGCCAATTGTAGCTCTGTACTGAACAGGGCCCCAGCTGTTAGGCAGAAACAATGTTCACTGATTTAAAATGAAACAGGAAGAACTACTTTGATTTGTAGCCTCCCTAATTAATCAATATCACTTTGTTCAGACTCCAGATCCACAGTGACCCAAGTAACACAGACAGACACCCAAAGAAAACACAATAAAAAATACAGACAGACTAATGTAAGACAGCTATCCCAGAGTTTCCATAAAGGGGACTCTGGGGTTCACCTGCGGCATCACTAAAGAGTTGTCTGAGTCATTGAGGCTACAGTGAATTTGAAATGCAAAGTTCTCAAGTCTGGCAGAACAGCAGACTGACATCCATTTACTGTACATTAAATAGTTAATTATCATAAATGTTACAACAAACAGTGTTTATTAACTGAATAAAACTCACAAATCCAATTTGCATATGTTCTCTCTGTTGTGTGAGCAGCTCCGCAGGGCTCGCCGTTTGCCCGTGGCAGTGTTAAGAGCAAAAACGAGAGCTCATCGTACTTCAGGAGGAAAGAGAAGAGGATCCGCTTCACCATTCGCAGACTGGTCAAGTCCCAGAGCTTCTACTGGACCGTCCTGTGTCTGGTGGGACTCAACACGCTGTGTGTGGCCATAGTGCACTACGATCAGCCTGAGTGGCTCACATACGCTCTGTGTGAGTCTCTTTAACACAACATATGCATTAAACTATCATAACATAGCACAGAATACTCTGCAGTAGTTGGTTCTGCCGAATGGTAGGACAAAGGTTTAGTGCATGGTCTGGCCCAAGGAAGAGGATTTCAGCTGCGTGTGTGTGTGTTATACCATCTGTGTGTCATGTATTGTATTAGTGTATGCACTAGGAGTGTGACGATATATAGATGTTTTGATATATCACGATACTTTCTCCCGCGATTGATTATCAATATGCATTTGCCAAGTATCGATTTATTTATTATATTATATTTTTTTTCTTTTTTATTAGTATCAATACTTGATATATGGCTACATTACACATCTCCATTCCATTTATCATGAAATAAAGTGTATTTCTTTGCTGAACATTTTTCTATTTTATGTACTGTATGCCATATATTGGTATATGGTATATTGCTGACCAATATATTGATAATCGTCATATTGTGATATAATCATTATCGTGAACTTGGTATCGCGTATGGTATCGCATTGTGAGGTACACTTAGGTTCCCACCCCTAGTATGCACTGTACAGTTACATGGATGATATTGTTACTGTCGTGTATCATGTGGCATGTGTGGTGGGGGTTCTGCAAACTTCCAACGCTGTTTAAATTATTTAATGAATCATAACTATGAATTGTAAGCTTGAACTACTGAAAGAGTTCTCATTTGCGTTCTTGTGGATATTTCATGCGATATACTGCATTTAGTATACGTAGAGGCAGACTATAGATAAGATAATATAAGAACATAAGCAGGAGATTGATTTGAGATTCTTCCCCTCTCCTTCTCCATATCCCTCCCACAGACCTGGCTGAGTTTGTCTTTCTGGGTTTGTTTTTGGCTGAAATGTCCATGAAAATGTATGGACTTGGACCGCAGAATTACTTCCACTCTTCATTCAACTGCTTTGACTTTGGGGTGAGTTTGTGTGAATGAATCTGAATTATACCGCTGGCCCTATTTCCTTTACCTGTCACCAGTTTAGGAAATACAAACCAATGGAAAAGAACTAATGCTGAATAATGTCCGTTACCTCCAGGTGATCATTGGCAGCATTTTCGAGGTGATTTGGGCTGCTATCAAACCCGGAGCATCGTTTGGCATCAGCGTCCTGCGAGCTCTGCGTCTGCTCAGGATTTTCAAAGTCACCAAGTAAGAGATTAAAAACGTCTTCTTCTTTGCGCTCTTAATGACCAACATGTTTTTTTCAGGTACTGGAACTCTTTGAGAAACCTGGTAGTGTCCTTGCTCAACTCCATGAAGTCCATCATCAGCCTCTTGTTCCTGCTTTTCCTCTTCATCGTGGTCTTTGCTCTGTTGGGGATGCAGCTCTTTGGAGGACAGTGAGTGTTGGAGTTACAAATGAAGGCCTGTCACGAAAAAATGTGTTGTTCAGTAAATGTATAAGACCATTAGAAGTGCTTTAGTCCTGCTTTAGCCCTGCTTTAAACCTGTGTGGCAAGCTGGACTTGACCACTATATTTGTGTCCACTAGAGGGCGCATCACAGTATAAATAGTCTCTTGTTGCGTCTTTGTTGACCTCTGCACTTCCGTCCCCGGTGTCGCGCCAGCCTTCTCCTCTAGTGCCGCGGTGTGGCATTGTGCCCCGCGAGTCCTGCTTTTATATGGCCATGCTGTCCTGTCTCTTTGGCGTCTGGCCGCCCTTGTTGCTGGGGTCCGAGTGTGTCGTAGCCAGCTGTGGGTCTGGGCCTTTAACCTCTTAAGATAGCCCCTCCGGCGGGGGCAAACGAGAAAAAAAATACATCAGTTGGCAATAGCAGATGTATTTTGAACTTCATAACCCACAAGCTATATATCATTTCAAAGCTTAGTTTCTCAGCTATATTTATATGTAAACAATATCAGACTTTGCATTAAAAAGATATAACACATAATATGGGCACAAAATACAGTAAATCACGTTTGTATACGTTTTTTACCTTTCGTCTTCTGCTGCTCCAACACATTAGACTTTTCCCATCCTTGCTTAGTCTCTTTCTCTCCGTAACTCTTCATTGAAAAAGAACATCCACTTGTATTTCCCAAAGTATAATCCATTCTTCAGAAATAATCCAAAAATGTGCGTTTTTCTGTTGCAAAAAAAAAAAACGCTCCGAAAGAGGTTCAGACTGCTCTTTTACATTTCGCCAAGTTTGAGCTTTGTTTACCCCCACAAACATCATATCCACGTGTTCCTTAACTCCTTACCTTTAAAAAGAGAGGTTCCATGAAGAGATACGAGCAGTTTTCAGTCCGCAGGACGCTTGTGAAAAATACGAACCGCATCCATTTGCACAGGGTCCGTTTGGTTTGTTGTTGGCTACACGGCTAGCGCAATGGGCTAGCACTGAATGATTGACGTGTCTAAGTAGCCAATAAAAAGAGCTTTCAATTGATGGGTGGGACTTATAGGAACCCCTTTTAATTTCACAGTAAAAGCGTGCGTAAAGACGCTGTTAGTCCTGCTGCGCATATTTTAAATGCATTTACACTACTAAAAAAATTATTTTGAAAAAATGTAAAAGAAAATCACACAGATTTGTAACTTATAAGTACCCAAACTAAAAAATATACTTTTTATGATGGTGAAAGGTTAGTAAAGCAATTTGGCACAATTTGGCGCAAATTTTGCCAAATAGGTTCCGAATGGCACTACTTGATAAAAAAGAGAAAATACATAAAAACTATAAAACTTAGAAGTCGGAAACTTTACACAGTTGTTGTCAACAACACAATGAACAAATTGGCTTTGAATATTTTCTTCTTCCAATGAAGTAGGCTTTTTTAGGGCATTTATACATTGAATTTTTTAGGCGAGGCAAAAAAAAACAGGTTTTTTTCCCAAACTTCAAAGGATGCAGAGTGAAATAGGAATGGCATACATTGTTTTAGTGTATATTTACATTAACTAGAAGGGCCTAGCTTTAAAATGATGCATCACACAAGCATGTGAGATGTAAGATGTGTTTTTAAATAAGCAAAGACATTTGGGTATGCTAAACTTTGGTGCACGAGCCAAACAGATCTAGGAGCTTAAAGCTGCACTAACTGACTTTGGGATTTTGAAGCCGCGGACTCGCTGGCCTCTCTCTTTCTGCTCCCCTGCCCGCACCCACGAAGCTATCGCCCCCCACACACACCCACTGTTGGGACGGAGCTAGCGTCTCCCAATATGGATAATACATGGATATGGATTTGCACGTGGATGGCGTGACCATAGAACGATAGAACCGGGAAGCGCGGAGGAACGGGACTTTCTTTTGGATGGCTGTCTCGCTGTGTAAGCAGTAACCGGTGACGAAGACACACGAAGCTTCAGGTTAGCTCCTCGGCTTGTTGTGCTAACTCAGCCGTCTATGCTAACGGACCTGTAGATGTCTCACGAAAGTGGGGGCCAGTGGTCCGCTGTGATTGGTCACAATCTGCGACCCGAAACACATTCTATCCCAATCCACTACATGGACATGGATAGCTTTTTTGTAATGAATACAAAAATAAAGTCAGTTAGTGCAGCTTTAAGAGATAAACCCTCACCCGTCAAAGGTGCGCACTCAGCATTTGCCGTAGAGAAGCTGGGGACTGGAAGATACACATCTAGAACTAAGAACTGAACTTTATATCATAATGTAATAAATCAAAGTAATGTCTGCATATGCCTCTTATGATTTACAAACCTGTGCGCCTTAGAGCGCTTTTTGTTTTTATTTTGGGCACCCTTGTGGCTGAGTGGATAGTACTCTCGCCTCTCAGCAAGAAGATTCTGGGTTCGGATCCCGGTCGGACCAGGGCCTTTCTGAGTGGAGTTTGCATGTTCTCCCTGTGTCTGCAAAGGTTTCCTCCGGGTACTCCGGTTTCCCCTACCACTAAAAATATGTACAATAGGTCTGGCATGTGCCTCCTGTACTGGCAACCCCGCTCCTATCTCTGTGTGGAGTGAGAGGACAAATGCCCAAAAAATAATAACAAATGTAAACCGCTTTGTGGCTGTCTGTGAAAGGCGGTATATAAATAAACATTACTACTATTTACTACTACTACTTGCCCTGGCGTTGCTGGTCTTCTTCTTTCTTTATTTAGTTTTTATATTTTAGGGGCGCGTAGCTGCCTCGACTTGCCACACTTGCGTTAGTCCTGCTTTACTCCTCCTTCAGCCTTGCTTTAGTCTTGTTTTTGTCCTGCTTTAGACCTGCCCTATAACTGATTTAGTCCAGCTGTAGACCTGCCTTTTGTCCTGCTTTAGACCTGCCCTAAGACTGATTTAGTCCAGCTTTAAACCTGTGTTAGTCCTGCTTTAGACCAGCTTTAGACTTGCTTTTAGTCCTGCTTTAGGCAAGGGAAGGGAAGTTTATCTGTATATACACAAGGCAACTCAACTTTCGTCCAGCTTTAGACCTGCTGTAGACCTGCTTTTGTCCTGCTGTAGACCTGCTTTAGTCCTGCTTTAGTTCTGATTTAGTCCAGCTTTAGACCTGCTTTAAGTCCTGATGTAGTCTTGATTTAGTCCTGTTTTAGACCTGCTTTAGACCTGATTGAGACCTGATTTAGTCTTGCTTTAGGCCTGCTCGAGACCTGATTTAGTCCTGCTTTAGACCCGCTTATAGATCTGATTTAGTTCTGCTTTTGTCTTGCTTTAGCCCTGCTTTAGTCCTGCATTAGACCTGCTTTAGACCTGCTTTAGTCCTGCTTTAGTCCTGCTTTGGACCAGCTTGTGTTTTGCACAGACAATTATAAAAAAAATTGGGCATTGGCTGGGAGATAATGGTGTGCATATAGTCATCTGAGCCTTCTCCAGACCACCATCTCAATAAGCCTCACAGAGAGAGAAAGGGCACGTGATAAATAGCGGCGTCACTTTAGCCTGCATGTGTGCATTCTTCCCGGTGCTTTGTGCACATAATGAGGTCTCCAGACACACTGATGCAAAATGTCACAATTACAACAGCTCATATGGCCAAGCAAACAGGCCAATGACACCGTCTACTCTGCTGGACCGATGACAAGCTTATGATAACGCAATGCATCCATAGAGAATTTAAAGTCACCCATACTTGTAACATATTTATTGGTTACATAACTGCTCAATTGTTTAAACATGTGATGAAGCCAAATGTGAGTGACGTGCGGTAGACAGGAGATGTGCCTTTGTACTGTCTTCTCCATGTTTCTAATCCAGGATATGTGGCGTAAAAAAAACAAAACATGTTGGTTATACAGACGTTATCACTGCTGATGCCAACGTAAGCTAAGGACAATTAGTGTAAATTAAGTGTTACGGTGCATTAAAGGTGTTAAAGGCTGTTCCTTAAACCTCCAACAATGAGTAGAATCACGTTTTCTTATTTGATATAACTACTATAGGAGGTCTGACAAGGCAAGTTCAGGGCCGTGTTCGCATGCTCTTAAGTTCCATGTGATGTGAAAGTGTTTCTCTCTCTCTCTGACCGTTTCTGTCTAACTTCTGATTTGCAAGCATGTCTCCCTGCTGTAATTAAGGTTTTTTTTCTATTACCCTACCATGTTAGCATTCTCCTAATGTGTGTGATGTGGACGCTTTGTCTTTCCTCCTCCTCCCTCTGACTATTTCTTTCCAACAGTTCCCTCAGTGGGGACATTTCTGATCCACAAAGATGTTTCTTCGCTGTAATAATTATTGTTCTTTCTATTAGCTTAGCATGTTAGCATTATAATTTTGATCTGATGGCATTGTCTTCTCTCTGATTTTTCTGTCTAACTAGTAACTTCTGACATACAAGCACGTTTCCCCGTCCTTACTGTCTAAATGCTTTGCGTTCCAACTTATGACAAATCCTCACACAATCACATCGTGTACAGAGCTGTTTTTTTCTTTAAAACAAAAGTATTGTTGCTTTCTACAATGACAACAGTGTGCTTTCAATTAGAACATGTCTGCATCAATGAATAAAGCGTCATATTTTCTAACTATAACACTGACTGTGTGATCGTGGACCAGGCATGTTTTTGGCTGCACTTGGCTTTGGCTTGATTACACACATAGATTTTCTCCTCCACAGATTTAATTTTGAAGATGAAACGCCGACAACCAACTTTGACACCTTCCCAGCAGCGATTCTCACTGTCTTCCAGGTAAAGGGCAAGCTGGTGTTTTCTCTACATTAGGGGACGAGGTATCAAGTGCCTTTGATTGCTTCTCTGCATATGATTGATCCATTGCTTGTACAGTAGCTTATACGATACTCATATAACTTGAAGACCACAACAAAGTAACAAGCAAAATCATACATTCAAATTATATTATTTAAGAATATAAAAGTCTTGGTCTTGCTTTAGCCCTGCTTTTGTCCTGGTTCAAACCTGCTTTAGATTTCCTTTAGACCTGCTTTAGGCTTGCTTTAGTCCTGGTTCTGTCCTGTTTTAGTCCTGCATTAAACCTGCTTTAGAATTTCTTTAGACCTACTTTAGTCCTGCTTTAGTCCTGGTTCTGTCCTGTTTTAGTCCCTCTTTAAACCTGCTTTATTTCTGTTTCAGTCCTGCATTAGACATTCTTTAGTCCTGGTTCTTGCTTTAGTCCTGGTTCAGTCCTGCTTTAGTCCTGGTTCAGTCCTGCTTTAGTCCTGTTTTAGTCCTGCTTTATACCTGATTTAACCATGCTTTAGTCCCGCCTTCGTCAGACCGGTTTGGGAGCAACACTGTACCCCTCGTTTTATAGTCAAAGATTGGCGTTATACAGCAGACAGAGTTATGCCTTTTTCTCTCCTCTTTTCTTGTCCTCATGACAGATTCTCACCGGTGAAGACTGGAACGCTGTCATGTACCACGGCATCGAGTCGCAGGGCGGGGTCCACGGGGGCATGTTCTCCTCCATCTACTTTATTGTTCTAACACTCTTTGGAAACTGTATCCTGCACAATTGATTGCCTCCCCCTGGTGACTGTCTTATAAACAAAGAGGAGGGAATTTCACATTGATTTGATAAGCAGCTCCGATGGTAGAATATTGATTCTGCTTTAGAGATGTTTTTTCCCCTTTCCTTAACACCGAATGCAACCAGACACACTCTTGAATGTCTTCTTGGCCATCGCTGTTGATAACTTGGCAAATGCCCAGGAGCTTACAAAGGTAATTTTCTCTTAAGTAAGAGGTCACAGAAAGATTTATGGTGATTTTCATGCTGTAATATGGCTATAATAAAGGCTTTAATTTCAGTTAATGTTAAGCAATCAAATGCAGATTGAACTCAAATTTGAAATAGTGTAAAGAAAAACATTGGAGTATCGTTGTATGGCTGAAAAAACAAATAATTACTAAAATCAGGTGTTGATTGATTTCATATGACCACAGCCTCATAAGGTCTTGTGGCCAGAAGATAGCCTGCATGGACACAGTCATTAGACCTCTGGAACACTCAGAACCAATGTGGCTTGAGCAATGAGAACTATACAATGAGTCAGAGAAATGTAATAAAACAAATATACTCAACTTTGTGGTTTGTGAAGAAGGGTCTTTATGCACATAATAATGGACATAGGTACAAACTTGAAACTTGGTCAGACTTCTTAAATTATTTACAACTCTTGCTTATATACTTTTCCGAGCGTCAGGGAGATGTTTATTGTTTTGGAAACACAGTTCAACTTGCACTCACTTATTCAAGTTGAACTGGCTGATGTTTGTCTGTCTTGGCCGGTCTGTCTTCGTGGTTCTGTGTCAGCATTGGACCCGATAATTTTGTGAACACCTCTGTGTCTTTCGCTCTTTTGACCCTGACTTGAACCGAGATGTTCATGGAAAAACAGTATAACAATTACTAACTGCCTTATGTTGCGGAAGGAGTGATAACTTAGATTTCCATCCATCCATCCATCCATTTTCTACCCTTTAATCCATTTCTGGGTCAGGGGGGTGGCAATCAGAGATGCTACCCAAGTCTCATAGCACCAGCCCCTCACTGACCCTCTGCAGGTGGTGAGTCCACAGGAGGACGGCTGCTCTCTGAGTGTGAGCATAGCCTTGATCTTTCAGTGGGGGCTTTTGGGCAAAGTGGGGTTAAGTGTCTTGCCCAAGGACACAACGACAGCAGTCATCAGTGGGAGTCGGTGGAGAAGGTGTAGAGGTGGGAACTTAGATTTCTATCACATCAAAGGAACAAAGAATGTAATGCTTGTGAGTGTTAGTTGACAGTATTTTAATGACAAGGGTCTCTCTTTATTGCAGGGGTATCCAAACATGTTAGTAAGAGGCCCACTTTGATTCAAACTAGTCCAGGGGCAGACAACATAGATTTAAAAACAGTTCTGACTGGATTAAGGATTTTATGGGGTTTCAAATTGGGCAGGATATTACTTCCATATTGATTCATACCACAGTCGACACTCAAATAAATTTAAAGGCAGAATTGCAGAGGTTCTTAGCATTACAACGGGGTAGTTTTGCCATCCCTGCTTTAATGAGTATTTATATAGCTGTTATAAAACGGTCTGAGCTTCGCCAGCATTCACACATGAAGTAGAAGAAGCTGCTTCACGAGGCTATTAGCAGTCAATGGGCTGTGGACCATTTCCTTTCAAAACGATGACACGGTGTATGCATGTGTGAGTGAGCGGTTCCCAGACACAACGTGCTTTGCATCTTAAAAAGGTAGAAAGTGATGTATAAATGTGACCAACAACCATCTTTGCTCCAGGATGAAGAGGAGCAGGAGGAGGCCATCAACAAGAAACTGGCTCTGCAGAAAGCCAAAGAGGTGAAGGAGGTCAGCCCCATCTCGGCTGCTAACATCTCCATCACCGCGTGAGTATTTACAAGAACAAAGCTTTGGTCTCCATTTGCAAAGAAACGGTTGAATTAGACTATTCTTGTTGTTAAATATTATCTATACAGTGAGCAGACAGGCAGATAAAAGCTATTCTTAGAGGTGGATGGTATGGGCATAAGTTTCCATATATTTTTCAGACTGTACAGTACAATAATAAAATGAAAAAAAATATATATATATTATGTTGTCAAAATCATGAAGATTTCTCTGTAAGAAGTAAGACGTTCTCACTAACTGTGCATAGTTGTAGATTGTTGGAGTAGAGAGCATGAAAAAAGGGTGCAAACTTCTAGTTAGGTTTTGAAATGTTAGCTCTTTGACAAGCATTATAGTCCACTTTCCAAAACAGCTATCACGATAATATTCAGTTTATTACCGACCTCTAACTCCACCTCTAACTGATCAGAAGATAAACTCTCATTCTCCATCCTCTGAATGTCGTCTTCAGTAACAAAATACTGTAGTCTTTTTGTTTTGAAGCAGTTTGTGACATGTTTTTGCCTGAAACCCCAACACTTTATCCACATATTGTTTTTCTGCATGAGCCCACTGAAATCCAACTCAGGTCTGGGCTGACTTATCAAAAACACTATTTCCATTTGATCTTTATGCAGGAAAAGCAAATCAAAAAGAGCAGCTTCCACAGTATACGGTTCAGCCTGAGTTTTAGCTCCCATTGCTCTGAATGGTGATGGGCAGCTACAATTTATATGTTCCAATGAAGCAGAGAAATTGTATAAAATATCCATTCCAATTGTCTTGCAGTTTCTCTGACTTCATGCGTTCTTGTTTTGTGCATGTGCAGTCGAGGTAACGCGCAATCTAGCAGCTCGTCCCTCGGCAGCATTAGCTCACTGTGAGTTATTACCTACAATTTTGAAATACTGCCATTCCCTCTACTCTTGATTTCCAAGCTGTCATCAAACGTGTGCCATTTACCTGGTCTGCGTGTGTGTGTATGTGTGTGTGGGTGTGCATCAAAAAACGTTGTGATGAAAGTGTGTACCTATACTGTACATTTTGCATTTGAGTGTCCTCTGATTAATTGTGGCTGACATTTCTGCATATCCAGCTCACATGTGTACACAGTTCTATTATGTGGTTTAAATGTTAGTAACCCCAGATTTAAGTAAAAGTACAAGCTTTTGTATGTGTAAATAAACAAGTTTGAGACATTTTAGACTTTGAAAGACAACATTACACCACTTCAGAAAAGAAAGTATGACTAAAAACAAAACTAAATTCAATTCAATGTATTTTTGTCTAGCCCTAAATCACAACAGCAGTCATCTCGGTGTGGACTTTACAATGTTTTTGATTCCTAGACAACAGGTCAGAAAATCAAACAGTTCAAACACTGGAAGTTGAATCATAACAAAGACAAAGGAGCCATTGGTCCATAGGGAGAAGTATGACCTCTGTCCAGAAAGGATTAGAAATGTCCTGGATCCTCACTGTCCTTAGACCCTCCTGCATCGGCAAGGAACAACAACAAAAAAACCAGTGGGACAAAAGTGAGAAATCTTGGGGAGGCTTACGTTGAGAGAGGGATCTGCTCCCACGGACAGACAGGCTGTAGATCCAGGACTGAAGGCTGTGCGTTGCAAAACTACTTTTTGAAATTTGTAAATAGTAGAAGCACCCTTGAAATGTGCAGTTAAAGTAAATTTAAACAAATAAATGTTTCACTTTTGCTTCAAAATTGAGGACACATCGGTAACTAGATACTTCTGTAATGAACTAACAAAAGCAGCACAAACCCATCATTTCTTTCGGCCGAACAGAGAAACAGGATGTGAGGAAATGTCAAATAGACTTAGGGCTGTTGTCATCACCTTTTCTCCATCAGCATCACATTCATCCAATGACTGTTTCTCTCTGTCCTCTGTCAGAAGTCCTGCATACATGTATGTGTCTTGTGTATATTGTTAAGAGACTTGATATGAAGCCAAAGGGTATTTTAGTTTGTCTCTCAGTGAAGCACAAAAACATGAAGCTACGATAGAGGGTACAACTTGCAAATGCTGAAACACAGATACAAAAACAATGTCAGTGAGAATGAACAGTTAACCTCTAATCAGCCTCTCTGGGATTTCACAGGCTTTTCATGTGATTGGTGCGGAAATACAAGCCTGTAAGAAAATGCTAATTCATCAAGAAGTTGTAATTGTATTATTGTTTAAATCAAGACATAACACATTGAATTGGGGAGTTTGAAAGCCACTGCTCTGTTTCCCCCGCTCCAAAGCGTGTATCAAAATCGTGCTTGTGCGCTCTAAGACTAGTTACAACACAGGTATGTTCACAAAGCTGAATTGTATCCCTCTTTATTCTCAGCGTTTACATTCTCAAGATCATGTTTGAGGGCACAAATAAGGCTGAAGACGTGTTCTTAAAGTGGTGCAGCCAATATGTATATGTGTGTTTGTTTCTGAGTGTTTTGTCTGTTAAGTTGCTGTCCTCTTTGTGTGTTGCCTCTCTGTGTCTGTAGGAGTTATGTCTGCACCCCAGTTCACCACTACCTGAGGTAAAGCTGGCTGTAAGCATGGCACTGTACATTTCACTTTATATGCAGCCGCCACCACAGCCTCATTATCATGTTGGCATTTCCTCTGTGCGTCCTGTCATCTTTACTCCATCTGTTTAAACTGTGCGTAGGACGGTGAGTATATGAGGATGGGGTCTGTGGTTCGTACAGCATGGGACGTACTGGATGTAATAATAACTTGGATCTTCATTTAAATTAAATCACACCATGGAAACTTGTTCATTCATGTAAACTATGACTGTTACATCCTGCTTAAAGCAACGGTACAAACTTTCTTATTGAATAGTTGACTAACATAATGGCATGAATGTATTAACATGTGTCCTATCTGTGAGCTGTAGTTTCAGAAAGTTTGGCATGAAACACAAAATGTTCCTTATGGTTTAACTGTGTATTTCCATGGACCTATGCTATTGGTTATTGGCTTTGATTAATGGAGGCATCCATATATCATCTACATTTTTGAAGATAGAAGATTCAATTTTTAACAGAGAGACCAGAGAGAGACCAAAGTTAGACCAAAGAGAAGACAGAGTCCAGAGAGAGACAGCAGAAAGATAGGCCATAGAGAGTCCAGAGAGAGAGAGCAGAGAGATAGACCAGAGGAATAGACCGGAGAGAGAGCAGAGAGAGAGGCTAAATAGAGTCCAGAGAGAGAGAGACCAGAGGGAGAGGGACACAGATGCAGGTGAATGTGGTTATTGCCTTTGTGAGGAGGGGCAGAGAGGAAAGGGGGTGGTATTCAAAAGTTTTATAGTCTGAGGAGACAGGAGGTCGGAATCTTGAGAAATACGTATCCAGGCAAAATAACATTTCTGTTTTGCAAAAAAAAACCAAAAAAATAACACAATTAGCCTGGTGCACTATCATGTTGTATGGTTTAAATCAGCCATTCCCAAACTCAGTAACACCGAGGCCCCCTTAAAAATCTGACGGGTCTGAGTGGCCCCCCAAAATAATAACCAAGAAGACAACATTAAGAATAGGCTCTTCTGGTTATTTTATTTTGGGGAAATAGCCTCTGCTACAAACATTGTAATACAAAAATTATTACAGTGGATTATTCAAGTCAAATAATGAACACAAATATTTTAATATTACAAACAAAACATTATAAATTTAACATTAAATAATTATATATATATATATTTTTTTTTTTATGACCTCCCGCGGCCCCCCTGCAGTACCCTCGCGGCCCTCCAGGGGGCCGCGGACCCCACTTTGGGAGACACTGGTTTAAATGATCAAGACAAGAGCATTGTAACCAATGATTAATTTGATTAAGTTGATTGATAATTTCAGCAAGCTATCTTTAACACTGATGTTTTTCCACACATTTGTATAAAGGACGTTTTCACCACATATATGCTCATTACCTTAAGTTTCACACAGTTCTTGGGATTCGTGACATCCAAAACCAGGAACATGTTCACTAAACCATAGAGCATGATGTGATAAGGATCTCTATCACATATTATTGATTTACAACATCAATTACATGGAACTGGCTTTGACATCTTGTTTGTTTAGTCCAGGTAAATCCTCTTCCTGTTAACAAAAAAATAATAATTTCAGATGGTGGATGCGTCTTTCACTGTCCCGAGTGGCTGCAGGTTTTCAGTCCAACCAAGCAGGAGCACACCAGACTCAACCTGATTCCTCCAGTGAGTCCAGTCTGTCCTGGAGACATGAGATGAAATGGGTGGAGTTTGGTGTGCTCCTACATGGTTGGGAGGGAAACCTTGGTATGAAAAGGACCATGGTGAACACCCCTGTACTATAGTTTTGGAAGAATGAGTTAAGTCAATGCAGCAGATGTCAGGCTTTATAGGTGATCCGCCAACCCGAAACTCAGATCTCTTGTTTCCATTTCTTCCAACACATTGTCCAGAGATACTTGATATCACTTGTATTTTCTCTGATTGGATTCGGACGCCTCCCCCGTTGCTCCTGTGTCCAAAGTGCATGTGTTCAATCATTTCAAAGTGCTGTATTACAATCAATGGAGACTTATTGTATGTCAGAGCATGGAGCTATGGCTCAGACATTGTAATCCATGGTCATGTCCTACTGTAGATCAGTCAGGCTGCTGCACTTTTGTAATTTTCCCACTGAGGGTCTAGAGTTTCATGTATTAAGGACAATGTGCACATACATTTAAAAGATAGCTGCACCAGATTTACTTTACTACATCTGTAGTCCTTGACAATACTATCATATAACTTAACTAAAATACAGTTAAATAAAAAGTGCAAGTTACTAACATACACATTAAAATACTATTCATTGTTGCTGAACTAATGCTCAGAGCAAGCCAGAACATCCCATGACCCGCGTTGCAGATTCTGCCTCGTTCGCATTACTGTCGGTGTGAAGAAAGTTACTGTTTGTGTGAAGGCAGTTACTGTCGGTGTGAAGACAGTTACGTATTGTGCATGTGCGTCCTGTTGTTTTAACTCTGCCTTTCGGTGCGTGTTTTGCATAATTATTTTTGTAATAGATTCTTGTTTGGTTGGTTCTTTTACATAACTGTGGTCCTCCATGATCCCTTTTCTAAACTTGTCAGGGCACGGTGGAAGCAACGATATTAGTAGAGCCTGTGAAACAATGCAATTCTTGTATTCTTTGTGTCAGTTATCAAGATGGTGCATTGACATGGAGAGTCCTCCAGCTCTCATGTACATTTATAATTCAAATTCTAAGTCTTATGACAACAATTCAAAAACATGGTGGAGGTAAACATTGTTAATAAGGTCACGTTTGCTATTGGTTAACATGTTTTTTCATTTGGAGTACCTTTGGGGGATTACATTGGGGCAAGGTGATTTATGTTCCGTGGTCTTTTTTCTCTGAGCTTTTAGCTGGTATTAACCTGTTTGTCTCTACCTCTCGTTCAGTAAGGAGCAGCAGAAATCCATGAAGACCATGTCCGTCTGGGAGCAGCGAGCCAACGAGATGCGGCGTCACAACTACGCCAGCTGTGAGGCCCTGTACGACAAAATAGAGGGGGAAGACTCGCGCCTTTGCCCACTTCGACCCGACATGAAAACGCACCGCGACAGGCCTCTCGTAGTCGAGCCACGGGGAGAGCCCATCCTCGGTGAACAAATAACGCCAACCGAAAACGCTAAAGAACCAGAATCAAACGCTGAACCTGTAGCTCCCGCCTGCCACCAGTCACGCAGACATCACAGGCACAAAAGCAGAAGAAGCAATGAGAATGGAGACAGCGGGAAAGAAGGGCGACATCACGTGCACCACAGTCGCTCCAAAGACCCGGACGCAAGTCGGAGCAGAGATTGTAAAAAGGAGCGGTCGCGGAGCAGAGAAGCCGGGCGCAGACATCACCACCAGAGCTCAGTGGAGGACAGCACGGGCCTGACCAGCGAGAGGGAACACAGGCACCATCATTCACACAGGCAGAGCAGGGAGGGGAACGGGACGGTGAGCACAGGTGGCCGGGGCGAGAGGAGGGCCCGGCGCAGTAAAGAGGGGGAGAGGAGAGACGGAGGAGAGAGGAGGAGGCCTCACACGCACAGCTGCAAGGGGCAGTCCACTATGGAGACAACAGAGGATGCCCATGTTCCCAGCCACAGGTAAACAGTGCAGGGGAAGTAGCAACTGATCAGAGACAGGATGAAAGTCCTGCCTAACGATCAGAACCAGAATGTCTTAGTGCCTTTGTTGATTCATTGTAAATGTTATTGAGTATTTCATTTATATATTCATTTGGATGGGACAGTGCGTTTTAATGAACAGTGGAGATACACTACGGTTCATTAAAATACAGATAATTTCCATTGGTAGTCAAACTCACAAACACACACTCATTAGCTATTGCACGCGTTTTTAGTGGTAAGAGAAAACGGAAACCTATGCAGACACTTGTTGCCTTCTCACTTGACACACATGTACTGATATTGTGTTAGGGTTGGGGACTCGGAAGGGGAGTCTCTGGCCATCTCCCCTAAGAACGGCACAGAGTCCTGGGCCACAGAGCGAGCAGAGGACTCAGACAACCAGAGGAACGTGAGGAGAACCGGGCCGGTCCCTTCAGTGCCCCCTGTGACTGTCACTTCTCCTCCAGCCCACGACACCACCATCATTCAGAGTGAGAGGCACACACTCATATACAGTAGGTCACACAAACCTTTTACCTTCTATTCTATTACATTTATTTGTGTATCGTGTTAAATCACAACAGCAGGACTTTGCAAAGTTGTCAATTCCTTAACAGCACATATCGGAGAATCTAACAGAAGAAATGAATAACAAACGCATAGGACCCATTGGTCTTTTAGGGGGCAGGATGACCACTGTCCATAAATGCTTATACATGTCTATAAATATCCCAGATCAGGCCCGTAGACCCTTTAGCTGTAGATCCAGGACTCAGGCTCTAGAGCGCAGGCTGAGGCCATACAGTGCAGGACTGCAGAGGCTACCAGGCAGGGATTATCAGCCTGTATTATACGGACAAGAGGCCTGGTCTTGTAAGATAAGATAAGATAGACGTGGAGTATGTGTCATTGTGCACTCTAGTTTTAAAACATATTTTGTTGATGACAAGGCAAATCCTACCCACTGGTCCGTGTCTCTGGATCTGAGGGGGGAAAGACCTGCCGTCCGTGGGTGCAGACTGTGTCTCCTGGGCTGCCATAGAATTTCACCCTCATGTTATGTAGATAAAACGTTCTTTAGTGTAAGTTAAAGGTTTTCCAGAACAAAAGTTATAGCGTTTGCTTTCGATAGAGCCAACAGCCTATGAAAAGCAATTATCTTTCATGAATGCTGATCTCAAAATCATTCATAGCTCATGGATAAAGACCAGACATACAAACTTAGAGACCCAAGTTTTTGAGGAAGTACAATAGATGCATGAGTTGCTGTTTTTATGGTTTGAATATTGGTAACTGTCATAATGTTTTCTGGCTTATGTCTCTGATCCTTTCCCCAGTGAACAGCATTGACTCTGAGACCATGCCCATGACAGAGAAGCATTTGGAAGACATTGGTGCGAGCGGCCCCAGACCCATCCTGCCCTACAGCTCCATGTTTATCTTTGGACAGACAAACCCGTGAGTCCACCATGTGATGTTTGGAGCACTGTGATGCAGTGTTCCAACAGTCATTGTGATGGTATACTGCATCTCTCATCGACAAAACAATACAAAAGTCTTGAACCTTAGTGCTGGAAAAGGCTGGACAAATGGTTTCATATTGTTGTATTTTGTTTTTCTTCACTGTGAGGTCAATACATTGAGTCTAATAACTGTTTCCATCCTCTTCATGGGTCTTATATAGAAAAAAACAATTTAATTCTAATCGATACACTTTATACTCTACCAATTTCAAAAGCAAACATCTATTTTCCTTCTGAACTGAGACGGCCAAACTTTCAGTAAAATTTCATGTATTTGTGTATAGCCCTAAATCACAACAGCAGGACTTTACAAAGTTCTTGATTCGTCCACAATAGATCAGTGATTGAACACAATACAAACAAACAGATAGGAGTCCTTGGTCCATAGTGGAGCAGGATGACCACTGTCCAGAAATGCCCTGGATCATCACTGTCCGTTAGACCCTCTTACTTCAGCAAGGAACCACAAGAAAAGTTATTAACTTCAAGGAGACCCACATTGAGAAAGGGACACATTCACACAGGACTCAGGCTGTTCTCCACTTCATTAAGCCTAGCGTACATCGACAGAGAAACTGGAGACAACTAGTTTGGCTTTTGGCAACTGAGAGTAGATGATGGGAGATGATCAGTTGCCGAAATCGGTCGATGTGAGCGCTCTTACAACTGGAGATAAACAGTCGATCTCCGGATTCAGTCAGTTGCCCGTGTTCTTCTTTTCGGCAACTAGTTGTCCTCAGATCCGGAGATATCACCCGATGTGCACGCTCCAACAACACGTGTGTATTGCGCGCCCTGGCCAGTTGCTGTCGATGTACGCGCTGTTATTCCTGAGACTGGCCTGCTACCAGGAGTTGCCGTTTTTGCCATATTGTCGATGTGTGCGGGGCAGCAACTCATAGGCGACGGATATGATCAGTTGCCAGTCCGATGTACGCTAGGTATTAGAGGTCTTTGCAGGCCAGCTGAGAGACATACTCCCTCCAGCGTGTCCTGCCCTTTCAAAAGGGTCATGTTCTTCCACAAAAAAAAATCAAATATTGATTAGTGATGGGATTGGTGGAAGGGGGAGGGGGTTCATAGATCTATAGGAACGATTAGGGCTTACTCTGCTTAAATAACACTATGGGTAACTCAACACCACTTTGATGCCGTTGTTTCACCATGATTCTGGTGTCTTTTTCCCAATAACGTCTCATCTTGTCTATGTTGTTGTTCATAGAGTGCGGAGGCTGTGTCATTACATAGTGACTCTACGATATTTCGAGATGTCCATTTTAGTGGTGATTGCCATGAGCAGCATTGCTTTAGCAGCGGAGGACCCAGTGTGGACCAACGCCCCCCGGAACAATGTATGCATTTCACTGTTTAATACAAGCTCATCTTTGCTTTCTACTTCTAATGTTGTTGATCCCTCCAGGTGTTAAAATACCTGGACTACGCCTTCACTGGAGTTTTCACTTTTGAAATGGTTATAAAGGTAAGTTTTTGTATGTTGTACAGCTTAACCGTTTAGATCAGTGGTGTCAAACTGGTTCCAGAATGGTCTCTCTTTCTTAGGTCTATTTCTGGTCTCTCTTTCTGGTTTCTCTCTCTGATCTTGGCCGGGGTGTCTGCAGGTTTCATTCCAACCAAGCAGGAGCACACCTGACTCCATCCATTTAATTCCTGCTTGGTTGGAATGAAAACCTACAGCCACAACTGCCCTTTGAGGACTGGTTTGATACCCCTGCTTTAGACGCTAAGCTCTTTCCATTCAGCGTCCTGGCAGTTTTCTTACATATTTTTATTCAATTTATTTCTGGTATTGTTTTAGTAGTCCCCCGTCACATATGAAGTTCCAGGGATCCACATTTTGTCTGTTTCGCATACATTTTCTAATTACTTAATTACCAATTACTGTTTTTTGGCTTTTCACAACGTTACAAACTTTTTCTCATCATAGCTAAACCTCAGATTCAGATTCAGATTCATTTATTTGCCATTTGCAGTAAAACCACATTGGAAAAACTGTGCAAGACTACCCCGGTGTGCACCAGACAGAGAAGACGACACACACCAGAGCTCTTGCCACGGCGCCATCTTTACGGCGCCATGCGACAAACAGTAGAATAAACAGCAGAGAGCAATAACATACAGTTTCACAGACAGTTGGATAGACACATTGTGCTTTGTATAAACCACGGATTTCTTTCTCGGGATGAGCACCTCCGACTGCCGGCCGAATGTGGCTGTCAGAGGGGGGCGGGGTCAGGGAGGGGGTGAGTCGGAAACACAATGAGGAGTGGAGGGGAGGGAGGGAGCAAGATGGATAGGTAGAGGGAGGCGGGGGAACGGGATCCGAGCTGGACTGAAATAGTGTGAGATTGTTGTAGATGGGGACCTTGTTATTATGGCCTTGGCCGAGGAATGTGAGATAAGAGTGGAGAGAAGACACAGCAGGAGAAAAACACATCGCCTGAGGGGGACAATATTGTATGCAATGTAGCAGTCAAAAGCAGGCAGATATTCTATTAAATCCAATTAATCCGAATTGCGGCGCCCTCAGACCTCCGTACACAGGGCCAAATCCAAGCCGGGTCAGAGAGTTCAAGCCTGACACACGATGTCATTCAATCTCAACTCCAGAGTTTTATTCCCTTCGAGTGAACGAGCTGCGAGGTCTTTTATCAACTGTTCCACCAAAACCACTCTCCTTTGTCCAGACACGGCGCTCTCAACTACGACTCGGCTAAGCTCCTTGTACATCCCATTAATTTTGTCGGCCAGCAGGTCGTGAATCTTGCGAACTGCCATGCCTCCGAATTTGCGATAGAAGAGAACCGCTCCAAATCCAAACAGGAGGATCCCCACCACCAAAATGCCAAAGATATATACGTCTTCCGAATCTTCAATAGTCGACAAACAGAGGGGCTGAAACTTGTTCCAGCTGTCAAGAGTATACCCCACAGGTGAAGTCCCGTCCAGACCCACGCTTACGTGTTGAAAAGATAGAATCAATTGCGTTGAGGGACCAGTTAATCATTTCCATTCTTGTTAAAGTTGTCTGTGGCAAAACTCCAGGAAAAAGACAAAAACAGGAGATACAGTGCCTTGCGAAAGTATTCAGCCCCCTTGAACCTTTCAAAATGTTGCCACATTTCAGGCTTCAAACATAAACATATAAAAAATATTTTTTTTGTCAAAAATCAACAACAAGTGGGACACAATCGTGAAGTGGAACGAAATTTATTGGATAATTTAAACTTTATTAACAAATAAAAAACTGAAAAGTGGGGCGTGCAATATTATTCGGCCCCTTTACTTTCAGTGCAGCAAACTCACTCCAAAAGTTCAGTGAGGATCTTTGGTCGCTTGGGGTATGTCTCTATCAGTTTTGCACATCGAGAGACTGGAATTCTTTCCCATTCTTACTTGCAAAACAGCTCGAGCTCAGTGAGGTTGGATGGAGAGCGTTTGTGAACAGCAGTCTTCCGCTCTTTCCACAGATTCTCGATTGGATTCAGGTCTGGACTTTGACTTGGCCATTCTAACACCTGGATACGTCTATTTGTGAACCATTCCATTGTAGATTTGGCTTTATGTTTTGGATCATTGTTGGAAGATAAATCTCCGTTCCAGTCTCAGGTCTTTTGCAGACTCCAACAGGTTTTCTTCCAGAATGGTCCTGTATTTGGCTCCATCCATCTTCCCATCAATTTTAGCCATCTTCCCTGTCCCTGCTGAAGAAAAGCAGGCCCAAACCATGATGCTGCCACCACCATGTTTGACAGTGGGGATGGTGTGTTCAGGGTGATGAGCTGTGTTGCTTTTACGCCAAACATATCGTTTTGCATTGTGGCCAAAAAGTTCGATTTTGGTTTCATCTGACCAGAGCACCTTCTTCCACATGTTTGGTGTGTCTCCCAGGTGGCTTGTGGCAAACTTTAAACGAGACTTTTTATGGATATCTTTGAGAAATGGCTTTCTTCTTGCCACTCTTCCATAAAGGCCAGATTTGTGCAGTGCACGACTGATTGTTGTCCTATGGACAGACTCTCCCACCTCAGCTGTAGTTATCTGCAGTTCATCCAGAGTGATCATAGGCCTCTTGGCTGCATCTCTGATCAGTCTTCTCCTTGTTTGAGATTAAAGTTTGGAGGGAAGGCCGGGTCTTGGTAGATTTGCAGTGGTCTGATACTCCTTCCATTTCAATATAATTGCTTCGCCGGTGCTCCTTGAGATGCTTAAAGCTTGGGAAATCTTTTTGTATCCAAATCCGGCTTTAAACTTCTCCACACCAGTATCTCGGACCTGCCTGGTGTGTTCCTTTGTCTTCATGCATTCTATTTATCATCATCAGTCATTTAGGACAACATTGGATCATTCAAAGGTCCTCACTGAACTTCTGGAGTGAGTTTGCTGCACTGAAAGTAAAGGGGCCGAATAATATTGCACGCCCCACTTTTCAGTTTTTTATTTGTTAAAAAAGTTTAAATTATCCAATAAATTTCGTTCCACTTCACGATTGTGTCCCACTTGTTGTTGATTCATGACAAAAAATTAAAATGTTATATATTTATGTTTGAAGCCTGAAATGTGGCGAAATGTTGAAAGGTTCAAGGGGGCCGAATACTTTTGCAAGGCACTGTAGCAAGCAGTCAGAAGCAGGAGCGGTCTGAGACACGTCTTTGCTCAACGGAGGCGGAAGAGAAGAAAACCTGGAGTTGTTTTGAACTCCGTCCCTCCTAACCATTCTATACAAATCGGGGTTGTCCTAACTTTTTAGTAAGAGGGCCACATTAGTTAACCAGACTTGTCCAGGTGTCAAAAAACCATTTTAAAGCTGTTCTGAGCTTTAAAATGGGGTATGATGTGTCCGGCTACATTAATGCCATATATGGAATTTTGTGACAATCAATAACAAATGACACAATATTCAAATACTGGACTGGATTGCAAAGGGGCATGATTATACTGGTGGAACTAAAGTTCGCTTGATGACCCTGCGAAGGTAGTTCAATGGCTAGTTTGTGTTAGCCGCCTTAGTTTGGACATGCATGGTCTAAAAATGCTGTTTAGAATTCCAACCCTGACTTTGAGGACAAAACCATTTTATTCCCCTTCTTTAAAAACATAAATAATAAATAAAAAATAAAAAATAATAAATAATAAAATAAATACTAATCAGTATTTATTTTCTCCAGTCAAATGATGTTCTAATGTTTGTCCTTGCAGATGGTAGACTTGGGCTTACTGCTCCACCCAGGCTCCTACTTCCGAGACCTGTGGAACATTCTGGACTTCATAGTGGTCAGTGGGGCCCTGGTGGCTTTTGCGTTTACGTGAGTACTTTTCACTTATCCACAAATAAAGTCCACACCAGTGAATTCTGTAGTCACCTCTGGTCAGTTTAAAGTCGGTCGGAGTGGGAGCGTATTATGTGTCCTGTTTGTTTTTGTATTTTGTGTTATTTGACCCAAGATTTCTGTTTTTATGGCCTGGAACGTTTTTACAGGAGCTTCATGGGGTAATGTTCCTCTACCTCCTTCGTGCCTGTGTGTGTGTGTGTGTGTGTGTTTCATCATTACAATCTAACCGTGTGCACTGTAGTAGATGACTTGAACTAACAGCTGCAAAAGTCATGCCAAGCAATTGCTCCGTACATCAGGTCTCACTTGGAATGGAATTTATGGAATGTAATGGGTTATTATGTCAAAAGTAGCTATTATTTTCAAGATGGGCTGGGCAATGGGGCTACCCTGGCTCTTATCCTATTGTATCTTCCTTAAAACTTTAAATAACTGTTTAATTCTAATCTAGACCGACTTCGTAACAGATGAATGTGCTTATGTGACACTGATTTGAAGACATTTCAGACAAGATAGGGAACTTAAGCTTTAAATCTCTCCCACATGTCTACTCTGATTAGCAAGTAACCAAACCCAGTATTATATAAGACGCAAAAGGCAGACTATAACATTACAGATAGTCTGTAAGCGGAGGCAAACATATATACAACCAACAAAAGCTTGGCCAGTAATCACCAGTGCGACCTGCAGTATATGAAGTCAAATTGCTTGTGACGATGGGTGCTTTTTGCAGACTTCTGGCCACATCCCTGTTTCGTACTCCATTTTCGACCTGCCTGACTGGCTCTTTCTACCTTTATCTCTACACACACACACTCCTCTTGCTCCTCATCTCTCCTCAGGTTTTTCCATCAGCACTTTGCCACCGGACCTATCCACCCATTCATTCCTCATGCGCTATTATTAATTCAGCAGAGCTCTCTAATGTAACAAACTTGCTGCTGCCTGAGTGTACGGCGTGGGGCTTTGATGCTCTCTGTGTGATCTGAGCATGTGGTTTAGTGGGCTGGTCTACATGTAGGCTGTAAGCTATGGGGTTTTAATGACTGCCCATTGGCTCCTCGCGCCCTCATTCCTCTGCCATCGCCTGTATCTGTCAAGACACATTGGACTAGTCTAAAATATAACTTCTTGATTCATTAATGTGCTGCAGTAGTCTGTGACATAAGCACCAGAAATGAATGATAAAAACGGATCAGATTTTAGCCATTATTCTATTGTGTGTGGCCTACAAAATACATCTGTTCATTGTAATACATTTAAGGACAACGGACACAAAACAGACCAGCTATATCCATGTTCATTATACAAGCAGAATTTAATTACACACTTCTATCATTAAATAGGGACATTCACTTATCCAGATCATTTCTTTATCCTGCTTGCATGTGTGTTAGGGCGAGGACGAGACCCAATTTCCATGAGATCCAGACCAGACAACATTTTGAATTTGATTTTAAGGAATCTCCTTATGACTGGATTTTTCTTTGTTGAAGAGTTATATATTAGGAAATAGTTTACTACTTGTTATTACACTTTATATCACGTTTTATCACGGCTCTAGCCTCTCAGTGGGATGCTGTCAGGGGGAAATCTCTTCTATCTCCTTTCTTGCAAATACAGTAAATATACTTTGCTCTACCCTATCCCAATTTTGAGCATTTCCACCAGCCCTGTTTGGCCCTGGTTCTATCCAGGCAGAGCTGGTTCTAAAGTGTTCTAGCTGACAGAAAATGGCCAGAGTGGTGCCGAAATTTCCAAGGATGCTTTGTTTGTTAGAGGTAGATTGCTAGGATTCTGTACCAGATATTAAAGTGTAATAGAAACGCAATCAGGAAGAGTAGAGCCAAGTTTATGTCTTCAATTAACATTTGAGGCAGAAATCCCCACATTCAACAAGTCCATATTCTGTTATGTATTTTTCCTTGCCCTATATTGGTCCTCATAATACAACATTAAAAGTTAGTGCATCATATCCTCATAAAACTTAAGGGAAGATATATTTTTTACATACAAATAATCATTGAATCTCATTAGGTTAATGCTTTTAGATTGAAAAGGTTTATGCATGTAGTTGAGTAATTACATAGATTCATCATACACTACAATACACTGTGAATTATATATATTCCATTAATTCACAGCTTTTGGCTTGGCGCCTCCCATATTACTCCGCCTAAACTTTGACATTGGTGAGCAGATGTTGTCTGGGGGGAAATTTGCTGAGTGAGCAATGCACTCAGTGGGAGCCGAAGAACAGAGTGGAGCATTTAGCAGCAAATGGTCCAGAAACAGTGGAGGAGTTTGGAAGAATATAGAGGACAGGAAGGATACACCTCACAGTTTTTCTATGGCCGGAGAATATGGACTTGCGCAACACAGCACAATATAGTTCTCCCACTAACTACTCTAGTATACATGCAGACTCAGACCTCTCCTGTCTCAGTATACATGCTGGCATAAAAGGAGAACTTGCAAGCCTATTGCAAGCTATTTGTTTAGGGATGGGACAAGGCAATAACTTTTTCACCTTGTTTCATCTTGTGGAAGTTCTGTCTCATCCCATCCCTAATATTAAACACCTTTGAACTTTGTATAATTGACACTGTTTGTTTCTGTATTATACATTAAAATACAACTTAAACAGGGATACAATGCAGTATAGGTTGTTTGGTTCCGGGTGCTGAGCTCTTTAGAGGCACAACCACGGCTTAAAAGATTCAACAATCCTAGCATTATTGGCTCAGATAGCTTGAACCTCCTCTCCTCATGCACTGCTCCTCAGATGTTGGCAGATACAGTGTGCAGAGAACCAGCAGCTCTCACTCACCATCAGCATCATGCATGCCCATCTGTTTGGACTGACTGCTCGTGGCAAAGACAAGCACCATGATAACACAACCTAAACAAGCTCTGCCAATCTACATTCACATGGAGAGCAGAGCAATTCAGGGCTAAGGAACTGAACAGCATTGATGACAAATGGGGAGACATTAAAGCTTGGGTACCTGATTTTACAACTGTGAAATAAAGTAGTGTGAAGTATTGTCTGTAATTTTTTTTTGTCACTAATACCTGGTGAAAATAACAGTCTTTAAGTGAATATTGTGGCCATTACCACAGATTACTAACAACTTTTTCAGAGAGAAATTTAATTTGAGATAACCACCCATGCTCTCAGCTCAAAGAGTCAAATGTTGACTCACCTTGTGCTTATCACTTTGGCACACACAGGTAACCCTTTGATAAATATATCTGTATGAGTGTATATATATCTATATATATACTCTTTTAAAATATTGAAATCACAAAGCTTCTGTCTGAAAAAGCCATTTTAAAGCTGTGGTAATGATATAAATATCCACATAGTTTAATATGCATGAGGGTTCGTAATAGGTAGTTTTTAAATTTTACTTCCTCCTATCACAGTTCACGAATCAGGTACCAAAGCCTTAAGTCAAATATAAAACAAAACTCTTGTTTGAAATTAAGGTATCAAATTGAAAAGCTGAAACACAAGCTCTTGTTTATTTGATTTACAGTGCCTTGCGAAAGTATTCGGCCCCCTTGAACCTTTCAACATTTCGCCACATTTCAGGCTTCAAACATAAAGATATAAAATTTTAATTTTTTGTCAAGAATCAACAACAAGTGGGACACAATCGTGAAGTGGAACAACATTTATTGGATAATTTAAACTTTTTTAACAAATAAAAAACTGAAAAGTGGGGCGTGCAATATTATTCGGCCCCTTTGCGCTAATACTTTGTAGCGCCACCTTTCGCTGCAATTACAGCTGCAAGTCGCTTGGGGTATGTCTATCAGTTTTGCACATCGAGAGACTGGAATTCTTTCCCATTCTTCCTTGCAAAACAGCTCGAGCTCAGTGAGGTTGGATGGAGAGCGTTTGTGAACAGCAGTCTTCAGCTCTTTCCACAGATTCTCGATTGGATTCAGGTCTGGACTTTGACTTGGCCATTCTAACACCTGGATACGTCTATTTGTGAACCATTCCATTGTAGATTTGGCTTTATGTTTTGGATCATTGTCTTGTTGGAAGATAAATCTCCGTCCCAGTCACGGGTCTTTTGCAGACTCCAACAAGTTTTCTTCCAGAATGGTCCTGTATTTGGCTCCATCCATCTTCCCATCAATTTTAGCCATCTTCCCTGTCCCTGCTGAAGAAAAGCAGGCCCAAACCATGATGCTGCCACCACCATGTTTGACAGTGGGGATGGTGTGTTCAGGGTGATGAGCTGTGTTGTTTTTACGCCAAACATATCGTTTTGCATTGTGGCCAAAAAGTTTGATTTTGGTTTCATCTGACCAGAGCACCTTCTTCCACATGTTTGGTGTGTCTCCCAGGTGGCTTGTGGCAAACTTTAAACCAGACTTTTTATGGATATCTTTGAGAAATGGCTTTCTTCTTGCCACTCTTCCATAAAGGCCAGATTTGTGCAGTGCACGACTGATTGTTGTCCTATGGACAGACTCTCCCACCTCAGCTGTAGTTATCTGCAGTTCATCCAGAGTGATCATGGGCCTCTTGACTGCATCTCTGATCAGTCTTCTCTTTGTTTGAGATGAAAGTTTGGAGGGACGGCCGGGTCTTGGTAGATTTGCAGTGGTCTGATACTCCTTCCATTTCAATTTAATTGCTTGCACAGTGCTCCTTGAGATGTTTAAAGCTTGGGAAATCTTTTTGTATCCAAATCCGGCTTTAAACTTCTCCACAACAGTATCTCAGACCTGCCTGGTGTGTTCCTTTGTCTTCATGGTTCTCTCTGCGCTTTAAACAGAACCCTGAGACTATCAAAGAGCAGGCGCATTTATACGGAGACTTGATTACACACAGGTGCATTCTATTTATCATCATCAGTCATTTAGGACAACATTGGATCATTCAAAGATCCTCACTGAACTTCTGGACTGAGTTTGCTGCACTGAAAGTAAAGGGGCCGAATAATACTGCACGCCCCACTTTTCAGTTGTTTATTTGTTAAAAAAGTTTAAATTATCCAATAAATTTTGTTGCACTTGACGATTGTGTCCCACTTGTTGTTGATTCATGACAAAAAATGTAAATGTTATATCTTTATGTTTGAAGCCTGAAATGTGGCAAAATGTTGAAAGGTTCAAATGTTCAATACTTTTGCAAGGCACTGTATATGTGTCACATGGAAAATGTCACTTATGCTCTTTAGGACCTCAGCTCTGACTCGGACACACTTCCTCCTGATCCTCCTCACTGGAGGCTTATACATAATAGAATACTTATAGATTACAGATGGATAGCAATGTCTCCAACACTGAGTATGTGATGTTTCTGAGAACTATGTACTTTCAGATCTGTGCCAAATTTTTTCCGATATTATTGTCTCTCTATTGCCCACAGAGTGAATTATTTACTTTAACCGTACCTTTTTCGTAATAATACTCTACCTTTTGAGTCACATGGCAATTTGTTTCCTGTGCAAATTTACATGAGGTATGTAGACAATTGTATGTTGGTTCTCAGAAACAATACAATACTGTACAATACAATACAATAGTTGCTAATCCAGCGTAGCTGCAGTTCTCAGGCCTCAGTGCTGTTGTTGATACAAACGTATGCTTTTGTACTTTGTGTGTGCAAAGCGTCCATAAATGTGCTCTACCTTTTTTCACCACTGTTTTCCCCCAAGTAGATCGCAACAAGGTGTGCCCAGGTGGGGACCTTCCCTTCCCCCGCCCCTCTGCCCTCTGCCCTCTGCCCCGCCCCCAACCCCTTCTGCTCTTTTAAGATCCTCTTCCTGTACAACGTCAACCACAGTTGGACGTAGCAGCTCCAAACCAGCAAGGACCCAGTCTCATAGCTCTCAGCTCCAATGTGCCTCCAACAAAAAATATATTTAATTAGGACTAAAGCTCACCGCACACCGAAACGCAGCGCCTCGCGGCGCGTCATTTGACGCGCGTTCATGACATGTGTCAAATTACACCGGAACGCCTTGGCTAGCGTCCTTTTCCAGCTGATCGCAGATGAAATGGGTGAGTGACGTTTGGAAGTTTCTACTAATATTTTGGGGGAGGAAACAAAGTATTTACGTGAAATTATGCTGGCAAATATTACAAGAAAAGACTATTTGGACCCATTTTTTAAACAGGCTAATAACTAGCTCTGGGTAACGCTGTACTTGGGTTATCAAGCTTTCCTCGTCCATTGTGACCGGTTTACTTGAGCAATAGCGCCGACAAGTGTGTAAATTTGAGACCGCGCTCACAGCTACGTGATAAGAAGCGCAGAAGAAGAAAACTACGGGTGCTTGGAGGGACAGTTTCAGCCGCGGCGCCGCGTCTGGATTCAACAAAACTGAATCGTGGCGCCCGGTCCAGCGTCGCCGCGCGTCACTGCAACCTTGGTGTGCGTTCTCTCATAGAAAATAAAGGAGGCGGCTCTTTTGCCGCGCGTCAAGGCGTTTCGGTGTGCGTTGGGCTTAAAACCATAAACCCTTAGAAGACGTAAAAAGCACACATCTTTTTTGAGTTGTATTATATTTTAAAACTGTAGTCTCATCAGAAACAGACACAGACTAGCTCCATCCACCATGAGCTGAAGCTGGTTTTGTTTTTTTGTTAAGAAAAATTATTATTTCATGATGTCTTCCCTTTATAGCGGGTTAGTCAGACAAGCACAGCCTTCATCAGGGGAGACATGTGATGCGGTGTCGAGTCTAATCAGCTGTTGTTCCTGGATGTGGTCAGACTGACAAATCGGGAAGGTACATCAGCCCGACCATGTCCCCCGTGCTCACTGCTCAATCCCATGTGTGAGCCAAGGTAAACGCTAAAACAACACAGAAAAGAAACCGGCGACATTTGAAAACACAAGGACATGGCAACAATACCATACATATACAGGGGGTCGCGTTGCGGACACAAAGCACAGAACTTGCAATAAATAACCTCAGATTAAACCGATTGTCTATTAAACCCAAAGGGTCAAAGAGCCCCCAAAGGGTTTAATAGACAATAGACAAAAGAGACAAAAGAGCAGAAGAAAACGGTGGATCATGCCATCTTTAATGTTGTGGAAAAGTACAGCGCTGTGTTTTGATGGAGAAATCCCGCCTCGGCCTGATTGGATGGGTAAATCATGGTGAAATGATTGAATGTGAGCAGCCGTCCAGGTGATTCTTTCTTTGACAGAAAGGGGAAGCATCTGGCTGGCTCGTCGAGCAATGTGATATATACCATAGTATATGAAATACCATGCAAAACATGGAACAAAACATATATTGGGGAAACCAAAAGGAAGTGGAGCATTATAAATCTGCAATATCGGATCACTGCAAAAGGGACTGGGACAACACACAAAACGGAATAACACAGATACAATGGAGGATACAAGAGCCCAGTGAAACCAGGAAGCACGCACAACTGGGACTCACTTCCCCAGAGACCACAGCACGGCGCGGGACACGGCCCATCTGATGTCCGCCAGATCTGTCAGACTCAGACTGTCTGCATCCGGCAACAACAGCTGATCTGCTGATTTCAAAGCATCACGCGTCACTTCTGACAAAGTCAGAAATCAACCACCAACACATGTCAGGTGATTAAACCTTTCTGACAAAAAGATAACTCTTAATCCATATACTGTATGATTTACTGAGGGTTAACCAAATAAAACAATACTGCATCATGCAAATATTCTTTCCATGAGGACAGTTCCACACACATAACCAGGGTGTACTTTCATGGTTTGGTGCTGCCTGCTGCAGTGAGGCCCGTTCAGTGAGAGCTATGAGGCCACAGTAGTGGTTCCTCTGGTAGGCTCATTACTGTGTGAGTGTATGGTCTGTGTGAGTGGTCAGCAGGCCTACATCACTGACCGCATGACCACCACACTGTGCATCAGCATGGGCGCGGCTGCATGGACCACTGTCCTAATGGACATGAAACACTGTAGGATTATGTTTATCTTTCGTACAAAGAGAAGGATTAGAGAGGATTAACAGTCATAGCTAGACAGTACTTAACTAAACCTGGGGTACCTAAATATTTATTTAATAAATAACACGCATAGTTTGTTCCAACAGTAAGATTCTTTCATGCTGTCTTCATCTTAAGATAAAACAGGTTTCTTTTGCATACTTGTAAGAAAGAGCCCTCTTGACGGCCGCTGAGTGAGGGTGGTCCTCTCTTTTTCACTTTTCTATCTGATCTGCAGATGTGAGAGAGACCAAAACTACATGAATCTGATGAATTCTAGTAATAGTAACATACCATCTTTACAGTAGAATTTGTGTGGTTTGAAAGTTAAGTACCCCAGCTCTAAATGTTATGGAAAACTTTATTTTTTCTAATGAAAAGACAAGATAAGATCATTAGACCAAGACAAGTATGTTTCACTTGGAATGAGAACGAAATAGTGAGAGCAGCTTGTTTTAGTGATTTCAGTGTTAATACAATTTTAATCATTATCTAGGTACTTACTGTATGCCCTAAATACTTGCTTTAACACTGCACAACTTAAATACATGATACGTCCAGTAGGTGAATGCAATCTTCCATATGTGGGAGTAACTATATCGAGCGTGCCGTGTTTCACTGGTACTATTCTGATGCCAGTCTATATCGAACATCTGCTGGAGCTTAGGCTTCCTGGAAACTGTCTTATTGTTTGTAATAGTATTTTGCATGAAGCATATTGACACAATGTACAAGTCCTTGTATTTAGATCACTGTAGCACTGAATATGAACAGATCTTTGTGATTGTTTGCATTTTGTGTCTGAGAGTCATACAAAAATCATAGTTTAGAGCCTCTGAAAACAATGTCAGTATCACCAAGTGTCCTGTGTTTTCTAACCTTGGCGATAGTGATCCTGATGCACAGAGTTCTGCATGTGAAACGTCTCGACAAAAAGACGAGCGTAGCCTTTTTGTTCAGTCCGCTGCATGTAGCAATACGCGAGGGATTAGACAGCTCTTCTAAACCAGGATTATGTGATTTGGATTTTGTGAATGGGAAAGCGCCGCATGCATTCTGTACGAGGTTGGTTGTGGAGTGTCTACAGTGTGGGAATTACGCACCAATAAATCGTCCTTAACAAGATTAGTGTGAGTAGGAGTGACTCGGAGCTCTGTGATTAGGCTAAACGACAGACAGATAAGCACCTCTCATGTTTTCTGCTCCTAAGCGGCTCTCAGTTCAGATGTATCGCAGTGTGCAACAGTGGATCTTGATATTTATTCATCAGACTGATGATATATTTTTTAAAGGAAACCGTTTGTGGGGAATTTATGTTTTTGAGATCATAGCCATGGCAACAAATTCTATGAACTTGCATCTTTTATTAATCAGACACATAGATTTCAACATGGTCTTATTTAATTTCAGACTGAGACTGCTCTAGGGCTGGGCACTAATTGGAAACTGATTGAAAACTTAAATTATTTTTTTTCTGGGAAATCTTTGGGTTTGTGTCATGTGACCAGGAAACTCATGGGGAAACACACTGTTGTTGTGGCTGCTCACACTGCATTTGTAAAGCCTACATTTCCTACAAGTCTAAACGAAAAATGCTAAATGACAGTGAAATGTCTTGATGATGGGAGGACATTCTAAAATGTGATTCTTTTCTGTCCATGTGATAATTTATTAGACAGTATGACACTTATTTTCATACTTATTGCTCAATAATAATAGATAGATACTTTATTGATCCCTGTATGGGAAAGTTAGGTGTCCAGTAGTGGCAGAAACATCCATTCATGCTAACAAAACAAATAGATATTTCTAAAAATAGCTAACATTAGTATTAAAAGGCTACAGCACTTTAGGTCACAGCAGGAGCGGTGCAGCCGCTGAGTGGAGCAGGACAGGTCACAGCAATAATGAAGCAAATAAAGCAATATGTTAAAAGAAAAACAGTTTACAATTCAAAGAGCTACCATGGACTGTATAATTTATCATTTAAAATAATGTATTAAGAATTGTCGAAATAAGGAGACTTTGTGTGTTAAAAAAAAATCCCCCTCTCTCTCCTCTGCACGCTGCCTGCTGTCAGACATGATGAAATGTAGTATCACATGAATGCGGCTGATAGAGAGGGCACACTTCACCGTGAACATGTGCCAATGTTTCTTAAGTACTTTATGTTGAAACGTGTTGGGACATCATTCATTTGAGGTGAAACAACTGTGCTCATTAATGACACCGGTGTGCAGAATAAACCAGACACAAGCCAAAAGAGTTACTACTCTTTTTCTGATCACATGTTTATTACCTCATATTATAATCCGAAAAATGTTATTAATAATAATAATAACAATAATATTAATAATTATAATAGCATCATGCATCGTTTACAATGCGCTACGTTACACCAGAATGTGACATCGGCCCCTCAACCTGCTAACTATTCACACACACACACACCTCATTCTAGGCAATGTGGGTGAAGTGTCTTTCTAAGGATACAACAAGTTTGGCACTTTACAGCCACTCCACTGTGGCACCTGGTGTTCCCAGAGGTTTCCAATCAAAGTATTAACCAGACCTTATCCTGCTTAGCTTCAGAGGTCTGACAGATTCTGGCTTTTACATGCAGGTGGCGCCAAAAGTAAATGGCACTGAAAAGTAGGTATAGATAAAAAGGTATCTGAAAAAAAAAATCAAACGGTACCCAGCCCTATCCATGCTTATTCAAGAGACAAAAATAGCGAAGATTTGTTCAATATCAAGATGAACTTTTATAATTGTGCATGCGACTCCTACCACTCATCTCAGTTGTACAGGAAGATAGAGTCTGTGACTGAGGAGGACTGGGCCATGTGTTCCTGTGGGCTTACTTTGCTTTTCACTTCAGGGGGACCAAAGGCAAAGATATCAGCACAATCAAATCATTGAGGGTCCTCCGGGTGCTGCGGCCGCTCAAAACAATCAAACGCCTTCCCAAACTCAAGGTGAGGACACAGCTCATCAGCCATAGTTCCCCAGCCAATCGCAACTTGTCAAATAACTGTTTTTACTGTGTCGTTTTTTTAATAAAGATCTGTTCCACTTTTGTACAAAAGCAGCCCTCAAGGCTGTGTTGTTGAAAGAAGTAATATGTCGACCAGTTCAGAGGCGAGAGCGAGACAAGGCACCAGGGAGGGATGCCAACTGGTTAAATTATAAAGAGGAATAGTGCAGCACAAAGGGAAATCCACTATTCAGTTTTAATGTGTTAATTACATAAACTATGTTTTATTATTGTCAGACAGAATGGCTTATCCAGGTTAAATTAAGACCATGCAGTAGTGCAGTATAGGAAGAGTAACTCAATAACAATAATTAAAGATCCTTGTTCGTCCCACAGTGGGGAAATGTCAGTGTTGCATCACCAGTTAAAAAAGAGTAGGAATGAGGAGCACACAGCAAAAAATAAGTGAACAATGACTTTAGATTAAAATAAAATAAAATCTCTATCCATCCATCCATCCATTTTCTTCCGCTTCATCCGTTGCCGGATCGCGGGGGCAGCAGTCTAAGCAGAGACACCCAGACATCCCTATACACACACACTTTCTCCAGCTCGTCTGGGGGGACCCCAAGGCGTTCCCAGGCCAGCTGAGAGACATAGTCTTTTGAGAGCTTTGCCTTTCGGCTCAGCTCCCTCTTTACCACAACAGTCTGATACAGCGACCGCATCACTGCGCACGCTGCACTGATCCGCCTGTCAATCTCACGCTCCATCCTTCCCTCACTCGTGAACAAGACCCCGAGATACTTGAACTCCTCCACTTGAGGAAGGACCTCTCCACCCACCTGGAGATACAATCTCTAACTTAAGCATAATAAAGCAGCAATTCTAAAAACTCCAACTTTAGCATAATAAATAAGCAAGAATTAAGTATAACATCTCTGACTTTAGCATAATAAATAAGCAAATAAATATACTGCATATTCTAGTGCAAGAAATATATAGCCGTTTGAGGGTATAAGACAAAAGTCACTTTAACTTAATGCTTTTAGATCCAGATTGAGAGACTTGAGACATCCTCATTGAAATGTAACTGTTTTTATGATCCGTAATTATATGAAATTGTTTGTAACTGTTTTTATAATCTGTGATAATTTTGTGTAACTGTACGTAACTTTTGTCCAGGACTCCCTTGAAAAAGAGGTTCTTAATCTCAATGGGACTTTCCTGGTTTAATTAAGGTTAAACAAAATATTTAAAAAATAATAAAACACTTAGTGGCATTATTATTCCAATAGTTACAATACTCATTTAAATTACTTAAATAAATACAAATATTGGAGCGATCTGACAGTGAGTCCTCCTGACCCTGTTCCAATTAGAGTTATACTCAGGATGTTCTTTCTGAAAAGCGGGAGTGCTAACCAATCAACCAATCATTACCCTAAACCTAACCTCATCTATGATAACTGATATATATAGAGCTGATACTCATATGCAGTAAAGGTTTAAAAAAAGTCATGAGAACTCCAAGCTGGTCGCGAGGTAGTTGCATGTGTGCGTGTACTGTGCTGAACTCTCTGTTGTAGTCTGTGTTGCTGCCGTGTTTTACTGTTCTGGTTGTGTGCTTGTCTCCAGGCGGTCTTCGACTGTGTGGTAAACTCTCTGAAGAACGTTCTGAACATCCTCATCGTCTACATTCTCTTCATGTTCATCTTTGCCGTGATAGCTGTGCAGCTGTTCAAAGGAAAGTTCTTCTACTGCACCGACGAGTCCAAGGGGCTGGAGAAGGACTGCAAGTGGGTCTGCCCTCGGTTTGGGGTCTCTCTTTTCTCAAGGATCTCTTTATTCAGACCAACTGCTCAATGAGAATAATATGGCGACACAGCGGCAGACGGATGGTAGTTGTAGTAGTAGTAGTAATAGTAGTAGTAGTAGTAGTAGTATTAGTAGAAGTAATAGTAGTAGTAGTAGTAGTAGTATTTTTATTTGAGCAGTTTTACAATGTATTGTTCACAGGCAAATTTAAGAAATAAAGCTCAAAAGGAGAATACAGAAGCAAAAATCTTATAGGTGCCTTCCCCATTATCAATACTTAATATAAGCAACTAAAAAAAATTAAATTTTTACATGACATTCCTGATTCTTACCATCATCATCTGGTTGATGCAAACAACAGCAATAGTTCTCTATTTATGTGCCATATTTCTTTTTAAAATAATACTATGACGTGTGGTGCATAGAGAACGGGAGTCAGCCCCCTCTGTGTCTGAAACTATTCTGTGTAGTGCATTAAAAAGACGAGGCTAAAATGATGCTTAATCAATGAACTGGGCTGTAAAGCATGTGTTTTTTACGTTGCTAACATGGTGTTGGTCCCAATAGAAAAAAAGTTAAAAAGTCACAGATTTTAAAACTGGATTCGAGCTGTTCTGACTTTTTAAAATGGGGGATGTTGTTACGTCCATATTGATTCACACCACAGCTACTTTAGCACCAAGTCTGAAATGTTGTGACACAATCAAAAAAAAAAGTCAGTTTATACGAATAAAGTTAATGACTGGATTCCAAATGGTCTTTGCTTTACAACAAGGTACAGCATGAATTTATTGGTGGAGCTGAAGATGGCTTGATGACGTTGTGAAAATGCCTCAATGGCTTGTTTGTGTGAGGAACACAGGAAACAAATAGTTAGCCTAAGTTTTGGACACACCTACTCAAAACCCAGAAGTTAATGAGAAGAGGAGATATTATGTTTTTTACTTTCTTAACAATAGATTATTATTAGTTGATGACCTGTTAAAACATATGGACCTGAAATGTTTTGAATAGATGACATCCTTCATTACAAAGTTCCTGTACTAAGAAAAATAGGGCTTTTGAGTAACAGAAACCTTAAAGGTATATAGGAGTGGACAAGGCGGTTCCTTTCTAAAACTTGGGAAAATCCTCCCATATACCTTTAAAGTGATTGTCTGGAGTTTGTCAGAAAAGAGAGAGAAAGGTACATACAGTAATTTGTAAAAACGACCCAAGCTCCTCCCCCTTTCTTTCTGATTAGTCTACACCTACGCTTCCGTAACAATCAATCAACACATTTAAATGTTAATCGGAGAACACATTATACATATACATTATAAATATACATGCACAGACCCACTAAACATCCGACGTCCACTCAACCTCCAGATCACGTCAATATCGCGTCGGTCGGTCGTGACCTTTTATTTACGTCCAAACGACGTCTGTGCAAGGTGCGCATCTGGACGTAAAACAATGACCTCCCATATACGTGGATATGACGTTCAATCCCGACCTCCCCTAGACGTCGAAAACAGGTCATCGGCTGACCGACGCAGTACGTCTTGATCTAGCGATACAATATATAGGCTGTGAAGCAACCTAAGTGTACCTGACGGTAGTGTAGTGGTTAAGCAAACGTGTGCAGTCTTGGTTACGTGGGTTCGAGCCCACGTGTGTGTATTATTATCTTTATATATTTGTTTTGATTTTTAACGAAAATTTTTTTCCTGTTTGGTTAAAGACTAATAAACACTCAACATAGGATTACGTAGTGGCTAATAATAAAACTTGTGAATGTATGCATTTGTTGTGCTAACAATCTCAAGTTTGCAAATAAGGGGTGAGCACTTGAGATTTTATGCAAATGCATGGGTTCACAAGTTTTATTATTAGCCACTACATAATCTTATGTTGAGTGTTTATTCGTTTTTAACCAAACAGAAAAATTGTTCGCTAAAAAGTGAAAAGTCAAAAGTTTTCCGACGGGGATTTGAACCCGCGTCGTTGCGACTGAAGTCTTATTACGCAACCGCTACACCACGGCCAGGCATTTTCTCTGACTACTGTGAAAAAATAATAGATAACACCCTAAACAACCGACGCACACTTATGCGCCGCGCAAGTATAACTTATAACTTTACAGCCTGACACGTGAGTCGCTCGGTCGAGGACCTGTTTTCCACGTCTAAACGACGTAAGGTGTGCATCTGGACGTAAGGCAATGCCTTCCCAGACGTTGATATATGACGTTGAATCTGTACCTCTGTCGCTGCCCTGCTTTATTTACTTGGAATCATCCTCTCTAGTAAGTACACAGTCTGCACAGTTTTTAGATATAGATGTATCATTTCCACATTGAAAATAGTTGGAGACAGAAAGTAAGTTGTTTTCTCACGTATACGTGGATTTTGTTAAGTATATTTTGTATATTATCTGTATTTTGAATTGCCAGTGCATGAATCTATAATAATAACGGCTGGCACTGCTCAGCTGAAAGGGAGACACCTTTTTTTAGTTTTTAAGTTAAAGTTTAAAATATGATATTGTTTTTCATATTTCAAACTATTTTTAACACATTAGAATTCTTAGGTTAGACTGTCCAACAAAGTATGTGTTAAAAAAGGTTAAGATTCTTGAGTTTTAAAATAATAATTCAATTCTAAAATGTAAAGTTACTGTATATTTCACAATGGTTTATAAACTGCAAAAAGACAACAGTACTTAGTAAACTAAGTTTAAAAACAGGGAGATCAGCTTTAATATTTGGGACACTCCCATCATTTAGACACCTGTGATGTCATCAGTTGGAGTTGAGTTCAGGTGTGGGACCATGTGGGACCATGTGGGACCATAGGAGCACACAGATGTTACCTGCTGCAGAAAGAGAGTTTAATGTTCATGTATTGCTTTGTTTAATAAATTGATTTAATGTCTTCCCAGGTCTTCAATGTCAGAGACTTTCACTTCTTCTCACTGTGGCTGTTTAAATGAGCCACTACAGTTGTTATTTTTGTTATTGTTAGCTGCAAATATTAAATATCCATTCATCTGCTGGTAGCAAGCTAACTAGCGCTTGCAACTCTATTCAATTTCTTACTTTTTCTTATAAACTTTAAAACCAGCCATATGTTAATTAAAATACATTTACCTTTGCTAATGCAGTCAATTATTGTGAAATCCATAGAGTATAATTTCATGATTGTTGCAATAACTAATGTTCTGTGTGTATTCCTAATGTGTCATGTGTGTTTGAGTCTTACAGGTGTCAGACTGTGTTGAAGGTGTTCAAAGGTAAGAATCACACTCTCACACATTGATTGTTGTTCTGTATTAATATGTTGTTTTTAGAATAAACCATTATTTGGTGTATTCTCTTTGAAAACATCCATCTTTTTCTCAGATTGTTCAGCAACTCACTCAAGATGAGGGAAAAGAGCAACAAGGGGAAAATGCCCCCTCGGAAATGCAACATGTGTAGAGTAATACAGGGTAAGTAGCTTTCAGGGCTCATTTGTCCATGTGCAAAACAAATGCACATTTGCAATTGTTTTTTACATGGAATTACTCCAATGACCAAAGCCTTATCCCAAGTTTCTCAGACGGAGTGTCTTCCAGTGTCTCGAGCTAGTGCAGTGCCAAGGTTTGTATCACATGGTGATGGATCGAGTGGTTTGAGGCATTAATAGAAAGTTATGTGTTGTTATATCACTTTGCCACATTATGTTGAAACTAAACATGTTCCACATTTTCAGGTGCTGTGCTTGGACCTTGTGATGAGAGACTGAAGACCAAGAGAGGACACATGTTGGAACCTCAACATTCAATAAATGCATTCTTCTGCCTTTCAGATTGTGTTTTTACATCTGGGGAACCTAGAGTGTAGCTTGTGCCTGTTTTAATACTGATCCAAACATAGGCGCTACAATCATGTTTTTTTACTTTGGCATGAACTGTTCAGTACAGTAGTGTTCAGTACAGTAGTGTTCATAACACTGTGCCCTGTGTGCTTTAACTTGTACTTTGATGTAGAGAAACATGATTTTTAATGCAGCTCCATTTGCAATAATGACTGATATCCTTCTACTACAGTTGTTCTAATGATTTTTGAATGCTGTGTTTATCGTTTATTGCCCAGAGTCAGAACTAAACATGATAAAGCTGCATTTCAGATTCACAAGGCTAAAATCTGGAACGGTCTTCCTGGAAATGTGAGACAGGCTTCTTCTTTGACAATGTTAAAATCCAGGTTTAAAACACTTCTGTTTCTGCTTCAACTGAGAGATTTTATGAGAGATTTTATTTGTTTCTTTTTAATTTACAGTCAATATTTATAATTGTAATGCCTTGTTTGATTGTTTCTATCTTTTGTTCAGTGCTTTGAGTTTCCTTTTGTTTTGACTGTGCTATACAAATAAACTTGCCTTGCCTATTGCAAAAAGTATGTCTCGACCAGTGAGTGATTCTGCAGAGGTTAAGTATGTCAATAGGACTGTAAATGGACGTCATATAAACGTCAATATTTTGGTCATATAAGACGTCGAGAGGACGTCGGACCCGACCGGTTCTGTACCACATTGCAACCTTGAATGAACGTGGCCGCGACGTCATTTGAACGTCCAGATAACGTCCAGATGACGTTGAAATGACATAGTTTTGACATCTGCTTGCTTAGTTGGAACAACGGAAAACGAACGTCATATGAAGGCAATATTTTGGTCATATAAGACGTTGATAGGACGTCGGACCCGACCGGTTCTGTACCACATTGCAACCTTGAATGAACGTCCAGATGACGTTGAAATGACATAGTTTTGACATCTGCTTGCTTAGTGGGAACGACTGAAAACGAACGTCATATAAACGTCAATATTTTGGTCATATGAGACGTTGATAGGACGTCAGACCCGACCGGTTCCGTACCACATTCAAACCTTGAATTGACGTGCCATCAACGTAACATTTGGAGGTTGAAGTGACGTCGGGAAACGACGTCGAGAAAACTTTCATTCTGCACCCACCAGTGACCTATATTCTACGTCGGACAACGACGTTCAAATTACGTTGATTCAACGTCGGCTTGCTTAGTGGGGAGGTTTTCAAAATCATTTGTTAACGTTTTCATGTCAAAAATATTGTTTTAATCCACAGAAAAAGCGGCCGCGGTAAACCCGGAAGTAGCTACAGTATTAACATTAAATGAACATTATAGGACACATCTGGGGTCTGATTATGGATATAGGTTCAGTATACGTATAAATGGGTAACTCAGCACGGCTGTTCAGAATTCTTTGTTCAGTTTTAGAGATGTGGTTCCAGAGCTTAGTGGAGGCTTGATTCGGAGGCTCCGTGAAAACAAAAAACTGAGTATGCGCGCAGATACGAGCATGAGCGCCGATGATTGACAGCCCTTGGCATCGCTTGATTGGTTAAAGTGGAAGGCATTGTGGATTTTGAGCTATGGCTAAGAGAAGGGAAGGCGGGACTTACCCGTAATATTAGAATTCATAATCATAATTCATTCATCAACTTAATTTATATCAGCATTTAAGGCCAGGAGGTCAATTTAATACAATTCTTAAAAATTATATTTTATTTAGAGTTCCAGACTATCCAAACAAACTAACTCATAACCGGTATGAGATAGAAAGTGCTTCTTTACTGTTCAGAAAAGCTCTGCATGAATCCATTACATCGCCGGTGTAAGCTCCAAATGCCTGTGTTATTTTCCAGGGGACAATTTCTGGACTACGACAAAGACGAGGTGACGGCCATGCCCAGGGAGTGGAGGAAATACGAGTTCCACTACGACAACGTGCTGTGGGCCTTTCTCACTCTGTTCACTGTGTCCACGGGGGAGGGCTGGCCGACGTAAGTGCAGCTCCGCTCTCAACAGCAGCTGTCAGTGTGGAATAAACTGGGGAAATATTGTCATGGAAGATGTCTGCTACATTCTGAGGGCGGAGTTTGAAGAGATAGGGCTCATGGGTGTTGTTCCAAACCTACAGTGGTCAATTTGCTGTGGATGTTCTTCCGAAGAGGCCATTTTCTTTTTTCTCTGGAGGCAGATAACACAAGCATCATAGTATCAGCAGCAACAACAGCAATCAGCAGTCATCTCAGAGGACTTAACAAAACCATTGAAATCACCAACACAGATCAGAGAATCAACAGTTAAGACACAAAATATACACATATGAATTGGTCCATAGGGAGAGACCAATGTCCATGAATGTTGATAAATGTCCACACATCTTGTGGAATGTTAAAGTGTCCTGGATCATCACCACAGTCCTTCTAGTTGGACACTAACAGACCCTCCTGCATCGGCAAGGAAAAACTCTATAACCCAGTGGGAAAAAAGTGAGGTGTAGATGTAGGGGGGCAGGGCAGTCCGCAAGTGTAGATGTAGGGGGGCAGGAGGGCAGTCCGCAGGTGTAGAAGGAGGGGGCCGGTTCAGAGCTCCCGCTGTCACGCCAATATCAGAAAACAATACAGTATCATTTTTCTGGATGTCTGACCTGCCACATTGGCCCAAAGGCAGAATAACAGGTTGTTTTCTTTTATATACTGATCATTAATAATCAGTAAGTTAAGTTCAATTATACTTTATTGTGCATTGGACCCAAATGCCCCCTAGGGCCTCTGTTAGGATCAGTGGTTGCCGTAGTAACAGGGGTCCAGCTCCAGTTGTTGATGCTCTTGGTCAAGACCAGAGCTGGCAGATTGTACATGTGGTAGTGGTAGGGGAAACCGGAGCACCCGGAGGAAACCTATGAAACATGAGGATAGCGGCATTTCAAACCCAGGACTTTCTTGCTGAGAAGCAAGAGTTATAAACACTCAGATATGATGACTGATACATAGAGCTACTTATTTGCAGTAATGGGTTTGAAAAAGGTTCAGCATTTTGAATATTACGAACCAAGGTGGTCGAATGTGTGTATTTGTGTGTGTCTGCGTGGGTATGTGCGTGTGTCTCGACTGTGGTTTGTGGTTGAACCAATGGACACGTGGTGGAATTGTTTTTAGCCAAGTGTAAAGCATTTTCCGCTGCATTATAATGAATATGATATGAAATAATATGAGATATGAAAATCACATTTATAAATAAAACAATTGTTTTTTTACAGTGTGTTGAAACACTCGGTGGATGCCACATTTGAAGACCAGGGCCCTAATCCCGGGTACCGGATCGAGATGTCCATCTTCTACGTGGTCTACTTTGTGGTGTTCCCTTTCTTCTTCGTCAACATCTTTGTGGCTCTTATCATCATCACGTTCCAGGAGCAGGGAGACAAAGCCCTGTCTGAGTGCAGTCTGGAGAAGAACGAGGTCTAACACACTTTCAACAAATGTTATTATTAGTGCCGTTTACGCAGACCTATTTTAACTGCGTTAATTTTACTAATCGCATGATTAACGCAAGCTGTTGCAAGTACCGCAGCTGCTGTCCTTGTGTAGTCTATGGAGGAGTGCAGAGGGCAGCACAGGCCAAAGGACTGATATACAGCAGCAACAGTCAGGTGTACGTGTTTGTCCTCATGGTCTCTGTGGCAGAATATGCATGGATTATTTGACTGACGAGCGCCTGGTCGCAGAGCCTCTGTGCACTCTTCCGGTGTATGCACCTGCGTGACACAAGCCTCTCTCTCAGCACTTGTGGTATGTACCCACGATTTGCGGCAGAAGTCCGTCACTGAACTATGCGTTCTGTTAGCACGTCCTCAGAAGAAAGAACCCATGAGTGCACTGACGAAGTAGACAGTAACTAGCTGTGAGCGTTTCTGATACATAATGTATCAGGGGCGGCACGGTGGCTGAGTGGATAGCATTCTCGCCTCTCAGCAAGAAGGTCCTGGGTTCGAATCGGTTGGACCAGGGCCTTTCTGAGTTGAGTTTACATGTTCTCCCCGTGTCTGCGTAGGTTTCCTCCGGGTGCTCCGGTTTCCCCTACCACTAAAAATATGTACAATAGGTCTGGCATGTGCCTCCTGTTCTGGCACCCCCACTCCCAAAAATAACAATTGTAAACCGCTTTGAGACTCCGATGTGCAGTGAAAAGGCGGTATATAAATAAAGATTACATTACATTACATTATATTACATAATGTGACACTAAGCAGTTAGTGACATTTATAATTTGAGCCACACTACACATTAACATACTGTGTAGAAGATGTATGTGCACTTTATACCGTCAACACTAATACTAAACTGATCATTTAAAAATGTGTTTCTTTCCTTCCAATGAAATGTGAATAAAAACAACATCATGAACCAAATATGATAAACTGAATACTAACTCTCCCACGTGAATCCAAGTTGGATCACAGATCAATGGTTACTGTAAAAGTAGATCTCGGTTTGATAAAGTGTGGGCACCTGTTTTATACACTGTAAACAGCAATAACAAACGCTAATATAGACAAATACTTTCTTTTTGGAGAGGATTGCATTAATAATAGCTTTTTTCCTTCATCCAATGCCTTTTCAAACCATTTAGATCAGGGAAATAAATAATTGCATTATATTAATGCAATTAATCACCATAAACATATTTATATTTTGACAGCACTAATTATTTTGATACATGTATCTCATAATGTGAATTTGAGGTCACACTCATTTAACTCAATGCACCTTAAAGTGTAATGTTTGTGGGCACCACTTGTGTTTCCAAAAGACAACTGTGTGTTGTAATGATAAAAAATGATTAAAATGCACATACATAACATTTATTTGTATATCACTTTTAAAAACAATGTTTTAAAATCTTGCAGGATTCAAACCGCCTTCAATATATAAAATAAAAAATACAAAAACATAAACACACAGTGGGGGAGGGTCCCAGCTCAAAAGTGGCCAAAATGACGTGCGCTGACATGCTTGCAATACCACCCCGGGCCGATGGGGGTGGACCCAGAAGAAGAATTAGCCAATGCTAACATATAGCGTTAGCAGACCTCTCAAAAACGTCTTTACAGGATGGACCAAAAGTTGGCTCTTGGCCCAAAGCTCCGTTCCACATGTGTGTCAATGCTGAGGGGGGTGAATTTTTTTGGTCCACTCTAGTTTACTCGCGGGGAATTTTTGAAGTCTCTCGTTCAAATGAATGGAGCTGCGCCAGCTGACGCATGCGCAGATGCGTTTTTTCACAATTTTCTTGTGGGCGGGACCACTCGCGGCCATCTTGGATTGCTCCATGAAAGCACTTTTCATGGCCAACTCCTATGAACGGCAGAGATAGGCGTGACTCTTTCCGTTAATATATACAGTCTATGGGTACACAACAAGGAAAAAAAACCCAGGGAAAGACCAGGGAGAGATAAGAGAGAGACCAGAATTGAGATTTGAGAGAGACCAGAAAGAGAGCCGAGAGAGAGACCTGAGAGGGAGACCTTATGTATGAATTGTGAAAAAAAAAGTTGCCTCGCTTAGAAGGGCCTGGCTACATCTGTACTGATGGTTGTATGTTTTTCTCTCTTGCAGCGGGCCTGTATTGACTTTGCCATCAATGCCAAACCTCTGACGCGGTACATGCCAGAAAACACTAAGTCATTTCAGTATCGCATGTGGAAGTTTGTGGTGTCTCCTCCCTTTGAGTACTCCATCATGATCATGATCGCGCTCAACACTGTAGTGCTCATGATGAAGGTAAGACACCAGCTTTCACAACACACCTTTGTCCTTTGGACTTGGAATAATGCAAGGACCCTCGGTTAGACTGTTCTGCTCGGCTGGACTAACTGACAAAAACCCATCTTTGTGGTTAATAATAATAATAATAATAATATATCAAACTTATATAGCGCTTTTTTGGACACTCAAAGACGCTTGGTTGTAGTCCTCCTGCATAACTGAGGTTGGGGGGTTTTTACTGTAAATCATGATAAGATACACTGCAGGGATACACATTAGGGATTTTATTAGCTTGTATCCCCTTCATGTTTCTTTTTTATGTATTTATGTACTTCTGAGTCTTTTGCTTTGTTTTGTTGTTTGTGGTATTGTATTTTAATCTGTAGCACTTTGAGGTTTCAGTCAGAGAAACTGCCTTTGCAGCTGTAGCACAGTTAGTAGAGTGTGTGTTGAGCTGAAGGTGGTTTGAATCCTGCTCCTGATATAAACATCATGAGTTGAGCTGTCAGATCGACTGACCCACTGGTCGGCAGGTGTGAAACCAGCTCCCGTTGGTGATTGCTTCTGGGTGTCCTTTGGAAAGACACTTAACCCGCCTCTTCACAAGACACTTCACAAGACACTTCACAAGTCTCCAGAGTCTGCTTACACTACTGTATTACTGTATGGATGTGTGTGTGAGTGGGGGATTGGTTCTTTGAAAAGATAGAAAAGCTCTGTATAAAATGTGACCATTTACGATAGACAAAAACCTCACACTGAATTTAAGCAGGCAAAAAGAGCATTTGGAGAAAAAATGTTGGTTTAATCACTCCTCATATTCTCCTTTTGACTCTGGTATTGTCTTGTCGAATATGGACTCCATCTCAGCCTTCAGCATCACTATCACTACTTAAAACATTACTTTTTCTACCACAGTTTCATGGAGCTCCAGATTTCTACGAATCAATGCTGAAAAACCTCAACATCGTCTTTACGACTCTTTTCTCTTTGGAGTGTATACTCAAAATCATTGCATTTGGCCCTCTGGTGAGTAACATTTAATTTATCCTCTACCATCACACACTACAGTCCACTACACACAGTGTGTTTGTGTGCCTCAGAACTACCTCAAAGATGCCTGGAACGTGTTTGACTTTGTGACAGTCCTGGGCAGCATCACAGACATCCTGGTGACGGAGATCAATGTAAGTGACCCCCGACTTCACGGTTTACATCACATTCATGTAGACAGCGCTTGTTCTATGCTACGCCTACACAGCAATCAAGCCAAGCGCCCGATCAGAAAAGAAAAAGGGAAAGCAGAGAAAGCCTTTGGACCTTTGGTGTCAAACTGGTTCCAGAAAGGGCAGATGTGGCTGCAGGTTTAAGTTCCGACCAAAGCAGGAGCACACCAGACTCCACCTATTTCCTCAGGTTTTCAGGTTAAGACTAGACTCACAAGTTTGACACCCCTTCTTTAGAGAGAAGGGGGTGAGAAAAGACGAGGAGAAGCTGTGGGTGATTTAAAGATTGCTGCAGTGTCCGTTTTCAACAATCCACTTAATAACCTTGTTTTCAAAAGTCAAACTAATTATAAATGTAGCACAACACAATGTGTCTCAGTTCTTCCAAATGGGAGTCTATGGCCTGGACCATGGGACCTGAGATTTAATGTAGTATTTGTCATTCCAAAATGCAAATGGAAAAGTATGATGTATTTACTATGGTGTGATTATCGTATACAGTACAATCAATAAAACAAAATACCAACCCAGAGATGTATTACAACCATAGTGTGGTTTATTCATTTAGTAAATGTGCTCATATGAATTTATGAATATAAATTCAGTGTATAAATGGGTAACTGAATGGGATGTTCAGAATTATTTGTTCAGTTTTCATGTAGTTTCAGAGCCTATAAAGGCTTGATTCGGAGGCTCCGTGAAAACAAACAACTTAGCATGCGCAGCTACGAGCATGAGCGTCGATGATTGACATCACTTGATTGGTTAATGTGGACGGCATTGTGAATTTTGAGCTATAGCTAAGGGTGTATTCAGACCTGCACATTTGCTCCACTTTAAACGGACCAGGATTCGTTTGGAACTCTGATCCGAAGCTTTTATGCAGGTCTGAATACACACAAACGAATCCTGGTCCGGACCAAAGAACCGAACCGAGACCCACTTTTTTAGGTGGTCTCGGTCCGCTTCCAAACGAATTCTGGTCCAAGTCGAATCAGGTCTGAATACATCCGGTGTCGATCCGACACAACTCCAAGATACGTGCGCATTTTTTGGGCTTAACAAGCCGCAGACAGAAACTGAGGAATTATGAAACTATGCTGCTAACGCTACACAACAACAATGAGCCGTGTGCAGACCTGGAGCAGTTAGGAGACGCTGTGCAACAAGCTTATGGAGTTAAAACTGTTCACAGTGTACAGTGATGTTAATGGCAGCATCTTCAAACCATTTGCATTATTAAAAGCCTGACACTGTTTGACTCACGTCTCAAAAAGCAATATAGCATCATGTAGTGAATTGTGTTCTTTGGTTCCTACCTGATCCTCAGCGTCTGTTTGTCCCGTGGTTATTATAGATCCATGGTTTATCCACAATGCTGAACAGGGCCGTTATTATCATAGATCCATGTGTGGGACAGGACACGGAGCGCACAGACAGAGTCTCCTTCGGCTTTCTCCTCACGCATTCTCCGACACTGTTCCAATATTTAAAACGACGTGTTTCGCCTGTGTCATATGAGCTGCTGCTGTTGATGTTGAAGGTGGTTTTGCTCTAACACAGGCAGAGCAGACATGCTGCACATACGAGCCCTCAATGTTTTCTGCCGGTTCCGCGTCTATCCTCCGTGAGCTCTCGCTGTCCAATAGGAGCGCCGATTGTCACACGTGTCAATATGTTTATATAAAAAAGTTCACTTGCAAAAAGGACAGTCTGAATACGAACCGGAGCAAAAGAAAAAAGTTTGGTCCGCTTTTGATTCGGATCAAGCAAGCAGAGCAAAGCGCTTTTCAGGTCTGAATACACCCTAAGACAGCCATTCCCAAACTCAGTAACACCGAGGCCCCCTTAAAAATCTGACGGGTCTGCGTGGCCCCCCAAAATAATAACCAAGAAGACAACATTAAGAATAGGCTCTTCTGGTTATTTTATTTTGGGGAAATAGCTTCTGCTACAAACATTTTAATACAAAAATGATTACAGTGGATTATTCAAGTCAAATAATGAACACAAATATTTTAATATTACAAACAAAACATTATAAATTTAACATTAAATAATTATATATATATATATATTTTTTTTTTTTATGACCTCTCGCGGCCCCCCTGCAGTACCCTCGCGGCCCACCAGGGGGCCGCGGACCCCACTTTGGGAGACACTGCCCTAAGAGAAGGGAAGGCGGGACTTACCCGTAATAATAGAATTCATAAAATGAATTATTTTATATCAACATTTAAGGCCAGGAGGTAAATCTAATACAATTCTTAAAATGTGTAATTCATTTAGAGTTCCAGACAATCACTTTAAAGATTGAACTTATACATTTAACGTTAAACACATCTACACAATCAGATTCCTACAACAGGTGTATTGCTGTGTATGTGTGGTGTACTACTCACTGTTTTGTCTTTTTGAGTACATACATTTGAAATACATAATTACTCTACTCGAAAAGAAGAAAGGATGTTAATCCAAATGTTCAGTACAAATGAACGTGTAGTGTGAGGTCATGTAGGATCTCAGTATCTCTTTGTACTCTGTGTGTTTCTGTTGAAGTGTGCTTGTAACATATGCCTGTTCTCCCATCTCTCTCTGTCTCCTCTGTGGCACGTGTCTTTGCTCTGTGCTCATTGTGGTAACTGTGATCACTGGTGTCGCCTCGTGCCCAGACAACAGTAAGTTAACATGATTTACTTTTAGTTCCATGATTTTTATTGTCCCCAATTCTCAAATGGCATGAACAAAACTGTTTCTGCTATGTATTAATGATCTATGATTGACACGTATCATATTCTCTCTGACAACCATGGGGCCACAGACCATATCGTCTACACCGCTCAATAAGTTATGGGTGGTTCAATGTATTTTGGGACTCAATATTTATCATCTGACATGATCTTGAGAGCTGTATGACATCCTAAGGGAGGGAGGGTTGGTGCATGTTGGATACTCCCAGGGCTGCCCATTGCCACTGGTTCCGTTCGCTGTTTTTATGGTAAGAGCCTGAAGAGAGTCCGGTTAAGGAACCAGAAGGGACCTGGGACTTACAGAATAAGTTGTATTTCCATAGCAAGTAACACGAAGGACTACAATACAATGTAATACAATACAATGTATTCTTTTATAGCCCTAAATCACAACAGTAGTCATCTCAGAAGACTTAATAAAACAATTGAAATCACCAACACAGATCAGAGAATCAACAGTTAAGACACAAAAACGAATATAGAACACATAGGATTTTGGACTAGGATTTTGCTTTGTCATATGGTGCAGACAAGTAATAAAAAAGTAATGGGGAAACTCGTAATAAAATAATTTAACAATCTAACAAATAAATACAAACATTAGACATTAGTGACCAAAGTTATGAGATTAAAAAGTGACAGAACATGCCCCGTTAAGACCCAGGACATGCTGAAAGGACTAAAGCCCAGTTTCCACCAGCCCTACTCTTTTACACTCTACTCTACGCTATCACAATTGAGAGTGTTTCCACCGGCCTTGTTTAATCGGTTCCAGGTCCTTCTTTAGTTCCTCTTGGTCCAGGTTCTATCCAGGTCAAGCTGGTGCTAAAGCGTTTTAACTTACAGTGATTACCCAGAGTGCTGCTGGAAGCCATGGTGAATACTTGTTTGTTGTGGGTAGATTGCTAGGATACAGTACCAGAAACAAAATCCTAATGGAAACACAACCAGGACGAGTAGAGTAGAGTAGAGTAGAGTAGGGTAAAGTAGAACAGGACCAAGCAGGACTGGTGGAAACATGGCTTCCTCGGAAGGCCTCAGGATCCCATGAAATGGAGCAATTGTGTGTGGAGAGAGAATACTGGGCATAGCAAAGATTAGATGGATGGACGTTATTAGTTATACGTAAGATTGTAGTCTGTAACTTGACCACGTTGTAACCAAGTACGCTCAGCATAACTGGCATGTCTCATCTTTATTTGTTGCATCTATTACTGTATGTATCGTTTACATGACATTAGTATCCATGTTTGTTATTCCTTGTATTCCCACAGGACAGACTTCTGAACCTGAGTTTCTTGAGGCTGTTCAGAGCGGCTCGTCTCATCAAACTGTTGAGACAGGGCTACACCATCCGGATCCTGCTCTGGACGTTTGTACAGTCCTTCAAGGTATGACAAACACATCTCAAACTTTGTTAGTTTGAGGTCATGCTGACTTTGTTCATTACATATGTTACAGAACAACAACGTTACAATGTATGATCTCTAATAAGACACAGATACACTGTACAAGAGAGAATAGGGATTTTACTTTTATTGAAGATTGTGATTTTCCATGTTTTAGATGAGCCTGGTTATCTCAATTCTCATTTGTGCCCCACCACCTACCCTTTAGCCCTACCCCTCTGTCTACCCGCCTACCCTTTAGCCCTACCCCTCTGTCTACCCGCCTACCCTTTAGTCCTACCCCTCTGACTACCCACTTAACCTTTAGCCCTACCCCACCGCCTACCCACCTACCCTTTAGCCCTACCTCTCCCCTTGATTTTGTTTTGTTTTTGTCAGTGAGTTATTACGACTTATGACACCCATAACTATTATATCATATCTTAGTATGCATTATAATAAATGAAGCAAACCTTCTGACTTTCAAATGAAATGAATTTGTTAAGGGAGAGTCAAAGAGAAAAGCAGCTGACGCAAGATTATGTCAGACGGTTTATTTCAGAATCTACCCGCGTTTTCTGAACTATGCTTCTGGCATGTTCCAGATCACTTGCGGCTGCAGTGATTCAGAAAGCATTCATTATTGAGTGTGTTGGTTTCCTGTTTGTCCCTCTAGGCGCTGCCATATGTCTGCCTGCTGATCGCAATGCTGTTCTTCATTTATGCCATTATTGGGATGCAGGTACTTCAATCAAATCAATCAAATTTTATTTATAAAGCGCTTTTCATACAAAAAGTGTAACACAAAGTGCTTTACAGTTTAGTTAAAACTTCTCCATCACTCTCTTTCTGTTAAAGCTATGGTTTATAAGAGCCCAAAGCAGACACTGGAAGCTGGTTAGAAAAAGAGACTTTACTAGGCTTTGCTGATGTGTCTCTGGAGCAGGCATGTGGTCTGGGAAAAACAAAACCAAAAACGTAAATGAAAAACAAGGCAAAACATCTTTACACCTGCTAAAGTTTTGAAGATGGCGAAGATAGGTCTGTACCACTGTAATGACAGAGCAATCTTACAGTGAGTGTTGGAGAGCCGGGGGTTTATTTATTTATGTATGAGCTTGATTGTAGAAGGGAGTCATGTGTGGCCGCTCAGAGACTCCCATCAGCAAAACAGGGAGACAAAGAAACCAGGGAACCGACAGACATATGGGGAACATAGCACTTTCTCTCCTTTGCAGCTTCCTTTACCTCTCTCTCTCTCTTTCCGGGTTGCAAAGTTGTAGGAATTCGGGCGTTCTGCTCTCCCAAAATTCCATCCACTGAGCGGCGCTGTGATCAAAAAATGACACCGTTTGTTGCCCAGTTCACTTCCGGTTGATTTCATACAATGGCGAATATGGCTCACGAAAACAACAAGCGATTGACAGTGCCTGAATTGCGTGAAAGGTTGAAGCGAAAGGGTATTTGCAGTGTGGGAAAACGAAAGGAGGAATTGTTGTTGCTAGTTCAACGAGCGGATGGTGTTTATGAAGATTTAGAAGAAGATGACAGCGAGCAGAGTGAACGAAAACGGCTGTGTGTGCGAGTGACAGATGGTAACAATGAGAATGAAGTTCAGCTAAGAGGGAAGAATGTGAATTGGACGGATGATTTGCGCGATATGCCACTTAGAGACGGGAATGTATTTGCATACAGAAAATGACGAAAACACTCAACCATTTAGAGAAAATGCGCCGGGCAGAGAGAACCGGAAGTTGCGAAGGCAAGTGTTACCCATAATGCAACGCAAAATTCAGTCGCTCCCCCGCCCATCGGATGGAATTTTGGGAGAGCAGAACGCCCGAATTGTGGTAAAGGTGGAAAAGTTTTATGATTATCATTAAGAATATATAGGGATTTACTTAGAATATGTGGTAATTAATGAACAGTGAAGGAGAGAGTTAATGATGTGCACGTCCAAAAGCAAACCAGGCCAAGAACCCAAATTTTGTGACACAATGAAAAAGAAATGTCAGTATATACAGATGACTTGATTCCAAAGGATGACGCTGTAAAAGTACCCCAATGGCTGCTGTGTGTTTACCATCTGCCTTAATCTGGACACCGCTGGACCCCTTTATCATCAAAAACTGCATGTAGAATAAATAACCAGAGTTTCTGCTGCAGGTGTTTGGAAACATCGACCTGAATGAAGACACGGCCATCAACCATCACAACAACTTTCGCACCTTCCTGCAGGCGCTCATGCTGCTCTTCAGGTAGAATTTACAACACCTGTCCAAAAATACATATGATATTATTTAAAGTAGCAATATGTAAGATTTTCATGTCAAGTCATTATTAAATGGCCCTAATCAGTCAATAGATATTAATAAACCATGCTCTTTTTGAATACTTCTTTAACTGATAACAGTAGTTCAGCAGACATACTGTATTCATATTTCAAAATTAGTTTTACAGCCCCTAAATGCTGTTGTTTTCATTTCGATGTCCTACCCTCCAACGGGTTGCCAGGACTTACCGAATCAAAATATCACTAGTAAAGTAACATGTCAGGCTAAAGAAAGTTTTCATGATCATTAATGACAAAACAAGGAATAAAACAAGGATGTCTATCGGGGCCTTTGTGAAAAAGGTGTTAGTTAGAGATTTGTTGTTGACAAAACTCTTGCATATTCAGCTATCATGGTCCCAGCTGGAATTGCCTGCATATCTGGCAACCTGAGTCAGGGAGAATGGGAGAGGTTACAGTTCCACTTTTGGCCAGATTTTTTACATATTGCTCCTTTAAAGTATGTCATTCTAACAAGTAATAATCTTTCCATTTCTGTGCACAGCTTAACAGATTATAAACTGGCTATGAACTCTGTACAGAGTAGAAGCCTGTCTCACATTTTTAGGAAGACTGATCCATTTTATCTGCATAAATCTGAAACACTGTTGTGTTTAGTTCCGACTCTGGGCATCAGCAGGAGGCAAGTCCCTGTGCTCCTCATAGTCCCAACAGGAGGCCTAAGGGTGTCAATTGCTGCCAAGCTATTAACAGAAACGGCCAGGCTCCTAATGCAAATTTCACAGCGTGCATACGAGGATAAAAAACAATGTAGTTTTTTATCGCCCGGCCAGTAGTGGGCAGAGGAACTTTACAACACAAAACACACGAGCCCCAGCCCCCCCAGCAGTATACTCACTTCCTCTGGAACACGTGAAAAAATGTACCAACATCATTCTGCATTTTAACAGCAGCTGCAAAAATGGAAACTGAAACTAGAATTTCCCGTGATCTCGTTTGGACGAACAAAGGAGTCGAATCCTGCTCCGTGTCGCACTCGAAGCACACGTAGCTAGTTAGTGTACACGTTTGTTCTCGGCTACTGCACATGTCCAAATTTACGTCCGGGGAGCAGCGGGGAGCTGGTGGTCAGCTCAGGCAAAGAATTCACACCTTTTGTGTGAAAGAGGGCCCCCACTGAGCAGCGTATCTGAGCTGTCCCACTCTGCAGGCTGGATCTTAACTCTTACGTTTTCACCCCCCTGGAACAGTTTCCGTATGAACGGGGGGTAGCAACCGACATCCAACTATAGCGTTTTACTGCCACATTGTCTCCGTATAAACAGGGCCTGAAACTGAGGCTCATCTTTGCCTCTGTGGATATTAGTATAATTTTTTTTTTGCATTATGAAAGCATTTTGACAAAAGCATTTCCAAACTTACCGGTTTAGAAATGCTTTCGTCAAAATGCTTTCATGTCATGTCATGTCATTTTCTATCCCTTTATTAATCCATTTCTGGGTCGGGGAGGGGTGGTAATCAGAGCTGCCACCCAAGTATCATAGCACCAGTCAGCTCACCACCAGTGAACTTGAGTTTGGATAATATTTTCGTCAGATTTTTTTTTTAGTTGTATGTTTGGATCAATCCAAAACTCGATCACAGTTAAAGGATTGACCAATTATGTATATTTGGTTGTTTTCTTGAGAAAGTTTAAGAATAGATTATTACACATTGCTTACAGTAACCTTAGCATCACTGCTGTGAATTAATAGTAATAATTGAGTGTCCTCGTCCCCTACCCTTTCACTCATGTGTTGCTGCTGTCTCCTGCTGTGTCCCAGGAGTGCCACTGGAGAGGCCTGGCACGAGATCATGTTGTCCTGTCTGAGTCACCGGGCGTGTGACGAGAAATCAGGGAACACCGGCAAAGAGTGCGGCAGCGACTTCGCCTACTTCTACTTTGTCTCCTTCATCTTCCTCTGCTCCTTTCTGGTCAGTACACTTCAAATTAAATAAATCCTTTATTTACCAGACATTCATAATAGTACACTTTACTATTCCCAATGTAGAGCGACTATTTATACCATTTAGACCAACTGCACCCTGCACACCGTGAACTCGGTCTTGCGACTTGCGAGTAGTGTCTCACGAGCACTATACCAGCTGCAGTGTGTGCGTGGAGCCACTGGATTCAGGTCTGGACTTTGACTTGGCCATTCTAACACCTGGATACGTCTATTTGTGAACCATTCCATTGTAGATTTGGCTTTATGTTTTGGATCATTGTCCTGTTGGAAGATAAATCTCCGTCCCAGTCTTAGGTCTTTTGCAGACTCCAACAGGTTTTCTTCCAGAATGGTCCTGTATTTGGCTCCATCCATCTTCCCATCGATTTTAGCCATCTTCCCTGTCCCTGCTGAAGAAAAGCAGGCCCAAACCATGATGCTGCCACCACCATGTTTGACAGTGGGGATGGTGTGTTCAGGGTGATGAGCTGTGTTGCTTTTACGCCAAACATATCGTTTTGCATTGTGGCCAAAAAGTTCGATTTTGGTTTCATCTGACCAGAGCACCTTCTTCCACATGTTTGGTGTGTCTCCCAGGTGGCTTGTGGCAAACTTTAAACGAGACTTTTTATGGATATCTTTGAGAAATGGCTTTCTTCTTGCCACTCTTCCATAAAGGCCAGATTTGTGCAGTGCACGACTGATTGTTGTCCTATGGACAGACTCTCCCACCTCAGCTGTAGTTATCTGCAGTTCATCCAGAGTGATCATGGGCCTCTTGGCTGCATCTCTGATCATTCTTCTCCTTGTTTGCGATGAAAGTTTGGAGGGACGGCCGGGTCTTGGTAGATTTGCAGTGGTCTGATATTCCTTCCATTTCAATATAATTGCTTGCACAGTGCTCCTTGAGATGTTTAAAGCTTGGGAAATCTTTTTGTATCCAAATCCGGCTTTAAACTTCTCCACAACAGTATCTCGGACCTGCCTGGTGTGTTCCTTTGTCTTCATGGTTCTCTCTGCGCTTTAAACAGAACCCTGAGACTATCAAAGAGCAGGTGCATTTATACGGAGACTTGATTACACACAGGTGCATTCTATTTATCATCATCAGTCATTTAGGACAACATTGGATCATTCAAAGATCCTCACTGAACTTCTGGAGTGAGTTTGCTGCACTGAAAGTAAAGGGGCCGAATAATATTGCACGCCCCACTTTTCAGTTTTTTATTTGTTAAAGTTTAAATTATCCAATACATTTTGTTCCACTTCACGATTGTGTCCCACTTGTTGTTGATTCATGACAAAAAATTTAAATGTTATATCTTTATGTTTGAAGGCTGAAATGTGGCGAAATGTTGAAAGGTTCAAGGGGGCCGAATACTTTCGCAAGGCACTGTATGTACATCTGATTGGGGTGAAGTCAGTGCATCACTAATCACCAACCTCAACACACTTCACCCAAGATTTGGGCAGCACGTTGGCAGAGTGGTCAATGCTCTCGGTTCTCTGCAAGATGGTCCTGGGTTTGAATACAGTTTTTGCCCTTTTGGACGACGTTTAAATCATTTCAACCATAGTCGTTTAATAGTTTAATGAACATACCTCTTCAAGCATTGTCCAGATGCTGACACCTCAAAAATCAGTAATGTTGTATACTGTTCTTTGTGGAGTCTTGTATGCACTCGCTCTGCATGACTCCAAGAAGCTGAAGCCAGAAGAAACACTAGATTTCACAATCTATTTCCCAGCCCTACTCTTTGCTGAAGCTTATTCTGCGATGGCTGACTCCTGATCGAATTAGGGACTGATTATAGTTCTTGTTAATTTGTTGGTGAGACATATCTAATCTGTTGATTAAAACATGCACCTTTTCTGGTAGAAAGTACCATCACCTGTTTGCTAGAGTTCCACAGTAAACACGTGTCTATTTACTCAATCCCTTGAACTTTTATAGACGGCTGCCAGATAAAAAAAAATAAAAAATTCCAGTCTTTACTTTCCTGAACAAACATAAGACAATCTTCTTATATTATGTAAACATTCTGCAGCTGTACTGGACTATCATTCAGTTTATTTTAGCTCAATAACATGAGAAATGTAAATTACAGAAGGTCTTTGTCCTCATTCAGACACACTGGTGCTGTTTGCATTAGAGGTTTCAGATTTATATAGGTCTGATCTCGCCCTCAAGGGATTGATTCTTCGATCTGGTCAGTTTCTTCCCTCCTGTATCCCTCTCCAAACTCATCACTCCTTTTTCTCTCACCTCTCCCATCCCAAAGTAGACAATAAAGTATACCATAGATGTACTGAGTCTTGAGTCATCCTCAGTGTAATTTATTTACTATGTGTCACAGTTTGGTGAAGTTGGCTTGCTTTTGCAGATGCTGAACTTGTTTGTGGCTGTTATCATGGATAACTTTGAGTACCTGACTCGTGACTCCTCCATCCTGGGCCCCCACCACCTCGACGAGTTCATTCGGGTTTGGGCAGAGTACGACCCGGCAGCCTGGTATGGTTACACGCTTCTTGTTCTGGATTGTTGTGATAGAGCAGTGTGGGAACCACTTATAACACAACACTTTCCCTGTTTGACTAAAGGACTCAAGATGCAGACAGCACACTTTTGAAACTGTTACCTTTGAGCTTACTTGTTCATGTATGTGTTGTTCTTCTCCGCAGCGGACGCATTTCCTATAAGGATATGTACAATTTGTTACGCATTATCTCACCCCCTCTTGGCTTAGGAAAGAACTGCCCGAATAGGGTAGCATACAAGGTTTGCAACCAGACATTTCCGTCACTAGGGTGCTTTGTGTAGCTCTCTGCCAAGAAACTTTGAACTGAATGGCTGTGCACCAATGAAATCGCCTTTTACACTAGCCCCTCCCCTTCAAACGTCTGGCTTTGATGGATTATGCCGGGCAGGAGACAAAGCTTTCAAACCGAGGCATTGTCCCAAAACTATTCAAAAAGTTGCACACCATAGCAACACATGAGAAAGTATTGCTAATCTCTACCACTTCCCTGCATTCTCGATCTAGTGTTTTGAAAGCTTTGTGTCCGTGGTTGAAGTTGGGATGTCTGCTGAGCATGCTTGAGCAGACATCTTGTTCCGATGCTGTCATTTCTCTTCCCTGTCATCAGCTCCATACGTCTGTGGGTGGGCCCCTCCTCCATGAGCACCACGAAACTCGCTCTGTCCCATCCCACGTCTCCTCTCAGGACTCCACAGAGATGCATCCTTTGGCCCTCGCCCCTGCTCAGGCCGGGGATGGCATCCACGCTACACCATCTCACTCTCTTTGGAAATCTATTAACACCAGATTTCTGTGTTTTGTGCCTTTCCTTTACATTCTTCTCCTTTGTTTTTTCCCTTATCCCTCTCCAATCTCTAACTCCCCATCCTTTTGCGTTCATTTCTATTTATTTAAACAAAAATCAACCTGGTGAAGTGGCCGTATCAAGTACCTCGATATGTATCAGATGCTGCTCCACATGTCCCCACCCTTAGGTTTGGGAAAGAAATGTCCTCCGAGAGTCGCCTACAAGGTAGACCCTCCCACCTACTCACCCCTCCTCCCCCTGTGCTCCTCTGTGCTCCCCCTGTGCCATTGGCCTCAACCCCAGGCAACTGTCTGTGCTATGCAGTGTTCATTCTGTTCTCTTATCTTTTATTTTTGATGAAAGCTCTGGTGTGAGTCCTGATTTCATTGTACGTATATCGCAAATGTATAAGTATAGAAGGTTTATTTACATTGTGTACTTGTACTGGGGGTGGCTTGGGTTCCGTACACACTCTCATACAATTATTACTATTGCAAAAAAAGGCACATTAAAATAATGGAAAAAAATGGCTTTGTGATAAATTTACTGCAAAATAAAGCAAAAGAACAATGAGTTAGGCATAGCTTATTATAGATAATAAGATCTTATGTGGGCCGATTTAAACATAAGCTAGGTGGAGCCAATTTCCTTATACAGACATTTCTTCTGCGTGGTTTGCTTCTATGGAGGACCAAAAATGACTAAAGTATAAATAAATAAATAAATAAATAAATAAATACAGGAATATATTAATAAATACATTCATTTTGGACAATAAAAACTAAATATTTACATTGATGTGTTAAATATTACTATGAAATCAAATAAATATACTTTTATTTAGGTTATTTATCAAAGTCTACATTTTTTTCTTTATTTATTTATCCATTTATTGCATATATTTATTTATGTATTTCTACATTTCTTCATTTATTTATTTATGTATTTCTACATTTCTTCATTTATTTATTTATGTATTTCTACATTTCTTCATTTATTTATTTATGCATTTCTGTGTTGCCGTATGCTAATTAGGCGGGCGGTGCTGAACTCAATCTAGAACAGGATTGGTGGGCAGTAGGTCAGCCAGGGCAACCAGACAGAAGCAAAGTTAAGCCTAGCGTACATCGACAGAGAAACTGGAGACAAGTTGAAGGCGGCTTTTGGCGACTGAGAGGAGATGATGGAGATGATCAGTTGCCAAAATCGGTCGATGTGCGCGCTCTTACAACTGGAGATGAACAGTCGGTCTCCAGTTTCAGTCAGTTGCCCGTGTTCTACTTTTCGGCAACTAGTTGTCCTCAGTTTCGGAGATATGACCCGATGTGCGCTCCATGCGCCGCTCTGACAACGTGCGTGTGTATTGCGTGTATTGCGAGCCCGCAACAGTTTATGTCAGAAAACACACTGTAGTTGAGGCCAGTTGCTGTCGATGTACGCGCTGTTATTCCCGAGACTGGTCTGCGACTGGGAGTTGCCCGTTTTCGTCAGATTGTCGATGTGTGCGGGGCAGCAACTCATATGCGACGGATATAATCAGTTGCCAGTCCGATGTACGCTAAGCTTTAGCCTTCTCGGTTTGTGAGAGGATGTGAAGCTGCTGTATAGCTTGTTGAAGAGCGTCCAGCACAGTTGCATCAAAGTCTACCTCTGGGTCAGCACTGTGATGAACTAAAACATTTAATAGTCTTTCCAGCCGAAAGAGTAGATAGTCCTCAGGTGCATTATGCTCAACATCATTAACATCATTTGCTAATGCTCTTAATTGATGAGCAATGGCTCCTAAAAAACTTACATTCGAAACTGCCATCATACCACACAAAAGTGCACAGAGGATCTCTAGCTAGCTAACAGAGTACCGTAATGTGAGGCAGTAATGATCGAGACCAGAGTTCACGCAATCCTAACCAATCCTGTTCTAGATTGAGTTCAGCACCGCCCACCTAATTAGCATACAGGAACACAGAAATACATAAATAAATAAATGAAGAAATGTAGCGACACAGAAATACATAAATAAATAAATGAAGAAATGTAGAAATACATAAATAAATAAATGAAGAAATGTAGAAATACATAAATAAATGAAGAAATGCAGCGACACAGAAATACATAAATAAATAAATGAAGAAATGTAGAAATACATAAATAAATATATGCAATAAATGGATAAATAAATAAAGGAAAAAATGTAGATTTTGATAAATAACCTAAATAAAAGTATATTTATTTGATTTCAGAGTAATATTTAGCATATCAATGTAAATATTTAGTTTTTATTGTCCAAAATGAATGTATTTATTAATATACTCCTGTATTAATAAATACATTCCATCCGAGAGAACAGTTCCTGTAGAAGTTCCACCTTCCTCCTTTTAGCAGGAACTCCTGCGGTGGAATGGGAGTGAGTAGGAGAAAACGTCGTCCACTGCCCTATTGGGCTCCACTGAGGTAGTGGGTTAGCAGCATTCATATACATTCTATAACTATAATGCAGATGACATAAGGGTCTATAGCAGGAGAACAAAGGTGGTCTGATTCAAGCTTTGTCAGTGAGGTGCTTCTCTGTGTCCCAGTTTGTGCTTCTCCTTGGGGTAATGATGCCTGTGTGTTCAGCTTCTTACTCCTGTCCTCTGTCCATCTCATTCCAAAAGCTCCTCTGCATTCCTCTGTGTAGTGGGTGTGCCTGTTTAAAGTGCCACTGGGTCTGGAGATGAAATGCAGCCATATTTAGCCCCTATTTTATTATGTTAATGTATGTTCTTTTACTTTTTCCACTGTAAAAGTAAACTGCTTTAGCCTGGTAAGTCGCCTGGCAAGCTACGCCCACTTTTCTTCAGCACGAGTGAAATGGTTGTAGAGGCGGATGGTAAAAATGAGTTCGGCTGAGGTGCAGATGTAGTCAAACACAAAGAGACAATCACAGTGCCCTCTGACTTCCACGTCCATTGAAATTCATAGTCAGTTGTACATTTGACGCTAAGCGAGATAAGTGTCTGCTCCAGTTAAAGTTGTGGTGTAGACCACACCATTAACTAAATATGGAACATACAATACTACAGGACTGAATATGAGATAAGTACCTACTCCTCTCTTTAGCCTCAGGTCCGAACAGCTCTACTAGGCCCTACTCGACTGAACTCTACTGTACTTTACTCAACTTATCTCTGCTCAACTACTCTACTCTACTCTACTCGGCTGTACTCTGCCCCGATTGGGAGTGTTTCCATTGGCCCCGTTTGACCGGTGCCAGGTATTTTTTTAATACCTGCTTGGCCATGGTTCTATTCAGGCCAAGCTGATTGACCAGAGGGTGGCTGAGTGGATAGCACTCCCGCTCTTCTGCAAGAAGGTCCTGGTTTCTAATCCCAATCGCAACACGGCTTTTCTGAGTGGAGTTTGCATGTTCTCCCCGTGCTTTTGTAGGTTTCCTCTGGGTGTTTCAGTTTCCCCTACCACTAAAAACATGAACACTATGTAAAATCCTCCAGCTCCGGTATTGACCAAGCCGTGCATCAACATCTGGAGATGGGTCCCCGGGCCCTGTTACTACGGCGACCACTGCTCCTGACGTAATCCTTAGTGGCATCAGGATGGGTCAAATGCAGAGGATGAAGTGCCCTACAGGGATAGATAAAGTGCACCTTTATCTCACCTTTACCTTTACCAGAGGGCTGTAAAGTTTTGTCTACCATGGCATTTCCTGGACACTGGTTTGTTTTGGGTAGGTTTCTAGGATTCAGTACCCGATACTTAAAGTAGCAGTAGGTAATATTTGCAAGTCAAGTCATCATTAAATGGCCCCCATATTTCAAAAGGCGTTATTAAATCAAGCTCTTTTCGAATACATCTTTAACTGATAACAGTTGTTCAGCCGAGATATTTGAATATCAAAATTAGTTTTACGACCCGTAAAAGTTGCCAATCAGGAAGTGTCATGTAAGTTTATTTTGTTTTGTGTTTTTTATCTCAAATGTCCAAATAAAAAAATTAAAATAAACATTAATTCAACATTAGCACGCCTCATGGCAATGTGAATGCAGACAGACAAACAACTGATAAAATAATTATCTGTGTTTGCTGCTGGATTTGGTGTGTATCTGGCAACCTGAGTCAGGGAGAATGGGAGAGGACTACAAAATATTGACTATGACTGCAGTACCACTTTTAGCCAGATTTTTACATATTTGTTCCTTTAAAAGTAATGGAAATGCAACCAGGTAGAGTGGAGCCGAGTTGAGTAGAGTCGGGCAAAGGTGGAAATATTTTTATTATATTGTTTCGGATCAATATTGAGGTTTTCGAAAGTACCACTATGTAGAAGGCATCCCTAAATGCGCAAAAGAGCTGCATAATTAGTCTTTTAAAGTTACAATATTCAGTCAACCAGTAGCTTGCTGATAAGCTAAACCTTGTTCCGTCAAGGAATGTTTGAAAGATTAATTTAATTTGATTTCCTGTTTGAATGTGTTTACGTGTGCGCGTTTGCGTGTGTGTGTGTGTGTGTTTGTGTGTACGTATGCGCCCCCATGGTCATGTCACTGGCTCTGGTCTCTGCTCTGCACTGCCTTGGACAGCTCTTCTGGATGACTGCTTCTGTGTTCAGGGGAGCTCAACTCGTAACACTGTCGTCAGCTCACACACAGTACTGTTGGAACACTGTTCACAAGCCAAGATCAGCTCACTGCAAAAAAACAAAAACTTTGAAATAGTTTGAAATCAGATTTTTCTTCCAAGTTGATTAGGAACTTCTGGCAGGGAGTGGTTTACGCTCTCAACTGTCAGCATGAAAGTCCTGGGTACGAATCCCGGTGGAATTTGTTTGTTCTCTCTGCATAGGTTTCCTCCGACTGCTCCGGTTTCCCCTACTAATACAAACATGTATAATAAGCAAAATCCTCCTGCTCTGTTCCAAACTAAGAGCATCATTATCTGGAGGGATGGATCCCAGGCGCTGCGAAAATGAAATAGAACATGGATTTGTCATATTTTTGTCCAGTCTTTTGGATGTTTTCATTTAGACAATATCAAATTAATTTCAGTATAATGTCAATTACATTTTCAAGTGAGTTGTAACTTTTTTTGCAGTGACACACCGCTATTGCTTCTAAGCTTGTTGGAATAGACATGGTTACCAGAGTGGAGCTCCTTAGATTGGGACACACGTTCTTTCATGGTTATGCGGTACATGCCTTATCTGTCTGTTCTCCACACATTTCTCTCCGGTCTCTGTTGGTCTTGCACCAGTGCACTTTTGACTTGCAGCATATTGTAGCTATAGCAGCGAATGTGGATGTGGTTTGTCTCTTCTTTGTTTTGTTATGTTTTAGAGGGCTTTTTGTGTGCTGGACAGACACCTTCATAAATATCTATGTTCCATTTTGAAATAACACATGCAAAACATATATTTTTCCGTCTCAAAAACAGACCTGCAAAGCTGATTACATTAATCGACACTAACAAATACACCCTGAAAGCCATATCAAAGTTTAGTGCCATACAAATGAAGTATCACCCCTTATTGAGCAAATTTGCTCCTTTAATAAACATGTTGAAGATTATTGCTAGAAGCCAGAGAGAGACCAGTGGGAGAGACGAGAGAGTGATCAGAGGGAGAGACCAGAGGTAGACCAGTGAGGGAAACCATAGAGCAACCAACAAGAGAGACCAGAGAGGGAGACATGAGAGAGATCACCAGAGACCAGAGAAAGAGACCAGATTAAAAAAAAGAGAGAAGGGCTAGAGGGACACCTGAGAGAGAAACCAGAGAAAGGCCAGCAAGACTGACCAAAGAAAGACCAGAGGGAGACCAGAGAGAGAAACCCGAGAAATAGCCACAAAGTGAGGCATGAGAGAGACCAGAGAAATACCAGCGAGAGACCAGAGAGAGGCCAGAGAGAGACCAGAGAGAGGGACATGAGAGAGAAACCACAGAAAAAAACAGTTCAAAATGGAGATATCTGTGTTAGCCGATACATTTCTCATATGTAAATCCATATCTTTACTAAACAAATTATGTGAAATTCCAAATGAAGTATTCCCAAAATGCTATCATGGAGCACACAATCGGTCCTCTCTGGGTGGCCTTCGGTGTTATGGTTCACATATTGGTGTCCAGCTAATGTTGGACCGTCTCTTTTTCTTTACTTCTCTGGAACTCTCTGTTTTTAGCGGCTGGTTAAAATGAATATGCCGATCGCAGATGACAACACTGTCCACTTCACGTCGACGCTCATGGCCCTAATCCGCACTGCGCTGGAGATAAAGTTGGCCTCAGGTGAGATCGACACACACACACAGACTGTGCATAACCAATCCAATACAAGTGTGCTGCAAAGTCATGTCCTTGTGGTTTCTCTGGCAGCAATAAGCCCCGAATCCTATCACTGAACACAATCTCATCCTTCCATTATTACGCATTCATAATATGTGGGTCGGGGGTGGCAGTTGGAGCTGCTACCAAATTCTCATAGCGCCAGCCTCTCAATGGTCCTCCTGCAGGTGGGGCGACGACATAACCTTGGTCTTTCAGCTGGGGCATCAGGCACAGTTAAAGGAGCATTATGTAAAAATCTGGCCAAAAGTGGTACTGCAGTCACAGTCAATATTTTGTAGTCCTCTCCCACTCTCCCTGACTCAGGTTGCCAGATACGCACCAAATCCAGCAGCAAACACATTCACATTGTCAAGATAGCCGTGCTAATGTTGAATAAATGTTTATTTATTTATTTATTTTTTATTCGGACATTTGAGATGAGAAAAAATAAATAAAAGCAATGTATTTATACATTGATTATGAAAAATAAATAAGCAATTGATGTCCAAAATAGGAGTGGGAAGAATGGATGTTGGAACATATTTCTTCAGCGTATCAACATCAAGGTTTCCTCCAGAGCAGGGGTCACCAACGCGGTGCCCGCGGGCACCAGGTCGCCCGCAAGGACCAGATGAGTCGCCCGCTGGCCTGTTCTAAAAATAGCTCAAATGGCAGCACTTTCCAGTGCTATTCTTGTTTAAATCATACTTACATGCAACTTACAAATGGCATATAAACTAGAGCCGGGACTTTAACAAGTTAATAAAGATTAATTAATTACACACAAAAAAGCGCGTTAAAAAAATTACGCATTTTAATCGTATGTATTTTTGCACCGCGGAACGTTCCTCACTGAATAAGTTTCAGACGGACCAATTGAACTGACGCACCAACCGGAGCTCCGTGACTTTTCTTGTTCAAAAGTACATTATTACAAGCAGAGACCAACTTTAAATTTGAGTAAATTAGACGGGAATGAGCGCTGTGTATGGAGCGAAGGACTCTGTGTGTGAGGAGGAGGAGCAGTGACTCCTGTGTGAGCGGAGGAGGAGGAGGAGGAGGAGAAGGAGGAGCGAGACACAGGTGTGTGAGCTGCTAATGCTGATGTTTACTCCGAATGCACACATCAAAAACGTATTATAAAAGCTTTAGCAAACAGCGCATGCCCAGCTTTAGTGCTCACAGCGTGTGCAGTGGATTTTGGGCTTAAAAAGAGTATGTTGTCGTCAGTGTGAGGAGGAGCATATGTTGTCGTCAGAGTGTGGAGGCAATGACAGAAACGTTATTTGATGTTTAGAAGTTATCCCTTAAACTCCATATTAACATGTGTTGCTTAAGCCTCATGTATTCCGTTATTATTCAATGGTAAACTAAAAATCCATGTGAACTCACTGTTCTCAGGTCAAATATTTATATGCGATTAAAATGTGATTAATTGCGATTAAATGGGACTGTCTTAGAAGTGATCATTTGTTAAATTTGAAAAATGTGCACTTAGAGAAAATATAAAAGTTTTTCCACAGAATAAATATCATTAATTATTAGTAAAAACATAGAATTAAAGGTAAATTGAGCAAATTGGCCATATCTGGCAATTTATTTAAGTGTGTAACAAAACTGGTAGCCCTTCGCATTAATCAGTACCCAAGAAGTAGCTCTTGGTTTCAAAAAGGTTGGTGACCCCTGCTCCAGAGGATATCACCCTTAAAATGTTTTTATTCCCTATTTTTTAGACAAACATGTATAAGTCCCACATCAAAAAGAGACTAACATTATTTGAATTGGGGTACATGTGGTCTCAAATGATTCTTATTACAATTAAGCTTTAATCTGCAAATAACGGCTTGTTTTTACCTTTTACCGTTTTTGAGAAATCTATCATAGAATAAATCACATATAGTTTAATCCAAAACATATCTCGCCCAGACTCAATGCCCAGCCACTGGAGTGCCAGCGCTATGACTTAACCGTTAGACCACCAAGACACATACTTGAACTGTCAATGAAGAACAAACTCAAGGCAGCAAGTTTTGCATCACAGAATGTTTTTATCCGCCTTCAATTGTCTCAATTGTTCAAAGGCGTCCCGATATAAATCCTTGTTTTAGTCTTTGTTTTGTCATTAATGATGTGAGAGTCATAACAAGACCTTTTTTAGTCTGCGGCCACATGTTATTTTACCAGTGAGATTATCTAGCCGCGGGGAGTTCTGGCAACACGGATCTCGGACTTCCTGATTGGTGAAACGGCGAAGGGTGGGACATTAAAATGAAAACAACAACAACTTTTACGGGTCGTAAAACTAATTTTGATATTTAAATATCTCGGCTGAACTACTGTTATCAGTTAAAGATGTATACGAAAAGAGCATAATTTAATAACGCCTTTTGAAATATTGGGGCCATTTAATGATGACTTGACATCCTTTAATCCTCTTCATGTAGTGACTATGATCATGATTTTATTTTTTTACGGCAGATAAGTTTGAATAAACAACACACTAATGCTAATAGTTCTGTTGCTAGTGCACATGTACCAGGCCTCAAAACCACACAGGGGCATTATGGGTTTGTATCTGTGCAAAAGTGATTAGCAGCCCCAGACATTGGAGTAAACTGATCATGTGAATGTTCTGTTGAGCTAAACCAGGGAAATGTACTTTTTTTTACCTGCAACCCATGATATGTGGAGGATTCACCCGCCTTACGTAGTGATTTTCACTCAAAAGAAAAAAAATAGCATCAGAACTTTGTCTGTGGAGGAGAAGAGCCTTTGATGTGACGTCGTTTCCCTGACGTTCTGTCAAAGGGCCGGGACCAAGGGACATAAGGGGCAGGGCATAAGGACTTTTTGACGTTCCCATGATCTGTTTGTTCATTTATTTATTTTTATCCCAATTGCCTTCCACAAGTTGTGGCTTGTGAATGAGGTCCATTCTGCATCAAATCGTTTCACCTTACAAAATTCAAATCTACTGTACACAAAGCAATAGTGTTTTTATTAAATACTATGACTGTCTATATGCAGTCAGAGGTCAGAGCACTGGTCCAGTTACACAGGCTGAAGACTCAAGCTCTATTTGGCCACAGCTCTTTGTTGTCAGACTCATGATGATACACTGTACATCCCTGTGTACAGTGTGACTGTTTACAGAGTGCATTTATGGCCCTTGTGTCCATGTGAAGCTTTTTAATCGCAGTGTTGTAATAACTATAATGACTGGTTCATTTTGATATGAAAAGCCCATAGTCCCTCTCTGATGTTGTACCAAATAAAACCGAATGGCGCTTGTTCATGGAAAAGGCAACTGCATCAAAACTAAGAGATCTGAAACTGACAAATGCTGCCAACTAAAAAATGACTATTGTGAGCTTTCAATGAAGTATGTGTTTGTTAGGGTTTTATAAAATTTATATTTTAGGCAGGCTAAAAAAACCGCATGCAGAGTGATATAGGACTGACATATTATTCTAGTGTATATTTACATAAACTAGAAGGTTCTAGCTTTAAAATGATGAATCACACAAGCATGTGATGTGTTAGACATTTGGGTATGCCCAACTTTGGTGCACAAGCCAAAATAAGGTGGGTGTTTAACACAATGACAGTGGGGAAGAGATGAAAATGTTACCAAACTGATCCTGGTCTTCTCTGTCCTTCCCAAAGCAGCTGAGTTCTTGATCCAAAAGCCATATTTTGTCCTTGAGTGATCACATTTATACAGCTCTTTTCTAGCTTTTCATTGCACTCAAGCGCTTCACATCAAGGACTCACCACTCGCGCGCATTTAAGTGTCTTGCACAAGTACACACACCAACAGTCACCAACGGGAGCTGGTTTCACACCTGCCAACCTGCGGGTCAGCCGATCTGACCGCTCAACTAATGATGTTTATGTCGGAAGCAGGATTTGAACTTTCCTCAGCTCAGAGACACACACTCTACCGCCGCCACCCAGAAAACCTCTCTCCCATTTGGACTCATTAGCAGAACTTTCAGCTGCTCCGTTGGGTTCACTGTCTCAATCTGCACTTTTAATAAGGGCTTATTATCTCAGTACTGAGTTTATATAATGCCAGGCTGACTTTCTGCCTGTTATGTGAGTGAGTTTGCTCAAAACGTTGCAGCTTGTGTCCTGACTAGAACCAGGAAGTACAATCACATTAGTCCTGTTCTCAGGTCTCTGCACTGGCCTCCTGTGGCTCAGAGAATAGGCGCGCCAGTGTGTTCAGCAACTCGCTTCCATCATCACCGTGTGTAAAATAAATGAAACAATATCTGAACTCTGAACATTGTAAAGCAAATGGGTGACCTTGGTCTGTTGCGCTATATAAATAAACATTACTGACTTACCATGAGCACAGATTGACTCTTTGGTCCTGGGTCTTCGCCGAGCTCCTCCAGATGCTGCGGGCTAAATATTTTACCATTCTTCTTGTGGCTTGTTGCAGGTATGGTTGCCCAGCGCCTGAGTGATGCTGAGCTGAAGAAGGAGCTGTCCACGGTCTGGCCCAGTCTATCCCAGAAAACCATGGACCTGCTGGTTACGCCACACAAACGTACTTTGCCTTATCCTACTACTTTTATCTCAACCACAAACTCAACTTCCCCTGTTCATGTTCAAGTTGTCTTTATTGTCCCACTAGGGGAAATTGGTTTTGAAGCTACAATCATCTAAATTAAAAACAGGCATATACAGTAAGATCACAAACATTGAAGAAAACAAGACAGATTATCACAAAGCTAATTCTCATTGCAAATATGCTGTAAAGTGCATATTACATTATGTCTCGCTGTAATATTTTCATATCCACCCATTCAGTATCTTATTTCTTCCATAATTTAGATTTTTTTCACAGTATTATGTTGTTGAGACAATCTGGTATTTTCAACACAGATTTCTACTGAAACTACTAGATACTACACACTATTTACACCTTTTCTTGCTTCCTATTTCTATAGAAGCTCTTTGCTTGTTCCCTTTTGGCAAATAATCCAAGTATTAAGATTGCTGCAGATATTATTTCCCTGACATTTATTAGAAAGCTATTGGTTCTTCAGAAATGGACTGGATATGACTGACTTATTGTTGATTTTTAACCGCTCTTCAGTTGGTACCAGTTTTATGTACGGAAGTAAGAGAATGGATTAGGTGTCTCTGACCTTTTCCTAGAGAGCGTTGTAAATAGGCGTAAAACATCACTATGGCAACAAGAAGGTGCCAGTTACGGGACACACTATAAAACATATTTTTACATCATGAATGGACAATAAGTCAGTTGACAACAGTATAAACAAATATTGTAATATGTAATAAAAATAAATAAATACATGAATATAAAATAGATAGAGAGGACCACACAACTCATGTTTTGGAAAGCCAGATAATAAGAGTCCAGAGAGGGAGAGACCAGAGAGAAAGACCAGAATGGAGAACATGAGAGACACCAGAGAGGGGGGACTGGAAACAGGGAGCAAGACCAGAGAGACAAACTAGAGAGAGGGAGATTAGAGAAAGAGAGCGACCAGGGAGCGACTAGAGAAAGACCATAGAGAGAGTCCAGAGACAAGGGAGAGGCCAGAGGGACTAGAAAGACCAGAGAGGGAGGGCCATTGTAAATTAGACTAGACAGGCTATAAATGTTGTAGTGTTTCACTTCTTTCTACCAAATATCAAAACAGCTCCCTTGTTTATCACTCAAACAAGGGAGCTGTTTTGACATTAATAAAGGCAAAAGTACAAAGTTGTATTTAAATGATTATACTTTGATTTTTCAGCAAATGAGCTCACTGTGGGGAAGGTGTACGCAGCTCTGACCATCTTCGACTACCTGAAGCAGAACCGCATGAGGAACCATCTGCACAAGGACGACAGCGGAACAGGACCCCAGGTACCAGCAGTGTCCTCCTACTGGGAGCGCAACACAACCACCAGGGCAACACTACCACCACAGCAACACAACCACCATCGGAACACATCCACCACCTCAACATTATGGCAACACTACAACCACCGCAACACACAACCACCAGGGGACCACACTACCACCACCTCAAAACAACCACCACAGCAACACAACCACCAACAACCACAACAACACAACCCTAACCGCCAGGGCAACACAATGATCACAGCAATACAACCACCAACCAAAACACACAACCATCACTGCGTCACACAACCACCAGGGGAACACTACCACCACTGCAACACAACCATCAACAACCACAGCAACACAACCCTAACCACCAGAGCAACACAATGACCACAGCAATACAAGCACCAACCAAAACACACAACCATCACTGCAACACAACCACCACACAACTATGCCAACACAGGAACACACAACCACCACATCAGCACAAATATGCCAACACAACCACCAAACACCACGGCAACACAACCACAGGAGTATACAACCACCATGGCAACAGAACTACGCAGAGATGATCTCCAAAGCGACACACATTTATGTCACATACATTACACACCCACTATAGTTGAGCAATTGCATTGTTTCAAACCCATGTAGAAACTTTTAGATTTAGACGAAGAATTCTATCCATATAAATACCAGAAAGAAATCTTGCCACATTAATCATTATATTATTCTGCATGGTCTTAGGCAATTTAAGTTTGTTTGGTCATGTGTTTTAGTTCTTATCTAATTCCCCGTTTCCACCGGCCCTGCTTAACTGGTATCAGGTACTTTTTAGTACCTGAACGGCCCTGGTTATATCCGGGCCGAGCTGGTTCTAAAGTACTGTCAGCGATTGACCAGAGTGCTGCTGGAATCAAAGTTTACCATGTAATTTTCCTGAATTCTAGTTTGTTTGGAATAGTTTGCTAGGATACGACACCAGATATTAAAGCGTAATGGAAACGCAACCAGGTAGAGTAGGGCGGAGTGGAGTGGAGTAGAGTCGGACCAAGTAGAGCTGAGTAGAGTAAAGTAGAGTAGAGTAGAGTATATTAGAGTAGCACCAAGTAGGGCTGGTGGAAACTGGGCTAAAATGCTTGAATACTGAAATTATCCACATGGTTTTCCTGAAGCACAATTCGCTGAAGCTGTGCACAGTGTTGGGGGGTAATTAAACACATATATTAATAATAGTCATTTTGAGGAACTACACTCTGACCTTTTTTTGTTGGTGGTATTCTGAAACTTTAAAACAATGTGATGCCATTTCAAAAGACATGCCATTAGTATAGTATTCTCCCCAACACTGGCTGTGCATGTGAACCTGGGGTCTTGGAGATTAACCAAAACAGAAGTGTCTAATCCTGCACACTGGCTGGTCATCGATCTAAGAGAGCTTTGCATTTTAGACTCTGCATGCATACTGCGCACTACACCACACAGACATCCAAATGCACCTTCTGAAAGCATGATTGCAACTTGATGAATATTGTGGCCCAAACCTGGAGCAGTGGCGTCCTCTGCTGTCTGGTTTGGGTGGTACAATATTGTGCCTGCTGCCTCTGGACTCCCTCAGCATGTGGTCATCATGTCTCCTCCACAGTGCAAGCTCGGGGCTCTGTTTAAGCCTCTGCTGCCTCTGCCTCACATGCAGGAGGTGGTTGTGATGTCGAGGGGCACAGAGCCTCCCAGAGAGTCTGAGAACCAGCACGAGACCGGACCTAACCCCAGCTCTCTCAACAACGGAGGAGCACCGTAAGTCTGTGGAGTTATGCTGCTCACGGTCAGAGGAGGAAGTGGTGATACAAAATACATATGATAAAATACTTTGCTCCATAATGTTGTTAAATATAAAATGTAGTTTTACTTTGTGGATGACCTGTCAGAGCTCAGAAGCTAAGCAGGGCAGGACCTGGTTAGTGCTGTGACGGGAGTCATTTGGGAGCACCAGTTGACACATTGAGGCATCTGTAAAATTCTAAATTGATATTGTGTCCTTAGGCCTGGACTCTCCCGGTTGCGTCAAACAGATTATAAGTAAAACCCTCTCAGTTTCAGATCTGTTACACAGATTTTTATTTAGCAGCTAAAAAGTGAATAGAAGCAGCTCCACTGTCCACGCCAGGCATCCATCTGCTTTCATAGAGAGCAGTCTATCCAAGGAGAGGTAAAAGTATGCACAAGGTCTGTTTTCCATTGAAAATACACAGAAGTTTTTGAGCAGTTCTTGATGCAGTTTTGTCCCATTGGCAGAGATGAATACAGTTGTGCATTCACATTTACTTTCTGATCAGAGCATTTGTCATCATCAGATACAAAGACAAATCATATCTGGTGATGTTGTTTCCACTTTAAGCCTCATAGAGCCAATCATGTACACTTATGAATGGCTTCTACAGTGATGAACACAACAGTGATGAACACTACAGTGATGAACACAACAGTGATGAACACTACAGTGATGAACACTACAGTGATGAACACAACAGTGATGAATACTACAGTGATGAACACTACAGTGATGAACACAACAGTGGTGAACACTACAGTGATGAACACAACAGTGATGAACACAACAGTGATGAACACTACAGTGATGAACACAACAGTGATGAACACTACAGTGATGAACACAACAGTGATGAACACAACAGTGATGAACACAACAGTGATGAACAATACAGTGATGAACACAACAGTGATGAACACAACAGTGATGAACACTACAGTGATGAACACTACAGTGATGAACACAACAGTGATGAACACAACAGTGATGAACACTACAGTGATGAACACAACAGTGATGAACACTACAGTGATGAACACTACAGTGATGAACACAACAGTGATGAACACTACAGTGATGAACAATACAGTGATGAACACAACCGTGATGAACACTACAGTGATGAACACTACAGTGATGAACACTACAGTGATGAACACAACAGTGATGAACACTACAGTGATGAACACAACAGTGATGAACAATACAGTGATGAACACAACCGTGATGAACACAACAGTGATGAACACTACAGTGATGAACACTACAGTGATGAACACTACAGTGATGAACACTACAGTGATGAACACAACAGTGATGAACACAACAGTGATGAACACTACAGTGATGAACACTACAGTGATGAACACTACAGTGATGAACACTGCAGTGATGAACACAACAGAGATGAACACTACAGTGATGAACACTACAGTGATGAACACTACAGTGCGGTAGAGTTAGGGCGGCACGGTGGCTGAGTGTTAGCACTTTCGCTTCTCAGCAAGAAGGTCCTGGGTTTGAATCCCGGTAGGAACACGACCTTTCTGTGTGGAGTTTGCATGTTCTCCCCGTGTCTGCATAGGTTTCCTCTGGGTACCCTGGTTTCCCCTACCACTAAAAACATGTTTAATTGATCTGGCATGCGCCTCCTGTGCTGGCGACCCCGCTCTCTGTGTGGCGTGAGAGACAAATGCTCACAATTGTAAACCGCTTTGTGATACTGGTCTGTGAAAGGCGCTATATAAATAAAGATTACTTACTTACTTAATGAACAGAGCCGTTGCTCCCCTCACTGGAGCGTTCTGGCGAAGTTCGTACTCCTCATGTTCCTCCGATAGTGGAGGTGTTGTTGGGCCTCAGCACATGTTCTTGGTCATTGTCTTTTATTCCCTGTAGCAAGTTTACACAGGACAGAGGGCTTGATACAAACTACAGTCTGTAATAATATTGAAATCATCAACTAGTGTGTCCTGAGTGTCTTTCCTCACACCAGACCCAAAGAGCCACCGCAAATCATCACCAAGAGACCACTGTCCCGGGACGCTTCAGAGGACACCCCCGACAACACTGGCCAGGTAAATACAGGGAGACACACACAGACACATAGAGACACCCACTCACACAGACACACAAGCACGCACACACACAGATGAAAACATGAGGCTGATGAGATGATTCAAAGATCCAGAAATCCCCATCTATAGCACACATATATTTGCAGTTGGTTAAATTTAAATGCTTTGGTTTCTCATGTTTTGCAGGACTGTGTGGAGATGGTGAATATGGAGACCAGTGGCAGCACTTTGCCGATCCCTGGGTCAGGCCTGGAGAACCAGGGCCGGGCCGCCTCTATGCCACGCCTCAATGCAGAGGTCAGACCAACAGTCCGGATTTAACAAATAGCATTTACTCAGGAAAAACAATAATAACACGTTGGAGCCATTGATCCATAGGGCGCCGGAAGACCACTGTTCAGAAATGTCCTTAAATGGCCCGGAGCATCACTGTCCTTAGACCCTACTGCATCTATTATTGTTCATCTCTGACATTATACACTAGACTGCTTCAATAACAAAATATACATATCATTGTTATGCTTACAACAGGATGATTGTGTACTATACTTCCTTATCATCCATTAATTTATATACTTTAAAGTTAGATTACGCAATGTTCTCTTAAAAAAAATTGCTGAGTGACGGCTGAGCATGGTTTGATTCCACCTCCAGACACAGACTTTCTGAGTTATTTGCATGTTCGCTTTGTGTCTGTGTAGGTTTCCTCCAGGTGCTCTGGCTTCCCCTACTACTAAAAACAAGTACAATAACTCCTCTCTCTCTCTGGAGTCAGAACTCCTCTGAAAAACAGATTCTGAAATCTCAGCGCTCCTGACCAAGACCCCAGTGGAAATGAAGGACAGGTCGAAGGCAGAGGACACATTTCCCTATGGGAACAATAAAGTATAACTTCACTTTTCCCACTGGATTTTTCAGTGTTTTTTTGCTGATACAAAAGGTTCTAAAGACTGACATGATCCATGACATTTATGGACAGTGGTCATCCTGCTCCTTCATCCTGCTATGTGTTTGTTATTATTGCATTTCCCGTGTTCAAACTGTTCTTTTTGACAACCTTGTTATGTCCTCCAAGACAACTGTTATTGAGAATTAATCCACAAATTAATTGAATTGAAGTTGAGAGCCAAAAAGAGGAGAATGTCCTGATATATATAGCCTTGCATATAGAGGCATCTGTTTTGGTCACAGTTGATGGTTCATTACAGGAAATCTGGCTGAGTTATGAACTCTGTTATGAACTGTTTCAGCACACATTATGGCTTCTGCAATACCGTTAAGTCCCCAAAACCTCTGAATGAATGAATCACAGAAATACAATCACACGCTCCCCATTTCCTGAGTGATGTTAAAGCCATTCGATCTCAACATTTTAGTGCATTCCTTTCACCGGCCAAATTGGAAACGCATTTGTTGATCCTGCTCGCTCTGTGCGCGGGAGAAGGATATAGTAATCTGATGATGGTCATGGAAGTCGGCCAGCGATGTGCCTGCTGTCATTCTCCAAGTGTGAAAGAGGAAAGAGCCAACCAATGCTCTTCTATCAAGATTCAGAAGAGAAGCCTGTAATTTGTTTATCTCTGATGGGAGTGGGAAAGGTCTGACAGTGTTAGTGAAAGTGGTGCAGGAGGAAATAGGAGATGGTGGTTCCCATGGTGAGTGGACAGGAAATCCCTCAGCCTCTTCCATTAAATGTGGACCTTTTGGTTTTCACAGTTGAGTTTACAGCTCCTACTTCTTTTCTTTATTGCTTGCGTTTGGGGCTTCTTGTCAAACTAATAATTTAAATTCGATTACATTTATTTGTTTACAGCCCAAAATCACAATAGCCTCGGAGGACTTTACAAAGTTGTTGATTCTCCAACAACAGATCATAGAATCGAACCCAGGAAATGCAATTATAACGAGAGCAGGATGACCGCTGTTCATAAAAGTGCATAAATGTCCCAGATCATTTCTGTCCTCAAACCCTCCTGCGTCAGCTAAATAGTGAGAAACCTCATATTTGAGAATAGCACCCGCTCTGACGGACGAATGGGCTGTAGATCCAGGACTGAGGCTGTAGATCCAGGACTGAGGCTGTAGATCCAGGGCTGAGGCTTTAGATCCAGGACTGATGCTGTAGATCCAGGACTGAGGCAGTCGATCTAGGACTGAGGCTGTAGATCTAGGACTTAGCATCTGCTGAGAGAGGACTTCATCACAGGCTGCTGTCAGCTCATGAAAACTGTTTAATGAGGGAAAAGTAAAAGTCTGTCGTGTCTGTATCAGCTACTGAAGAAGAAGATCCTTTATTTATTTATAAAGCTATCTGTCACTAGACTGTTAACATTTCCTTTCCCTGCATATCTTGTATGTTGCAATGTATGGATTTGCCTTCCTAGGGACTAAGGATGAAAACTATCTCCGTAGTTATAATCCAGAATATTTACATTTGTTTTATTCTTACGTTCAATATTGTGCATTTTCCGTATCAAATAAATAAATTGGGACATTGGGACAGGCTTCAAAAGGCTTCCACTGTGCAACGTAATGCATCTGCAGGCGGACTACCAACCTTTGAATTATATCACTGAGAGTTTGTATGGCATCCTCTGTGGGCCGGGTTTGGTAGTTCAGTTGAAGAGGCTTGGCTTGGAGTTTCTCATAGCACATTATCCACAATTCTAAAGAGGCTACATATTGGAACAGTGCTTTGGATCGACTTAAAGTATCACTTCTTTAGTCATTTTTACTGACGTGTTTGTCTTTGACCTATAAAATTGATAAACAATTGTCTCGTGTTTTTGTCATTTTCCGCAGAGGAACCAGTTGCGCCTCTCCCCTGGAAACCATCTCACCGTATGTATATGTCTCACTTTTCATTGACGATTGGTTTGTATTTATTTATTTTTGAATTATTTTTTTACGAAACAAACCGGAAAAATGTAATTTCTGGTTCTAGAACTTTGGAAAATCCTAATATTAAGAGTTTGAAGGCATAATGGAGGATACTGTATGTGGCTATCTCTGGATAGTGATAGTGCCTGGGTTTTAAACTTTTTAAACTTACAATTCAACACAATTTTTGGCACTTCTAACTCTTTTCAGTTGTGTGTTTATTACATAAGGCAAGGCAAGTTCATTTGTGTGACACAATTCATACATAAGTCAACTCAAAGTGCTTTAATAAAACAAGATACAAAAAGCAATCATACATTACAATCATAAAGAATCACAGTACCTTACAATGAGTGAAGATAAAATCCCACAGTTGTATGCACAGCTAAACAGAAACCTTTTTGACAATTTCAGGAAAAATGTTCTAGATTATAGCTGCATAAGTCTGAAAGGCTGCCTCCCCATGTTTTGTCCGACACCAGCACCAATGCACAAACTCTCCAGTGTGTACTTTTAATTCAAACGTAATCTCTGAGAAAACCCAGACTCAGATCTGAGTACTTGTCCTGGAGCAGGGCCTCCTCCTGATTTTTTCCATAGAAAACCATGCACATGATATGTTTCTTTCTTATCTGAAAGAATCCTTTTGTAGGAATAGTTGTTTGTTCTTTCATGTCTGATCATTAACATAAACTCCTGAACACAGACTGTCCCGGACGCCAGCCCCATGAGGCGCTCTGCCTCCAGCGTGACCCCACATCGCCCCCAGGAGGTGAATCTAAGGGACTACACCCTGGAGAAGCCCAGCCAGGACAGCAGAACCCATCACCGGCACCATCACCACCACTGCCACCACCGCCGGGACAGAGACAGAGACCGGGAGCGGGACAAGGAGAAGAGACAGCGGTCTTTGGACACTCCGGTGGGGGGACACCCTGTTGCTGCAGCTGCTGGTGGGTCAACATGTCTCTTTAAACACACCACCTCAACACTTTCTATTTATTACATATATTACACAAAGCATGTGTCATGATTAAATACAGTAACATGTAGTGATTTTATTACATTTAAATCACAGAGGAGGTCTTTTGTTGTTTTTGGTAAGTTATTTCTGTGATTCCATTGTGTTTATGGTCTGTATCCTGCTCCTTCCTGCAGTGGTTCCTGTGGAGGCCCGATCTGAGCCTGCCCCCCGGGAGCGGCCTCACGACAGGGGCCGGTCCCACGAGAGGAAGCATCAGCACTCCTCCGTGGACAAGCAGCGATACTACTCCTGCGACCGCTACTGCAGCCGGGAACACTGCCGCACAAGCACCAAGTCTGCCACAGCCAGCTGTGCGGCCTCCCCCAGGGACGAGCAGGACACCAGCAACAAGCAGGTGGGACGGGCCGCTGCTCTGTGGGAGGGGAGGACACCAGGGAGGACAGGACAGAGGACAGGACAGGACAGGAAAGAGGAGGACATCACGGAATGTATGAGATAATCTAATGTTATGCAATAAGCTACATTGTTTTAACTATGCAGAACCCAATGCAGCGGAGGCTGGTTTCAAGGACTGTGCTCTGACTCTGTTCCTGTATTTGTTAAATCACACAATCTTTTTCTCAAAACACTATGTTGCTGCTCTGTCTGCGGGCCTATAAAACTGTCAAAAGCTTCATTATCAGTGCAATGCTTGTGATAAATCATGCGGTCTCTGGTGCCCTCTAGTGCATTATGACACCATTGGATTTTTTATCTGCTTGAGGAAAATATCTAAACCTGACAAGGGAAAAATATACGGTCATTCAGTAAATAGAAAAATAATGTATTTTATCAGCTAAATGTTATTTTTCATTCACTTGTATACATTTATTTTGCTAAGTTAACATTATAAACCTGTGTATGCAGCTGTTGTGGCACAAATGGTTTTTTTTACAACACTGTCATACCTGCTTTCTCTGTCTTCTTGTGGTGCTGCCTTTTCCTTCTTTGTTCTATTTCCTCTTTTCACCATTCATCACTGTTCATCCACTTCCTGTCCTCATCGTTGCTCTCACACATGTTGCTGTCTTTCCCGCCTCTCCCCTGTTTCCATTCTCCTGCTCCCCTTCATAACACCATTGTCTCAAAAATGCTTGTCCACTTTCCACGCAGGGCAGTGGTTGGGTTAGCTCCTCTTGTAGCAGTCCGGTGCGTGGACGACGGCAGCTCCCTCAGACCCCCCAAACCCCTCGCCCTGGGGTGGCTTACAAGACTGCCCACTCCTCCCCGGTGGCCTTCGCTCTGAGCGCAGGCCGTTTGAGTAGAGGCCTATCGGAGCACGGCCCGCTCCGGCACAGCGGCTCGCACCACGTCCCCTGTCCGGTCACCAGGATCTGCTCAGAGCCCTTTCTGGGAGGGGGCCCCGCGGAGGTCAGCCCCTACAGAAGCCTCCGCGAGCAGCTGAATGTCCTTCCCTATGTGGAACTGTCGTCGCGGACTGCCCAGCCTCCTCCCTCCTTCCCACAGCACAGACCGGGGGTGCCAAACGGGTACCACCTCAGCTTTGGGGGTAGAACCAGCCCTCGAGCCCCCCGGGTGGCCAGCTATTACCAAGAAGCAGACGAGGACGACTGGTGCTAGCATGGCTTTAAAGCAACCTTTTTTAATGCATTTTGGGGAAATTGTGATGAGTTTTATCATCTTCTTTGAAGGCTTTAGTTGTTTACATTGTCACTGTGTGTTAAATGAACTTTATTCCTGAATGGGAGCGCATGGTAAGGGAAGGAGTGATGTGAGTTTGAGTATAACATGTTTTAAAAGCATCAGGTGGAATGTGGACCTTTGCCAATTTGAGATGTCTTAAAGTTAATGCTGGAGTTTCTTAGACTTCCCGGCTTTGCTGAAACCATCATACTGATTATCACTAAATCCTTTAACTCCCAATCCAAGACTTATACCATACATCTGAGTTCTCTGTCAAAAACCTGGCAAACTTTATGCATTCCTTTAAAGGGTACTTTCACACTTGGCCCAATCGATGTGGACTCTGGTGCACTTTGGTCTCATGTCTGCACACAAGGCTTCACTTCAGTTCTGACCAGAAGTTTCACTCATATGCAGTTCTACAGCCGACAAGGCCCCAGTCCTATTGTTTGCAATGTTCAGAATCAGTGGTTCAGTTTCAGTACTTTCCTGATTCATGAGCTTTCACACTCACCTACTTTTAGTGGAGAGTAATGCTCCCTGATCCATTTAAGCATAGTTTGTTTCAGCGCAACAGCAGGGGGAACTGCGGAGCACAAAGACAGACTGACTAACAGACAGACGACTAAGAGAAGTAGATTCATAAGTTGAGTTGGGAAATTTGTCCTCTGCATTCGACCCATCCTTCGTTGCCATGAAGGGCTCTGTCAGGAGCAGGAGTCGCCGTAGCACAGGGGACCCATCTCCAGATGTTGATGCTCTTAGTCAGGACTACAGCTGGAGGATATTGCCTATTGTGGATAGTTTTGGTGGTAGGGGAAACCGTAGCATCCAGAGGACCTATGCAGCCACTGGGAGAACATGCAAACTCCACTCAGTAAGGAGATTTACGCCTTGATCCCAGGACTTTCTTGTTGAGATAAAGAGTGCTAACCACTCAGCCACCGTACTGCCCATAACATATACACATCAAAGTTATGTTTGGAGCGGACAATTTTTGAAATACTACACTAACATGTAACAAAGCACCTGCCAATTTGAAGGAAATGGTTGTTCCAAGGAAATGGCTTTTTTGTATTCAGTAAAAGTCGCCGCTTCAAACATCAGGTGGTATTACCTGTTTGTTTACCATTTGGTCTAAGGACTCCCCACTGTGCCCTGCTGGAGAAAAGACTGGCCCTGCTCCTTAGTCAGTCCACTTCAATAAAAGCAGATTTGTATCAGCTTCTAAAGTGACCAGAGTCCAGAGTCTTCCAGACCAAACCAGTGTGAACATGCCCTGAGCCCACATTAACCCACAAACCAAAATCCAACCGGGAAATACTAACATTCTACAATGGCACAACCAGGGTAAAAACAAAACCAAAAGGCTGCTATCATTTGAGATTTGAGCCCTATTTCCACCAGCCCCACTTGGCACTACTCTACTCTATTCTACTCTGTTCTATCCTATCCCATGCTAGTCTACTCTACTCTACCCTAACCTACCCTACGCTATGCTACTCTACTCTACTCCACTCAACTCTACTCGGCTCTACTTTTCCTGATTTAGTTTCCATTGGGCTTTAGACACTGGTACAGGATGTGAGTGACCTACACACAGACACCAGTATCCAGGGAAATTCCTTGGTAACTATGGCTTCCAGCAGCACTTCAGCCAGTCACTGTCAGTCCGTTAAAACACTTTAGTACTAGCTCAGCCTGGATAAAAGGGCCAAGAGGTACTAAAGAACTACCTGGAACCGGTTTAACAGGGACAGTGGAAACACTCCCAATCAGGATAGAGTAGAGTAGAGCACGGTCATTTTGGGCTGGTGGAAATAGGGCTTTGCCATACAAATCATGCAAGTTCATTCAATATTTAGTTGAAAGCCCCTTCCATTGTTATAAGATTGGGCATCAGTATTGGTGTGTCAGCTTTCGTCCCCTGAAGTCTGGTTCCTGTGTATGTTGAAAACTTCAGAGACATTGTACAAAGAACCTAAGTTTGGAAGTCTACTGTTCCATTACGCTGCCTAATCTTTACATTCCTTTCCAGTCAGCCGAGCGCTCGACCGTCTAGCCGTATTCAAGAGCACCGCATGGTAGTGAAATGTACCTATCCATTGTTTTTGTACGCCATTTTGGGTCTTACTGCTTAACCATCATTTCAGGTCTTTTTTACAGACTTGTTTTTGCGACGTTTGAAGACAAAGTGCCTCTCCTTTTAGATAAAAAACTGTAGATTTCAAAAGATAAAAACAAGAAATGCAACTGTTTTATGATGCATTGACTCGGTTTGCTCTGTATGTAGCTCTAGCGGGGGGAGAAAGTAGTTGCATAGAAAGCCTTAAAGCAGAGTAAACCCTTCTCTTATGACGCTTTATAACTGGAATGAAAGCACGACCTAGTCTCAAATTTTATTTTTTATTTTTTATTTTTTGAACAAATGAATTTTTTTGTGGTGGAGCAAGAATCAACATTGTGCAAAATACAATTCTCGCCTTCTACTACTGACTATATCAATCACAGACATTTACAACACGTGCATGTAAAAGTGACTTTGGATATTTCGTGGTAAAAAAGGATGTCATGGACCTCTTGTAATGCCTTCTTTTTCATCGTTTGAACCGAGCAAGCGTGACCGAGAGTGCGATTATGAAGACAAAGGAGGTCTGCAGAGTCTTTAGCGTTGATGTCATGGTGTCTTTTTCCAAATATAGATCCACCAGATGCTTATTTTTCTACCATCTTGTTGCGAATGTGTGGCTAACTCCTAACACAACTGGGTGTGATCCAGCAGCTACTCAACATTACAACAAGCACAGCGAGAAGGGGGCAGATAGTGTGACGTCTTCTCTCACCACTGGGTTAAAAGCTGCGACAACTGGACATTTTATTTTATAAATTAAAAAGGCGAGAGATGTGATCAAAAGTGTATATTCATGCGTTTGTTGTTGTCAGCCATTTTGAGGATGTCAAACTGCATGGTTGCCTATCGCCGCTGTTTACTTGTCAAGGAAATAACGTAGAAACATTGCTTTAAAAAGACCTCATCTATAACTTCATCCAGTCTGTTACATCCCGAACATTGCTTTTAAACAGCTACAGCCTCAACTCACTGTAAGTTGGCTTCTTGGATCCTTAATGCTGGGGTACTCAACTTCCAAAAACTCTAGCAATCTAAGAAAATCCATTTAACTAGTTCTATCAAAACAGATTAATACGTCATTTTTGATAGAAAAGTATCAAAGAGAGGGACCTCTTTCACTTCATCCTGATTCCACCAGCCCTTTATGACCTTACTCTACTCTATTCTACTCAACCTGTTTGCGTTCCCATTACTTTAGGATCTGGTACTGTATCCTAGCAACCTGCTAAAACCAAATTAAGAAGGACCTCGTACCGTTTAAACTAGGGCCAGTGAAAATGCTCATAGGGGTAGAGTAGAGCCGAGCAGAGTACGGCCATGTAGAGATGACGGAGGAAATAATTGAGTCGTACGGTCCTGATGACGTTCAACTTGAGTCTTTTTCGTACAAACAACAGCACAGTGAGCAGACGGCAGAGCGCCTTGGGTCCTCAAAATGGCTCTAACTAGAGAGAGATCATGAATAATTGTTAGCATCGATTTCATGATGCTAACAATGATTACTGCTGTTATGTTTAGCATTCTTAATTATGCTAAGCTAACGTTAACACCTTGTATAACAAGGAAGAGCACAGAGACGGGGTAGAGGAACCTTGTTTGCACCAGTCCTATTAGGCCGCACTCTACTTTAATCTACTCTATTCTACTCTACTCAGCTTGACTCTAGTCTACTTTAGGCTACTCAGATTGACTACTCTAGTCTAGTTTACACTACTACTCAGCTTGACTCTACTCTACTTTACTCTACTCTGCGCTGCTACCTGGTTGCATTTGCATTACACTATAGGGTTTTGTACCGTAACCTTGCAATCTACCAGCAACAAACTAGTGTACGGGGAAATTCCTTGGTAACCATGGCTTCCAGCAGCACTCTGGCCTATCATTGTCAGTTACAACCCTTTAATGCCAGCTCGGCCTGGATAGAACCAGGGCCAAGCAGGTGCTAAAAAGTCCTAATGGTACTTTAAAATTACGTTAAACATGGCTGGTGGAAACACTCCCAATTGGGGTAGAGGAAAAAAGGTCCAAGTAGGGCTGGTGGAAACAGGGCTTTATGTTATGAAACCTATCAAGCAGACTGACTGTCCTTTTGTTTATAGTTGTCTGGATCCTTAAGTGGAGTATGACGTCATCACATATCAGCCCTATCGTCTGGTTTGTCAAAAAAACCTCCTTTTCTCAATCGTCTTCCTTCCTCAGAATTATGTCATGTATTTATTTTAGAGGAAACGATCTTATGCAAACTTGTTAATTTCTCACCCAAGGTTTTCCAGCCGAGTCCACGATCGTACTTTTGAATATGAAAAAGAGTTGAAAATGTCCAGGCCAGGCTGGACAATGCAGTAGCACATGTTGGAACAAGAAAAGGGCTTTGTGATGATTGGAGAAAAGAATCTCCAGAGCAGCAATGTCTGTATGCCAGTTCTGCTGTGGCCAGAACCAGAGGTAAAGTGGAAAATTGGGGAAAGCCCTGGACTTCAACTGTTGTCATGTGTCATTTATAAACTGCCAGTTTACTTTTAAAGAAGTTAATTTCTCAACGTGTGGCTTAGGCTGATAGTCTGGACTGTTATTATGAGATAAAGGGTATACAGCATCAGAAAAGTATGGAAAACTTTTATTGTACACGCATGGATCTTCAACTCGGTCCTCAACCTGCCGCCAGCGTAGCTCCATGTTTTCACTTGAACCCAGCTGGAGCACACAAGACTTTGCCCATTTCCTCAAGTCTCCAGGTCAAGACTGGATTCACTTGAAGAAAAGGAGTGTCTGGTCTGCCCCTGCTTGGTTGGAATGAAAACCTGTAACCACCGAGTTGAATACCCCTGTTATGTGGTCTTATTGCTTTGCCTGGAACGTTCCAATCATAACCATTGTCTGGATTTGTCTGTCAGTAGATTGCGCAAAAAGGACTTAAATTTGGTGTGTAGAGGGATTTTTTCAATGTTAAAACAGAATTTCTTACTAGAATGTCTACTATTCCCATTTAGTATATCTAAACCTGGCATGGTAAGGCGTAACTGAAGGCATGCAGTTGCAAAAGAATGCTACTACTATACGACAAGATAAATGTACTAATTTGTAGGCAATACATTTGTTTTAAAGACAGAAACAGCTCTGTCCATGATTTCATTGTTTGTGGATTAATTCACAAGTTTGGATGAGTGATGGAGTAATAAATGTACAATGATCTGCCCCTTTATTCTTTGACTGTTTCCAACAGCTCTACTCTACATTACTCTTCCTGGTACCTGCTTAGCCCTGGTTCTATGCAGGCCAGTACCAAAGTGCTACTGGAAGCCATGGTTACAGAGGAAGTTCCCCGAATACTGGTTTGTTGTGGGTAGTTTGCAAGGAAATGGTACCAGATAATAAATGTAATGGGAACGCAACAGAGTAGAGTAGAGCCGAGTAGAGTAGAGCAGAGCAGGGCCTTCCAGTATTCTGGTTTTGCTTATGAACAAGTGGGTGGGTCAATTGTCTTGTACAAGTTTCTGATCATAGTTCCAGGCAATGCAATAACAAAAACCTTCACTAAAATGACAATGATTCCAGTTTTTTCTGGTTGAAATATGACTTTATTAAAGCTCATTGAAATGTGATGAATGGAGTATAAACTGAAGTCCAACATATGCATTCAATATGATAAAAACCAAACTCTCATTTCAGGTCAAATGATAGTTGACCAGTATTGTTGATGGGACAGAGGGTTCATGTCCCCGTGACTTTCGGGCTATGCAACGACCACACGTCTCCGTCCATTTGTAGCTTTAAACGCTGGTCTTCTCCAGCTCCTGCTTCTGTGTGGTTGTGACCAAATGTTTTGTAGAAAATCTGGTCAAAAATGAAAGAAAGAATCAGCAAACACACACGTAACAGTCAGTGTGTAAACAAGAAACCTATAACATGTATGTGCATGCCGAACATTAAGCCTTCACTTTTTATTCAAGACGTATAGCATTCTCCACATTCTCTGGATACTCCGCTGTTTGCATGTTCTACCCGTGTATGTGCATGTAGATGACTTAGTACTTTTAGATACCATGAGTTTTTTGTTGTTGATTTATAATATTTGATATACAGCGTGGGGTTGAGGGTAAAAAAAGAGCATATTTCTATTCTGAGCAGTATTGTATGGGGCCCTTTTCGTTTGGCTCGTCCTGGGATCCAGTGACTTCAGTTTGTTTGCCTGACGTCTGTTTCTTGGCCAGACTTTGAATTCTGCTGTTGTTTCTACATTCAACATTTTGTATGAAGCAAAGAACCTTGAAATAAAAAAACAAATGAAATGAGGAAGTGTTGTCTATTACTTTAGACGCTGTGATTCAAACCTTCACTGAAACTATAGTATATCTTTTCTTTTATAGATTGCCTCAGATAGATTATTTGTAGGCCTTTACAAACCTCTGCTGCTAACACATAGTACCATTGAGATCATACAAAGTCCAAAGTGTCACCCAGCCAACTTCAGCTCAGCCAATAAACACTTGCTGGACCTCGTAAAGCTCAGGTCCTTTATTTTTGCATACACTCTGACATTCGTAACAAGCTTTATACAGTGCCTTTCACAGACCAGGGACACAATAAAAACAGTTACATGATAAATCAAGTAATAACGGCTTAATCTTAAGATGACTTTTGAAGGAGTCAACAGGCACCAGAGCGGAATATCGTTCCAGAACTTTGAAGCAACTGCCTGGAAATATTGCTCTCCTCTGGTCCTGGAAAGATTGCTCTCCTCTGGTCCTGGAGGAACTCTTTTCTGGTCCTGGAAAGGTCGCTCTCCTCTGGTCCTGGAGGAACGCTTTTCTGGTCCTGGAAAGGTCACTCTCCTCTGGTCCTGGAGGAACTCTTTTCTGGTCCTGGAAAGATCTCTCTCCTCCGGTCCAGGAAAGATTGATCTCCTCTGGTCCTGTAACGATTACTCTCCTCTGGTCCTGGAGGAACTCTTTTCTGGTCCTGGAAAGGTCGCTCTCCTCTGGTCCTGGAGGAACTCTTTTCTGGTCCTGGAAAGGTGACTCTCCTCTGGTCCTGGAGGAACTCTTTTCTGGTCCTGGAAAGATCTCTCTCCTCTGGTCCAGGAAAGATTGATCTCATCTGGTCCTGGAACGATTACTCTCCTCTGGTCCAGGAAAGATTGATCTCCTCTGGTCCTGGAACGATTACTCTCCTCTGGTCCTGGAGGAACTCTTTTCTGGTCCTGGAAAGGTCGCTCTCCTCTGGTCCTGGAACGATTACTCTCCTCTGGTCCAGGAAAGATTGATCTCCTCTGGTCCTGGAACGATTACTCTCCTCTGGTCCTGGAGGAACTCTTTCCTGGTCCTGGAAAGGTCGCTCTCCTCTGGTCCTGGAACGATTACTCTCCTCTGGTCCAGGAAAGATTGATCTCCTCTGGTCCTGGAACGATTACTCTCCTCTGGTCCTGGAGGAACTCTTTTCTGGTCCTGGAAAGGTCGCTCTCCTCTGGTCCTGGAAAGATTGCTCTCCTCTGGTCCTGGAACGATTGCTCTCCTCTGGTCCTGGAGGAACTCTTTTCTGGTCCTGGAAAGATCTCTTTCCTCTGGTCCAGGAAAGATTGCTGTCCTCTGGTCCTGGAAAGATTGATCTCCTCTGGTCCTGGAACGATTGCTCTCCTCTGGTCCTGGAGGAACTCTTTTCTGGTCCTGGAAAGGTCGCTCTCCTCTGGTCCTGGAAAGATTGCTCTCCTCTGGTCCTGGAACGATTGCTCTCCTCTGGTCCTGGAAAGATTGCTCTCCTCTGGTCCTGGAGGAACTCTTTTCTGGTCCTGGAAAGGTCGCTCTCCTCTGGTCCTGGAAAGATTGCTCTCCTCTGGTCCTGGAAGAACTCTTTTCTGGTCCAGGAAAGATCTCTCTCCTCTGGTCCAGGAAAGATTGCTGTCCTCTGGTCCTGGAAAGATTTCTCTCCTCTGGTCCTGGAACGATTGCTCTCCTCTGGTCCTAGAGGAACTCTTTTCTGGTCCTGGAAAGGTCGCTCTCTTCTGGTCCTGAAAGAACTCTTTTCTGGTCCAGGAAAGATCTCTCTCCTCTGGTCCAGGAAAGATTGCTGTCCTCTGGTCCTGGAAAGATTTCTCTCCTCTGGTCCTAGAGGAACTCTTTTCTGGTCCTGGAAAGGTCGCTCTCTTCTGGTCCTGGAAAGATTGCTCTCCTCTGGTCCTTGAGGAACTCTTTTCTGGTCCTGGAAAGATCTCTCTCCTCTGGTCCTGGAGCGATTGCTCTCCTCTGGTCCTGGAGGAACTCTTTTCTGGTCCTGGAGGAACTCTTTTCTGGTCCTGGAAAGGTCGCTCTCCTCTGGTCCTGGAAAGATTGCTCTCCTCTGGTCCTGGAACGATTGCTCTCCTCTGGTCCTGGAAAGATTGCTCTCCTCTGGTCCTGGAGGAACTCTTTTCTGGTCCTGGAAAGGTCGCTCTCCTCTGGTCCTAGAAAGATTGCTCTCCTCTGGTCCTGGAAGAACTCTTTTCTGGTCCAGGAAAGATCTCTCTCCTCTGGTCCAGGAAAGATTGCTGTCCTCTGGTCCTGGAAAGATTTCTCTCCTCTGGTTCTGGAACGATGGCTCTCCTCTGGTCCTGGAGGAACTCTTTTCTGGTCCTGGAAAGATTGCTCTCCTCTGGTCCTAGAGGAACTCTTTTCTGGTCCTGGAAAGGTCGCTCTCCTCTGGTCCTGGAAAGATTGCTGTCTTCTGGTTGTGGAAAGATTGCTCTCCTCTGGTCCTTGAAAAATTGCTCTCCTCTGTTCCTGGAAAGATCCCTCTCCTCTGGTCCTGGAAAGATTGCTCTCCTCTCGTCCTGGTTGGCTCGCCTCTGTCAGTGTGCCTCAGGGCAGATGCGGCTACATTACTCGTTTATCACCACTGTGTATGGAGTGAAAGAATAATGACACGTGAAGCGCCTTTGAGTGTCCAGAAGAGAGCTGTATAAAACCAATACATTATTATTATCATTAATGAACTTCTAATCTCAAGTTCCACAACTTTCTGTCATATCTATTCAATGTGCCGATCACAGCTGCTCAGAAGAGTCCACTGGTCCATGCATGTGTTTGTCCTGCTGTCTTTCCGGCTGTGGCTCGGATCTGGCTTGGCGCCGATGGGAACCTCTTCAGTCCAGACTCACCTGCGTCTTCTGTCCACACGTGGAAACAAGATGGCAGCTGCTCTTCACAACTGACAAATCCCACTTTTCATCTGGACCGCTGACATTCCCCTGACTGAGTGCAGCGTGAACGGACTTACATCTCTGTCCGGCTCCATGACTTATTATTGGCAGTAGAGATATTACAGGTATCACTCTTATTACGTATTATAGTCCATACATCAGTTTATGTCTCAACATTTAGTTTTTCTATTTGAAAGGTGAGTTCCTGACAGTGGTAAAATTAGTAACCATAAGTCAGAACAAAGGTCATTGGTGATGGATGAGCGAAAAATGAGACCCATAGATGATTCTGTATTAAGCATGGTCCGAACAAGTATGATGTCATCATAGTGTTCGCTTTAATGAGAAAGAGGCCGATTTGAACTAGCTTGAGTCAATTTCCTTATATGGGCATTTGTTCCCTGATTCTCTGATCTGTTGTTAGCGAATCCACTTTGCAAACTCTTTAGATTTAGGGCCTCAAATTGTGCTGATTTGATTTCTAAAGGTTTGAACACCTCACTGTTTAGTCCATCATCCGGGAATGGAAATAGTATGGGATCACTGCAAATTTACCAAGAAATATGGCCTCCATTTAAAAATAAAGGCAAGAATCAAAGCGGATACGACCAACCTCCTAAAATACAATACAGCACAATTTATTCTTGAATAGCCCTAAATCACAACAGTGGTCATCTCAGAGGACTTAACAAAACCGATGAAATCACCAACACAGATCAGAGAATCAACAGTGAAGACACAAAAAGTATAGAACACATGGTATTGGTCCATAAGGCGAGACCAATGTCCATACATGTTGATAAATGTCCATACATGTTGTAGAATGTTAAAGTGTCCTGGATCACCACAGTCCTTCTTGTCCAACAGACCCTCAAAAAAGTGGTTGCGTAATGCCAATGCCAATTCCATACTTAATCCAGTCCAGATGCGAGGCCCATAAGTATTATTTGGCATTCTGAAAAATAGCTTGAGCAACACTGAACTAATCAATTTGGATTTCTACATTCATCAATTATCAACATAATTGTTAGTTAGAAAGCAAAGCCAAATATGTCAGCTTTGTGCATGTCCCTTGGTCCAGTCCTGTCGGCCGTCTCCATCTCTCACCTGAGGAATGCGTCTGTGGGAGCGATGGAATGCGTGTTTGCTTTCATGCCGTTATCGGGGCCGCTGGAGTGTGACCGAAGCCCCGCACACTGGAGCTGAGTGACGGGGCTGGCACCGAGGAGGCCAGCTGGCAGCCAGCGCGGGGCCAGCCACAAAGAAGCTTCTATCTGCGCTCTCACCACAGCGCCTGGACACTTGTGGACTTTCTCATTTGCCGTGAGGTGAAATGAAGGTGTTTGATAACTGCTAGTCACAACTCCATTAGAAGTAGGCGCCCAGATGACTCCAGGTCGCTGTACAGCTCAGAGCAGAGAGCAACTGTCTGTGGATAATTTAAACCGTGCTTCAAACGATCCCCATGAGGTGGTTGGGATTGAAGCTTATGACCAAAAGACTAACAAATAGCATCGGTGTTCTCTGTGGTGTTTCCATCAGCCGTACTTGGCCTACTCTCCTCTCCTCAGCTCTACTCTACCACCATTTGTTTGCTGCTGAAAGACATGGTTACCAAGGAATTTCCCTGGATACTTGTTTGCTGGCCGGTAGGGTGTGAGGATGTAAAGCGTAATGGAAATGGAACCAGGTAGAGCTATCAGGGCTTTTGTCAACTAAGTAAGTAAGTAAGTAAAGTTTATTTATAAAGTGCTTTTCACAGATAAGAATCACAAAGTGCTGTACAGGACAGTGGGCAAAGACAAAACAATGTAAAATACATTTACACACATGTACTTAAAAGTGACATTAGTAAGAACCCAATCAACTAAAAGCTTTCTTAAATCCTTCAAGTCTTCAAGCCTTTTTTAAAAGACGCCACAGAGTCGGCCAGATGTAGGGACGGGGCCGGGCGTTCCACAGTCTGGGGGCAACAGACTGAAAAGACAGGTCCCCTCGAGTCTTATAATGGGTTTTGGGGACCACAAGCAGGTTCTGGCCAGAGGACCGGAGAGTGCGGCCAGAGGAGTACAGGCTTAAAAGGTTCAGGATGTACTGGGGGGCCTGACCATTTAAGGCTCTGAAGGTCAGCACTAAAATCTTAAAATCAATCCTGAATTTTACTGGGAGCCAATGAAGAACAGACAGAACAGGAGTGATAAGGGACCTTCGAGGGGCACCTGTTAAAAGTCTAGCAGCAGAATTTTGAACAATTTGAAGTTGGTTGAGTGCAGACTTATTCAAGCAGGTAAAAACAGAGTTGCAATAGTCGACTAAGCAGTTGAAAGAAGCCAAAAATTCATGTTATTTATACGAACTGATTTCATTTCTGAGCCACATTCCGCATTCCCTGTGGGAAAATATGTGCTTTGCATTTGACCCATATTCACAGAAAAAAATCACACATTTTCCCACAGAAATTCCTTTCAAAGTGTGTATTTTTGGCTCTATCAGCTAAAAAGCTTTCCGACCTCTTCTCCATAAGGAAGACTAAAGAAAAACTGTCAATATTTCAATTGGATCAACCTATTTATGAACTGTCAACTTGTCTTTGGAGCGTAGCCGTGAGTCCCTGCCTCGGGTTTGTTCTGGTCACTGAGGTTGTGTCATGTTTGGGGTCGGCTTCAGTGCATGTGTTTCCTGTCTCCCTGACCTTTAACCTCAGCGTCAGGTCTTGTCACTGCTGTGAACCCAGAGGTCACTGAGCCAACAAACACATTCATATAAAATATGAAGCACTTTTTATGTTTCTTTTGGCCTTTAAACATGACAATCTTTTCTTTATAATTACTTAACTTTGTAATGAAATATTGATGCATAACAGTGCCTAAGAGTCACTATGGCAACTGTTGCTGTGGCAATAGTCACAAGGGCAATTGTTGCTATGGCAAAAGTCACCATGGCAACTATTACCATGACAACCATTACTATTGGAACAATCAACATCACAACTGTTACCATGACAATGGACAAACAATCTGGAGAATCTTTTAATGCTAATTACTGGCAACGGTTACCATAGTGATGGTTGCCATTGCCAAACCATTTCTATAGCAAAAGTGCCAATGGCAACCGGTGCCATGGAAATAATCACAATGGTAACCGTTGATATGGCAACAGTCACCATGTCAACCTCTTTGCAATAGTGATGGTTGCCAGGGTAGTTGCCAAGGCAACCGCTGCTATTGCAATCACTAAGGCAACTGTTACCTTGAAAACCATCACAACGGCAACTGTTACCATGACAACGGACAGACATCTAGTTTATTTCTTGCTATGCATTTTTTGGGACTTCCAAACATGTTCCTCATGGATTTATAATGTATTAAGTATTAAGAATTATGATTATTTTATCAGGTTGTATGATGTCCGGCCCACAGTCTGCTGAGCTGATCAAGTTTGTGGACCACTTGCCAATATAGTTGGGGAATATGAAGCCGGGAATCTCATTGAGTCAATTAAACGCTTCGACACATTGACACAGTTGATACTCAGAGTGAAGCAGTGGCTGCAGAGTCCGAGCACGGATCTATTGAGTCCGACACACTGACACGTTTGACTGGCTTGTTTTGATACACTCTGCAACACAGTGTTTCGAAGCATCAACTTCAGGAAGAGCGACACACGCCCCGGAGCCTCGCTGTGGTTTTCCCATCACTACCATATAACTTGGTACATGGAGTCCACAAAATGCAAACAAAAATAAGGATTGATTTTATCGAGTTATTTGTCTGTTAGTATCATTAGTTATCATTAAATAGCCCTTATTTAATGATAACTTGCCATGAAAATCTCACATTTAGGTCCTTTAAAAGACCGGTGCTGTGTAGAGCAGGGCACGTACAATCTGTGACGTGTTGTGCAACACATAGACTCTGTGAGAAATCTGAACTTTGACTACGATCTGTCCATCTCCAGAGACTGCTGCTGGAAAATATCCATGGTAAAGCAGTAGGAATATTTTGCCAGGCCATGTGACCAGATACTAAAGTGTAATAGAAATGCAACCGGGTAGAGTAGAGCCAATTAGAGCTGAGGGGGCGGATGGAAACATCCATCCATCCATTTTCTACCCTTTAATCCATTTCTGGGTCAGGGGGGTGGCAATCAGAGATGCCACCCAAGTCACATAGCACCAGCCCCTCACTGACCCTCTGCAGGTGGTGAGTCCACAGGAGGACGGCTGCTCTCTGAGTGTGAGCATAGCCTTGATCTTTCAGTGGGGGCTTTGGGCAAAGTGGGGTTAAGTGTCTTGCCCAAGGACACAACAACAGCAGTCATCAGTGGGAGTCTGTTGAGAAGGTGTAGAGGTGGGAATTGAACCCACAACCTTCTGGCCTGAAGGCCAATGCTCTACCAACTGAGCTACTGTCGCTCAGTAGGAAACAGATGGAAACAGGGTTTTGTTTTTCCTCTAACCATAGACTGTAAATATTAACGGACAGAGTCACGCCTATCTCCGCCGTTCTAACTAATGGGCCAAAAAATTTGCTCTACTGGAGCAATCCAAAATGGCCGCGAGTGGTGCCGCCCACAAGATAATTGTGAAAAAACGCATGTGTGCATGCGTCAGCTGGCGCAGCTCCATTCATTTGAACGAGAGACTTCAAAAAATCACAGCAAGTAAACTAGAGTGGACCAAAACACCCCCCTCAGCATTGACACACATGTGGAATGGAGCTTTGGGCCAAGAGCCAACTTTTGGTCCATCCTGTAAAGACGTTTTCGAGAGGTCTGCCAATGCTATATGTTAGCATTGGCTAATTCTACTTCTGGGTCCACCCCCATCGGCCCGGGGTGGTATTGCAAGCATGTCAGCGCACGTCATTTTGGCCACTTTTGAGCTGGGACCCGCCCCCACTGGCTCTAACCCACATTTACTGTATACAGTATACATTTACACATGCATACATACATACATTTTATGGTGAGCATCTAGATTAGATTCAATTTTATTGTCATTACAAAGTCGGAAAAATGCAACAAAATGCAGTTTAGCGTAGGATACTATTTACAACACAGATAAATATATTTGCATATGTGAGAGACAGTACAAGCTGCTATTGCTAGTATATACTGTACATGAATTATATTACATTACATTTAAGCGCATCTAACGGGCTTTAAATAGGTTGAGAGTTCAGGAGTGTGATTGCTCTGTGATAAAAACTGCCTCTTAGCCACTGGTCCTGGCTCAGAAACTCCTGTAGCGGCGACCTGAGGGCAGAAGGCTAACGAGTCCTTCACAATCTTACGAGCTCAGGCCAGTACAAATCGTCAACCCATTCAGTTACCTGTGGGGTACCGCAAGGCTCAGTCCTCGGGCCAACCCTTTTTACAATATACATGCTCCCCCTTGGTCAAATCATAAACAGACACAACATTTCTTTCCACTGCTACGCCGATGATACACAGTTATACCTGAAAATGGACTCCACTTCACCCACAGGTTTTACGTCAGCCCTTCAGCTTTGTCTGGAGGAGATAAAGGCATGGATGGACAACAATTCTCTTCAACTTAACAGTGGTAAAACTGATGCAATCCTCTTTGGCACCCCCCACCAAACCCAGTCCTCCCCTCTCAGCAGTGTTTCAATTTTTGGCCATAACATCCCCCTGTCCACATCTGTTAATAACCTTGGAGTCAGGCTCGACTCTAATTTTACATTTGATACCCACATCCGCCACCTCTGTAAAGTCTCCTTCCTTCACCTCAAAAACATTGCCAGACTCCGCTCCTCCCTCTCACAACCGGACGCTGAGAAGCTGATCCATGCCTTTGTCTCCTCCAGGTTGGATTACTGCAATGCCCTCCTCGTCGGGACCTCTGCAAAGGGTCTGCAAAAACTCCAGTACATCCAGAACTGTGCTGCCCGGGTCCTGACGAGGAGGCGCAAATATGACCACATCTCACCCGTCCTCAAATCACTCCACTGGCTGCCCATCAAACACAGAATACAGTACAAACTCTGCCTCCTCACATATCAATGCACACACGGAACTGCCCCTGCCTACCTCAGTGAACTCCTAACACCACACACCGCCTCTCGAAGTCTCCGTTCAACCACCTCCTCCCACTGCCTGCACCAACCCAGGACCAAACTCTCCACCATGGGAGATAGGGCCTTTCAGGCAGTAGCCCCCCGGCTCTGGAATGCCCTCCCAGAAACCCTCAGGGCCCCACAAAGTGTGGAGGCTTTTAAGAAAGGCCTAAAGACATTCCTATTCAAACAGGCCTTCTAGATATGTACAGTAATTATGTTTTATTTTATTTTATTTTTTCCTGATGTTATATTTGATGTATTGTTTTTATGTTGTGTATCTTGGGGATGTTCCCTGTTTTTGTAGCACTCTGAGGTTTCCCTGAAATGTAAAGTGCATTATAAATAAAATCTATTATTATTATTATTATTAGCTCGCCGCAGAGCGCTGGCTCTGGATGTCCTCGAGGGCAGAGAGTGGAGCCCCAATGATGTGCTGGGCTGTTTTTACCACCCGCTGCAGTGATTCCCGCTCCACCACAGAACAGTTCCCATACCAGATATTCATCACAGTGCCTGGTGGATGTGGCTCGCTCCTGCTCCGTGAATCAGGAATTCAAACACACTTCTCGTACTAAAGTCTGCACATAATAATGATCCACGTGTCGTAGATTATCATCATATGGAAGACTGAAGCCTGATGTTGAAGAAACCAACAACAACACATTTAGTTGATTATCCAAGGTTCCCCAGTGTTCCAAAGAGAAGCAAGAGGAGGAGGAGGAAGGGTGGTTCTGTGGTTGTGGATATGAAAAAGACTGCGTCAGTTTTCTCTTTGAGCTGACGAGTGTGGAAGGATGTGTCGTTTGTGTTCATGGGACATTTGGGAATATGGTCTGGCCTCATCCCTCATTCACTCATTCATGAACGTTTGAGCTAAAAGATGTTCATCCTCAGAGCCAAATGCTCCCAGGCTCTGATGCCACAAGTTTCCACATTAGAGAGAGGTGCATGAAAGTCCAGTATATGCAGTATTTAGTGATTTTTGTTGAGTTTTGAGAAACACACCAGCAGGGGGGCCTAGACAACGTTCTACCAGGGGCACAGACATAGTTTTTAAGAAATATTTATTTCAACTCAACTGAATGTGTTTGTGTATCGCCCTAAATCACAACAGCAGTCGTCTCTGAGGACTTCAGAAACTTCACCAACAACAGATCAGAGAATCAAACAGTTCGAACACAGGAAATGCAATAATAACAAACACAGATGAGCCATTGGTCCATTTGGAGCGGGATGACCACTGTCCAGAAATGTGAATACATTTCCCAGATCATCACTGTCCTTACTTGTGTGGCGCACTTTTTATTGTCTTTGGATTGTTCTTTCTCTTTTGAATAAAAAATATTACTATTGTTATTCATCAGGTGTTGATGTTGTTGCTGTTGAGGACTTTTACTTTGGCATCTCATGTTAGAGGGTGGAATCACACGACTACACAAGTTCAAAAGAAGAAACTGTTTGAACTAGTGGACACTTGTTTAGTGTTTTCACACACTCCACTTTCAGGTTCAGGTTTCAGTCATTCATCTCTCGAAGGAGAGTTCAGTGTTAGGGCAGGGGGTCAGCAGCACCACTGACAGACTCAGAAGACAACAGAGAAGACCATCGTTCACAAGACACATGCATGTTATTTATCAGTTCTGTGGACTGAGGCAGAGAAGACCTGTTCTCTTCACACAGTCCTGCATCAGCTCTCTGATGATGCTCTCACTGATGACTGCTCAGAAATGTGGCTACACTCTACATTCCACCATTTACTCAGGTCCACAGGTTCACTTAAGGAAATGGGTGAAGTCTGGTGTGCTCCTGATAGTTTGGAATGAAAACCTGCAGCCACTTAGTCCTTTGAGAATGTGTTTGACAGCTCTAATTTGAGTCAATTGATTCTGCCTCAAGACAAGAGTCGACTCAGGTCAAAAAGGTTGGTGTCACTTTCCAAAAGTGAGGATTGAGCCTTCACCTTCCACATCTTTTTCACTTCAAAGTCCTTCCTCTTAATGAAGACATGTTGCTCATTAATGATTGGATTATACTCATTCATCCTTTTAGAGGTTTAGCAGCTGCTTCTGTTTATGGACAGCATGCCTTTGGATTCCCTTCAGGAGGACACATAACAACTGTCCGGGGACTGCAGATGGAAAATAGCCCTTAGGCTAATTCTGGCACATTTCCATGTATAATGTATATTAATATGCACTGTCCCTTTAATAAATAAATGAATACATAAATGAAGGGTAACTTTACCTGTTCTGAGTTATCTGAGTGTGAATAATAACACAAATCAAACATATAGACATGAACACACAACTGTCACAAACTCAACAACAATGAAGACAAGTCAGACTGACAGACAAAGAACAAGAGGCCTATATACTTTATATCAATACATATTAGTTTCTGTTCGATGTCACCTTTTTTCTGTCCGAGCCTTGAACCATATGACTCCATTGATCGTCTGGGCAATGCACTTTTTTTGTTTGTGTTGAGATGACAGTTATGTGGAGGCTACTGAATGTTGCTCCCACACGCACAATGTCTTTTGACCTTGTAGGGTGTGCTCTTGTGCATGTACCCCACTTGTGAGTTTTCCAGTACGTTTAGCTGGTCAATTAAAAAAATCGCAGCATTCTGGACACCCACTCACCCCATATCGGACCTCATTCATTTCACTGGATCCTACGAAAATATCAATGAAGTCCGATACCTTTGGTTTGGATGGCGACATACTGTCGCCCTACATCCTGGGGCTCAGGCTTCAACATGTAAACAGTGATTGTCTGATTAAAGATGCATTTTTTACAGTGTTATTGTGCGATGTTGGCATTACTTTCTAGTGCGGAAGGTTACACAACATTTAAATAAAGGCGGAGCCACTTAAGATAAGATAAGATAAGATAAGATGAACCTTTATTAGTCTCACAGTGGAGAAATTTCAGTGTCATCGTTGCGCACATTACAGCAGAGAAAGGAAAGAAGAGCACTCAGATTGCACACATCAAATAAGTCTATTATTTAAGATAATAGACAATAAAATTAAGATAAGAACACACAGTATGGCTGCCTGCATGAAAATAATCACCTGTCTCTTTTCTTGTGTCATTGCTAACGATAATCATGTCTGAAGAAGACCGGGGCACGACTTCCCGTGTGCGACCTGCAGAGGAGTCAACAGCATTACCTCACTTTATTTTTGTATTCATTACAAAAATTCAATCCATATCCATGCAATGCATTGGGACATACGTCCTTTTGAAGAATAAGTAGAGCAGATTTGTGCTAGCGTGTCATTTCATTTTAGATTGAGTTTTTGTGCAAAAAGGAAGATATTTTGTTTTGGGACCAGATTGTGACCAATCACAGCGGACAACTGGCCCCCGCTTTCTTGAGAAAAGCCACAGGTCTCTCGTTAGTACAGACAGCTGAGGTAAACAAGCGGCGGAGGCTAACCTGAAACTTGCCGTGTCTTCGTTACCGGTTACTGCTTACACAGCGAAACAGCCATCCAAAAGAAAGTCTCGTTCCTCCGCGCTTCCCGGTTCTATCATTCTATGATCCATATTGACATGAGACATGAGCTCCGTAAACACATAAGCACAGGCTTAGTGGGAGGGGGGTAGTGGGGGGGCGATAGCTTCGTGAGTGCGGGGAGGGCGAGCAGAAGAGCGAGGCCAGCGCTCACATTCGAAAATTTCACAAAGTGAGTCAGTGCAGCTTTAATGGCTCAGTGATTCTGTAAACTAAACAGAACCACTAAACTGCAGACTAAAACACCCTTCAGAAAGTGTGTGATGAAAACACTTTACATTGCTAATAACTGTACATTGTTCATAACATATACTTTTAAAACATACTGTACTTCCTCTGTAGCTGACTGTTCATGTATAAATCAAGTTAAGGACATTTCAACAACACATAGCTCCTTGTCTTTCCTTCTCTCTGTCCCTCTGAGCTATATAATGGCTGTATTTATGAGCAGCAGCCTGACCTGTTCCGCTCCGCTGTAGTCTGATCAGGGCACTACAGCTTTCCTCTGTCGGGACTTGTGCCACTGCCCTGGGCCCTCACCCCTGCCCCGGACCTCAGACTGGAGGATATCTGTGGGTCACAAAGTTAACCGCCTCTGTGCACTGCCCCAAAGCTATAGCTTAAACCAGGGCTTGGGTTCAGCTTTACAATGCCATGGTGTAAAAAAACTGACTCACTACAGCTGGTGTCTCTCGATGTGGAGGAGAAGCGGCTCTATATCGAGTCTCAATATCGTTTGGACCACTTCTGCCAAGTTATCCTGGGGGTCATAATCCAAAGCTCATGAGGATAAGTGAGGATGGGACATGGAACAACTTCAACACAGCACACCAGAGAGAGACCAGAAAGAGGGACCAGAAAGAGACCAGAGTGAGAATAGAGAGAGCTGTGAAGGACCAGTGAGAGACCAAAGAGAGAGACCAGCGGTAGGAGAAACCAGAGCACCTGCACGAAACCTACACACACATGGGAAGAACATGCAATCTCCACTCAGAAAGGTTCCGTCTGGTGGTGTAATGAAACCCAGGATATTTTCTTAACAGACAAACTGATAGAAGAAAGCATAACAGTTGAAATTCTCCCACATGACTCCTTCTCCTCCTGATGGCCCATGGGTGAACTCTTATCTCTCTCAGTCTGGGTGGAGTTTGTCCGAGTCTCCGTCAGACATGAGCGCTGCAGATGTGGCCTTTTACTGCCTTTACCTCAGCGCGTGCACGGCCTTATTGATCACAGACTCTGAGCCGCTTTGATCGCTCTGTCACTCACTCACACTGGAGCTCAGCATGGACACAAGAGTTACACAAGAATGCAGCGATTGTCTTGGGACGGCTCGAAACGCAATACTGGCATTCCTCTTGTTGGTGGAGCTGTTGAGATGCAAACCTGGTTCTGCAAAGTGTCATGGTGTGGATATTTCGTACTTGGTTTTATTTTGGTTTAGTTTTAGTTTCACTTCCTGTCTTGATTGTCTGCCCCGCCCTGATGTGTTTCACCCGTGTCTCTCTGTGTATATGGCCTTGTCCCAATACTCACACTACCACTCTTGCGCCCCTCATTTGCGCGTTCCCGATGATGGGTGCGAGTGCATAGGGTGTCCCAATTCTCCAGGGAGGTCTTTGGCCCCACCCCCTTTGCGCCCCTGATCCACACTTCGCCGTAGCCTGCATCTATGCGAACTCTGGCGAAGGATATTGCCCGTAATTCTTTACGGTACACACCAAAACGTTGGGAAAATGCATTTAAGTGTAAGTTTTGCTATGTTACTTGGAAAGCAGCATAAGAGTATTTACGGACATTCTATGGTAACAATTACATCACAACTTGAAAGTGTTCATATAACATTCCATTTAAACTTTACACTTACACAGTACAATAAAGTTAGGATGTATAAAATCTGACCGGATAACAGTTAGTTACCCACATTTAACTTAAAATCATACAGCTATCTCAAATTACAAATAACCGATATACATGTATTTCAACGAGTGTGGAGCAACTCATTTTGTTTCCCACAGGGTCAGACAAAATTACCTTTAATGTTTATAAAGTTTAGGTCTGAAAATGACCATCTCTTGACGAGTCAATGACATAACCAGCTGCACTCAGTGTGCACTGTCCCAAATCCGCCTTTTTTGCACGCTTGTAACCTGCGCACTCAAACTCTTGTGTGCACTTCAAACAAATGCACACTTCGTAGAGGAGTGGTGCAGTGTGGGTATTGGGACTGGGCCTCTATGTACCTGTGCTCCTCTTCATTGTATTGTCTCTGTCCTTGTCGTTCTGCTTTATCAGTTTTGTTTTCACCTTGGACTTTTATTATAATTTTCATCATTAAATCATTTTTATATTTATAATTCAATTATCATTTATTATTTGCATTCCCGCATTTTGAGTCCTCCTCCTTTACACCAAGTGTCACAAAGTCCTAGATGAAATACAAACGATAATTATGATTTGATCCCTTGTCAAACACATATATTATTTTAGCTGCATCCATGCTTAATCTTTGCCAATTCTTTTTCATGGTTATTTCATTAGTATGACAGGGTACGTTTATTACAGTTCATACACAAGGCAACAGGTACTTAAAAAACAAGAACAGAAACATTATGAAGCATTACAATCATAAATAATCACACTGCAGCCAAATTTGAGAAAAAATACAGGTTATTTTTCTTGCACAATGGCCTCTGACATTATGTTGATGTCTTAGTATATAGAGTGAAGATACAATCCTTTAGTTATTTCAGCTAAACAGAACTTTTTAACCTGGAATTGAACATTGTCAGAGTAGAAGCCGGTCAACGTATATATAATTTGGTCTTGTTGCATAATATTTGTCGTTTGCAAACTTCCACAAAGACACAATTCTCACTATCTCGCTTTTGTCCATCTCCAGATGTTGGTGCTTTTTTTCAGTAACAACTGGAGGATTTGTGCCTATTGAATATGTTTTTTTTGTGTTTGGGGAAACTGGAGCACCTGGAGGAAACCTGCACTCCACTCAAAAAGGACCTTCTTGCTGAGAAGCGAGAGCGCAGACAACTCTAAACCGGCCTTTTGTGTGATTTAGTTTAAATCACATATCTAAATATTACCTTAAAGACTCCTTAAATTCCCAGGATCTAAATATAAACAAATTTAACACAGAACTGTAAAAACCAAAGTGCGTCCTACCGTGAGTGGGCTTGCATCTGCACAAACCTGACTCGTCTGTTGTTTGTATGGACCTATAACAATAAAGGTATACAGAACGAGATATACAGTATGTGTAAACTTACAAACAGAAAATGTTCCATGATATGTTTTGACATGACACATTTTAAAAATCAGATACCTGAAGTTTCTTTTTGCAGCTTTGGGACAGGAGCAGGGGGTGTTGGCGGTCAGTGGGGGGTTTGAGGGTGTTGGGGGTCGGTGGTGTCTGTGGTCTCTGTCACGTTTGAGCATGTGTTTGTGGAAAGACTATTGGCACATGTGAATACTTCCGATGTGCAGACTGAGTGCTGGTGTAGCCTTTCTTCATACTTCTTAACGATTGCCATCCCTCACACAGTATCATATTGTGGTTTGGTGATGACTTGAAAAAGCAGAGACATGAAAGATAAGAAAAACTTGTGGAAAGCATTTTCAAATCCCTGACATTGGAGGATGTGGTGACAGCCCAGCCTCCTCCCAAACCAACCAGAAACACTGATAGAACTGCATCCAGACACTATGGGATGGAAGGCGTTTTTTTGTGTGTTGTTTAGAGTAAAAGACATTTAATATCACGGCAATAGTTGTATAATAATGTAGTATTGAACGTAAAACAGACAAAAAGACATGTAAACTACATCTTAGCCAGAATCCACATGATAGAGACATCATCAGACACTGAGGGTCATCCATAGAGCAAATATTAGGAGTGGACTGACCGAGTGTGACATCACCCTAGTCAGAGGTCGATTTGCACATAGGCTGACAGGAGCCAATTTCCTTTCATGGCCATTTGTCTCAACGGGGATAGCTTTGGGTCGTAACCGGGCAGATGTGTTGCTATGATGGTTGCAAGCAGGCATCTGATTGGTTAATGTTTATAGGGTTCATATCTGTATTAACCATATCCAAATAAAGGATCAAAGAGCAATAAACCATATTTTAGCCCAAATGATGAGTGCGGCACAAACGGTTACTGAGCCAGAGGAGTTTACTTTTCGATGTAAGTCTACTTGGTCCACTTCCCTATTGGACTTCACTGAGTTAGCGGATTAGCATTGTCCATCTGTATACAGTCTCTGGGTTCATACCTGCTGATGCCAAGTTCCTGCTTGTTCATGGGGTATTTTCCCATCAGTAAATTGTTGCTCAGTGGGATTCAGGTTATTTTATTGACTTGACCATTACGGAACATTCTATTTCTTGAGCTTTTAATATCATCGTATTGCATCGTTTTGTGCCTTGATTGTTTTTTGTTATCTTTTATTCCGAATCTGGTGCCCAGAGTCCGGACTAAACATGGGGAGGCAGCATTTCAGATTTATGCAGCTAAAATCCGAACTGTCTTCCTGAAAATGTGATACAAGCTGTTTTCATTGTAAGTTTTGCTGTGCATGCAACTGAAGGATTTTGTCTTCAATCTTTTTAATCACTCTGTTTATTTTCTGATTTGAATGCCTTGTGTGATTTTAATGTTTCTTTTCTTGTTTTGTTAATAAGCACTTTGAGACATCTTGTGTATGAACTGTGCTATATTCTGTAGATAAACCACATTATTTCACATAATACTGAATACATTTGTTTTTCTTCCAACTCTGTGTTGTACTGGGCTGGAGCACAGTTGCCTGGCTGCTGCGGGGTTGTCCCGTGAGTGCCGGGGTGTGTCAGAGAGGGCTGGACTGGCTGCTGCTCTTGGGCCCTATGCTCTCCCCTCTCCTGGACTTGCTGCAGTCATGTGGAGGGCATTAACCTGTGCTCTGGGCTCTCTGCTGCTGCTCCAGCCTCTGCACACGCCACGGCTCGCACATGGCCAACACACTGCTCAGGTATGTATCCAAACACTATGTGGAGTATGTCCTTGTGTTGGGATGATTCTGTAATGCATTATCATTTGTCATTTAGACTTTAAAACTGTTGTGACTGGATTCAGGCTGTTCTGAGATTTAAAATGGGGTGTGATATACTATATCTGGTGCAAACAGTGCTATATCACTAATGTGGTGTTTTCATTACACTTTGGGATCTGGTACTGTATACTAGCAACCCTAACCCTATTCACAACAAACCAGTAGCCATGGAAATTCCTTGGTAGCCATGGCTTCCAGCAGCACTCTGGCCAATCACTGTCAGTTAGAACACGTTGATACCAGCATGGCCTGGCGGAACCAGGGCCAAGAGAGACTAAAGAACGACCTGCTATTAGTTAAACAGGACTAGTGGACACGCTCCCAGAGACCGAGAAAGGCTGGTGGAAACGGGGCATATGTCCCGTTGATTAACACCAGAGCTACATTATCACATATATGGAATCTTGTGACACATTTAAAATCAAATGTCTGTATGTAATGTATGTATAAAGAAAGACTCCAACGGTTTACAACTAGGTACATGATGACTATATTAGTGGAGCTGGAGTTGGATGCATGACACTGTGAAAGTGTCTCAATGTGAAGTTTGTGTCAGTGGCATAGGGCCACATAAAATGACACTTCGGGCCGTCATTGGCCCGTGGGCCATAGTTTGGACACACCTGACTATATTTGGACTTAATTGGATTTCAACAATTGTATTTTATTTATCATTTCATTTCCAAACAGCACCAAATCCTAGTGTGTTTCTGACAGTGGTATATTATGTCATCCTTTCACTAATCTTGGATTGAAAAATTGGTGATGATCCAAATTTTATTTATTACCGTAAAACACTTGTGAAGGGAAAGTGTGTGTCAATTTACATTATTTTTCAGATGAGTTTTAGTTGTAACACTGTCCCAGTGTCTCTGCTAAGTGCAGCTAAAGTATTGTTAAAGGAGTATTGTTAAATCATTGCATCAAAGTCCACGTGTGGCTCAGAGACTGCAGCTCCGTGTTGGCAGCTTCTCTGTTGTCTTCTGACAGCTCTGACTCTGAGCGTGTGTGGCCTCTACAGTTTCTGTAGGATTACTCTAACACTTTAAAACACACAGAATTTAATTTACTACAATATTATTTCAATTGGTGAAATGGCATCTCTTACAAGGGGAGATTTGTGGTGACATCAATTATGTGGATTTATGTTGAGCCTTAAAATCATCATAGTTTGTGAAGTTTACTTTGGGGCACTACTTGCAGATGCAGTAGTAGTGGTTTGAACGATTAATGGGAGACCTGGTGTGTGTGTGTGTGTGCGCGTGTGTTTGTGCGTGTGTGTGTGTGCGTGTGTGTGCGTGTGGTTGTGGTCGGAAGGATCGATGGCACATTCCGGTAGCCACACTTTTTTCAGTCTTCCCCAGGGCAGCTGCAGCTACTCTAGTGTATCACCTCTGTGCAGAGAGTGTGTTAATGCCATGTGTCCAAAAAGCGTTATATAAAACCCATGCATAAACCCATTAAAAAGGGGTGAGATATTATAGTCCCGTTTCCACCAGCCCAACTCTACGCTACTATATGCTACTCAGCTCTACTCTAGGTGTGTCTCCATTACACTTTTTTGTATTTGATACTGTATCCTAGCAACCTTCCCACAGCAAACCTTTACATGGTACTTTTTTGAATGATTCACAGCATTTGCTCTTTACTTCTGCTGTGACTCTCTGTACGGCCCTCAATGGAATCCCCTGTCTTTACTGTTATCATTTATCCCTTGTGAGGGGAATGCTCTGCACTTGGCCCCTGCCCTGTGCCACCGGAGGAGGCTGTCAGGAGCAGAGAGCAGCTGCTTCCGACCGCTTGCTGGGACCATGTACAGGTCTTTGTACCTGTAGGCCAGGACCACCTCACCTGAGGAATGTTGCTTCTAGTCTACGTATGTTTGGGATCAAACCCAACTGTGAGGGAGGGCAATTCTCTGCCCCTTTGATCCAAATTAGATTTGCATGTGCACTCTGCATGAGCAGACAAAAAATGTTTGCGTGGTGGATGTGTGCCTCAGGGTGGAGCCATCACCGCCACACTCCTCCCATAATGAACATGGATAATTTACACGAACCAGAACTTGTATGATGTAAGCGCACATGGATCACAGTTTAGTTTGATCCATTTGTAAAGAGCTTTGTGACTCTGTCGGTGAAAGACACTATACACATAAAGAAGACTTACTAATAATGTGGTTCAATAAAAACAAAAAGGCACATGGCTAAAGCATGTCACTTCTCCTTTAATACTTCCACCAGGGGATAATGTAATCAAAATACATTTTAGCTAATCAAGACTTGACTTGTTATTATTTTATTTTCTGTTATTATTATTAGATTGGACCACCCACTTGATAAAACCACAGCTCACTCGGTCACATGTGTCTGTCACCAGGTCCCCATGTGTGGTCCGAGATGAGGGAGATACAGTATGTGGAGGACTATGATTTCTTGAATCCTGCACCACTGCACCCCTTCCTCTGAAACTAAGGCTGATCATTCTCCTGAAATCAGATCTACATGTTCTTAAGGGTTTTCACCACAAAACATAATCAAATTAAAATAACATTTGCATACGTTCCTATCACTTTCCCTGAACTTTTCAGGACGTATGTTTGTGTGAGAATAATACATGCGTTTTCCACAAATGCAATTTCTCATTGCAAAAATGTGTTGGCAACTGAAATTTCAACGGTTCTGTCAAGTCCTCTGTGATAACTACTGTTGTGATTTGGGGCTATACAAGAAGAAAGTTTATTGAATTGAAATGAAATGTGTTTTTTTACTGCATTGGTTATCTGGACACTCAAAGACACATATAGTTTCATTCACAAGTACAGCTGCCCTGGGGCAAACTGACAGAAGCAAGGTAAACATATGTTCCATCGGCCCCTCCAATCATTCACGCACCAGACGCATTCTAGGCTATGTTGGTGAAATGTCTTGCATAAGGACTTCGATGGCCTTCGATCAGGAACTAACACTAAACTAGTTTCATTTAGACAATGTATGATCAGTTTTCTGTCATCAGGGATAGATCCTGAGCCGTGGTCTGGTCATCTCTGTCTGCTTTATGGCCCTGTGTTGGTTCTTAATTTTTATATTTTATGTTTTTATAACTTGTATTGATTTGAGTAGACTGTGCGGTACTTTGTAAACATTGCTTTTAAAAAGAGCTATACAAATAAACATGTGTTATTGTTATCAGTCATAGAGAATATTGTGAATGAGTGTGGCCTGGAGCAGTGGTCAGATTAGCTGGACATGTTCTCAGATGTACACAGCTCAAGTGTCTGTGGCTGCAGAGCTGCTGCTACAATAGCTGCCTGTGTGACATAAAGGAGCTCTGTTCAGTGCTACAGTGGAAGTATGCACCTCCATTATCTCTATTAATACCACATACAGGACGAGCGTCCAGGGGATTATGGACAGTGGTCAGCTTCAAAGGCACGCTACAGCAAGCTGAAAGGACCATTCAGGAGACGCATGTGAGCAGAGCAAGAGGAACATCACCTGCTCAAGCATCAACTACGTCTTTATGTAGTTTTCTCGTTTGATCTACTCCATTATTTGCAAACAATGCAGTCAAAAACGCCACTGGGATCTGAGAGTTTTTTTTAGCTCCATCCATAGCCCCGGATGTACTCCGGTTTCTAAAAACATGTACATAGTGCATGCGCCTCCTGTTCTGTCGAGCCCGCTCCCATCTCTGTGTGGAGTGAGAGGACAAATGCCCAAAAAATAACAATTGTAAACCACTTTGTGACTCTGGTCTGTGGAAGGCGGTATATAAATAAAGATCAGATTCAGATTCAGATTCAGATCAGGATCACGTCACTTCAGTCTCTGCATTACTGCACTGCAGAGGCTCAGAGACTCAATTTAGAATGTAACTTTTATTTTTATATCTCTGAATGGTTTAGCTCCTGGTATTTGTCTGAATTGGTGTCCCATCATGTCTCAGATAGAACCATGCGCTCCTCTGCCCAGCTGCTTTTTGGAAGTAACCTTTCTGTGGCAGTAGACCTCATGCTCTGGGACAGATCTGCTGAGTCACGAGATAAATTTAAGAATTTGTTAAAAACACATGTCCTTTTGCATGAATGATTTTATTCCTTGCAGTCTATAAATTGTCATAAAAGTTGTAATAATGCCCCGTTTCACTCTACTTTACTCTGCTCGACTCAGATACCTGGTTGTGTAAGTATCTGGTACCGTAGCTCACTGGCAGCACTCTGTGGCTGAGTGGATAGCACTCTCGCCTCTCAGCAAGAAGGTCCTGGGTTCGAATCCCGGCCGGACCAGGGCCTTTCTGAGTGGAGTTTGCATGTTCTCCCCGTGTCTGCGTAGGTTTCCTCCGGGTACTCCGGTTTCCCCTACCACTAAAAACATGCACAATAGGTCTGGCATGCGCCTCCTGTACTGGCGACCCCGCTCCCATCTCTGTGTGGAGTGAGAGACAAATGCCCAAAAATAATAACAATTGTAAACCGCTTTGTGACTCTGGTCTGTGAAAGGCGGTATATAAATAAAGATTACTTACTTACTTACTTACTGTGGAACACTTGAGTACCGGACCTGGTACTTGTTAGAAAGGGCCTGTGGAAAAGCTCCTAATTATTTATTTTATATATTTTCAACTTAAGAAATTATTTCTCTTTTAAATTATGAAAAGTATATATTTGTTATTCCGAGGTCTATTCAAAAATTCCTATCATGAAGGTTTGATTATCTATGAAGAATTCTATATATATATATATATAAAATTCTATCCATCCATCCATCCTCTTCCCCTTAATCCAATTCTGGGTTGGGGGATGGCAGTCAGAGCTGCACCCAATACACCTAGAACCAGCCCCTCACTGATCCTCCTGCAGGTGGTGAGTCCACAGGAGCTGAGATATTTTCAGCGGGGGCTTCAGGCAAAGTAGGGTTAAGTGTCTTGTCCAAGGACAAGACACTTAACGACAGCAGTCATCAGTGGGAGTCGTGAAGTAGGTCTTACGGTGGGCCTCGAACCCATGACCTTCAGGCCCAAAGGCCAATGCTCTACCAACTGAGCTACTGTCACCCTGTTGCCCTATATAATTCTAATGATGTATAAAGGAGCCCTCTGCACTGGGAGCAGTGGTCGGCTGTGGCTGTGGGGGTCAGACTCTGGTGGGAGCCTGGAGCTTTTTGTTTGTTATTATTAGTAGTGGGGAATGAATGCATGATACAATACTAGATTTGGCTTTTAGTGAAGATATTGGAAAATGTATTGGATTGGTGAGACTATTCTATTACATCAGATTTTCAACTGATCACTGGATGATACAGTATTCACCATTACCATATATTAGGAGTGAATTGACCGTGACATAACCATACTGTTAGCCTTGAAGGGATATACGAGGATTATCCAAAGTTTTAGGAAAGAACTGCCCTCTCTACTTTTTGAAAAAACTGCAGATGCACATGCCCTACCTGCTCCTGAGAGGGAACGCCTACTAAAACGTTTAAAAAGTCACTATCGACATCACTCACACAAGTTCACTTTCCAAGCATATTTGCACTTTTTCCACAATGTCAGACAATATAGACATAGGTAACATTTACTGGAAGTGATTTGAAGTAGATTTCTCCAAATAGAATGACAAACTTTACCTGTCAAGTAGAAACTTTGCGACTGAAGTGTCAGTGAGAAGCTCAACCTGTGCTTTCAGCGCACGCCATGTGTGAAAGAATAAGCCAAAAACACTCTGGTATTGTCTGAGCATGTAGCACGGCCATATCACCAGAATGATTGACAATTAAGCAGGACCAATAGTCTCACAGAGGTCACTAAATCGCAAGCCCAAAATTGTGAGAACTGTCACTGAAATAGAGGAGAGCACTTTTCAACGTAAGTCAAAAGGAGCCAGAGTTAGTTGGAGAAAACTTTATCCTTGAGCACTTCCCTAATGGGCTTCACTGAGCTTGTGGGTTAGCTTTGTCCATCTGAATCGGCCATTCAGATTCAGACACAGTCCTACACCAGTGTACACGTGAGTGAATGTGTGCTCAGACATGTACAGTGATATTTAGAGTGGGTTTAAGGAGCAACATTTTAATACATGGTTTAAATAATCTAATTATTTAAACAGCTAAAGATAACAAATGCATTTCATAATTTATATTTCGTGCATCGGTGCAATTACGCCATGCAATACTAAGAAGAGTCACACGGGGGCGCAGCGACAACATGGGCAGAACCGTAGGGCCACCGTTATTATTATAGATCCATGAGGGCAACGCTTGAAAGAGGCACAAGACAAACGCAGTGGTCTTCTTTCTTCCTTTCTCAGGTTGGTAAAACATTAGCTGAAGCACATGAAATGGTACTGGTGTTGAGTTAATTTATGTGTGAACATTGGTAAAAGCGATTAGCGTTAGCTGTGTAAATGCGGGCATGCTAGCGCTAACATGCTAAAGGTAGCGGCCATATACAAAGCTAACTATTAAGATTAGAAAAAAATAATCTGTAAATTTAAAAGTAAATTGGACTCATGCAGATGCAGTGAACCTACAGTATGAACAGCAAAATGAACACGTAATAATTGTTTCAGGTTCATGAGCAAGTTTATAACGGACTAGTCGCCATTGTAGACGCCATTTTGAGTTGTTACATAAGTGTTATAAAGATTATTAGATTTTTTTTTTTATTACATTATTTCTTTCTACATGGTAATAAAACACATTTTAGATTTGACTATAATTTGGGATATGGGAAATAATAAAATGTAGGACAATATTTCAGTTGTATATTCCTGGCTGTAGGTGGTTTCGAACCTCTTGCTGTGACGCCACCCTGCAGTGAAATGTTAAGTTAAATGCAAAATAAATCTTGCAGTTCCATGAGGCACAAGACAAACTCATTGGTCTCCTGTTTGCCTTTCTCAGGGGGGCATGGGAGGGGCGCAATGGACATGGTGTGGGCATGGCGAGGCTGCTGACGCTGCAGCTGCTGACTTTGGCAGCTCTCACACTGGAGCTCTGACTGCTGCTAACCTCAGTGTTGTGTGTGGATGCTTTAAAATAAAGGGGCTTTAATGGAATATTTGACCAAAGATGAGACATGACGTCATCTGCCCAGTATTTACACTACCGGTATTCTGAACTGACAGTAGTCTCCTTCATTTCAAACGTAATCACAATTATTTTTGAGTTTTCGCCAATTTTACAACATTGTTGCTCAATGACAACAGACTTGGAGTTGTTTTGATCTCTTTCCACATTAGTAGCATAAACGTCTGGCACAAATATGTCCTCTCTCACCTTTTGTCTAAATGCTGTTTTCAAACTTGTTGCACGCAGATGAATCTTGATATTTAACATTCTAAAGGTAAACATAAACTGTATTTAGACTGACAATGTTAACCAACAAGCTCAATAGGGAAGTGCCCATGGACAAAGCTTGGCTTACTGCTAGCTCTAGCTCCAATTGACTCCTAAACGCCATAGATGTCAGTCTATTTCTAATAGAAAATGTATCTTTTTAAATCAGAAGTAACCTATTTTTTGGAATTCCTCCACTCAACTGCTTTCTAGTTGAGCATACCATGTTGGAATTGGATACCATGTTGGTAATACTACAGTAATATTTTATCACCAATGTGTATAAAGTGATGAGTGATGTAGTGTGAAGCGTCTGAGTGTCTGGAAAAGCACTGTACAAGTATAATTTAACAACCAAAAATCTGAAAAAATACAACCTGAAGTATAATATCGCAAATAAGTATACTATTTACAAATAGCGAAATAACAACAAATCACGGCTAAAATGGGAAAGACAAGAATAATAATTTCTCATAATAATTATTAGGAGCAGAACGAAGTGTGACATCACCATAGTGTTAGCCATCTGAGATGCAGGACATCTCGTTACACTATAAGTTTTTATCCACAAGCTGTTATCAGTGTGAACAGAGCACTTTAATTATTTGCACTTGTTTTGAAACTGTTTTAGTCGATCGATTTCACAGTGACATTTGTTTACTGTTTTATTTGTTTTATTTCTGTCTTTTAATGTTGTTTTATGACTGTATTTGTCTGTGCACACTGGAGACTTTTTGCTAATGTATTCCAATGTGGTGTTTTTACTGCAAATGGCAAATAAACTGAATCTGAATCTGAATCTTAATGCGGAAGAAGCCGATTTGAACATAATCTTGCTGGAGCCAATTTCCTTATATGAGTATTTCTTCCATGGATAGTTGGTAGGGCAAGCTGGAGTTTCCCCCATGAAGGCATCTGTTTGTCACTATGTGAATGGCTCATATCTGCATTTACAAAGAAATGATCAAAATGTAATAACAGGATCACAGAGACTGAAGATTTTTAGGACCAAAATTATGAGTGTGATACCAACTTGGAGTTTGCTTTTCAACATGTCAATAGGAGCCAGAGAGAGTTGGATCAAGGCTTGAGCAAAAATTGAGCTAGCAGGTTAGCATTGTCTATCTAGTCTATCTAAATACAGTCTATGTTCTTTCTCAAAAAACTATGTAATAATAAGCGATGGCTCTTTTTGGTGTTTTTTCCCAGAATGATCTGCTAAGTTACAACGATTCTTCTCCAAACAAACATGATGTGACCCAAGGCCTTGAAGCAGACTCTGGTCCTTCAGCTCTGAGCAACTCCACCCCTGTACTGGAGCTGGATGAGACCGAACACGTCCAAGCACCTGTCACTGTGGAAGAGACACATGAACCTGACCTGCACATGGACAATGTAACACGCGTGGACACAGATTCAGAGATCCCGGAGCTGGACAGTGGAAACCTCTTGTATGGAGCTGACCACAGACTATACAGAGTCCACCGAGGACCTCCAGGTTTCATGGGACTACCAGGAAAACAAGTGAGTGTCTCATCATAATTGCACTTCCAAGGTGATTTAAAGATTACACAGAAGCCCTGTTTCCACTAGCCCTACGCTACTCTACTCTACTCTACTCTACCCTACCCTCCTCTCCTCCACTCTACTCTACTCTACCTGGTTGTGTTTCCATTACACTTAGTATCCAGTATCCTTGTAAATTCCTTTGTAATCATGGCTCTCTGTCAGTTAGAACACTTTGGTACCAGCCGGGAACTAGCAGGACTAGAAAAGTATCTGGTACCAGTTAAACAGGGCTGGTGGGAACGATCTCAATCAGGATAGAGTAGAGCCGAGTTGAGTAGAGGGTGGTGTAAACAAGGCTTCAATAGTCCTATGTAATGCCATTTTGTTTTTATTTTTTATTTTCTGTTTTTTAGTATATACTCTGAATGTGTTTGTATTCTTCTTACGTCCACCACATCCACCCCTCTCTTATTCTGTTGTCCACTTTCTCTCTGGACTATTGGAACTTCCTTCTGTTTGATCTCCCTCAAAAACCTCTCTATAAACTCCATGTGGTGCCACAGCTTGCATCCCACGTTCATCCAACAGCACCTCCAAGGCTACTACCTCTCCTCCCTCCTCCACGTCTCATCACAGCATTTGTCCACTCTGTTCCTGATCTCTGGAACTCCCTTGACCTCCACAACACTGACACTCCCACACCACATTGTCAAGAGGATAAACTTTCAAATAGAAGACAGGAAAGCTAAACTAGGACTGGACTAATGCAGTGTTGCCAACTTAGCGACTTTGTCGCTAGATTTAGCGACTTTTCAGACCCCTATAGCGACTTTTTTTTCAAAAAAGCGACTAGCGACAAATCTAGCGACTTTTTCTGGTGTTATTGGCGACTTATCTGGTGTTTTGGCGACTTATCTGGTGTTTTGGAGACTCGTGAAGCACGTATTGTTCTGCTGTCCTCAACGTGAGCCCCTCCCCCGTCCCAAAGCACTTACAGGCGGCCAGTCTCACAGTAGCCTTGCGCAGCAGTCCCAGCTACAGTCTATGGGCGGAGCAGAGAGAGAGAGAGGAGACTCAAAAGCACAGGAAGTTTTCAGGCTGCTGCAGACTGAACTTCAGCTCCACCACCACCACACATCCAAAGCTCCCCGGCCACTCCTACCACCGCCACCCCCCACTACCCCCCACTCCATCCGCGGCAGCTCTGTCCGTGACTCTGTTTTCTCTCAGTAGTGGGTCACATTAAATCATTTGTTATGCCAAACTATGAAAAAAAAAAAAACTTACAAAAATAAACCTAAGTAACTCTGCCAGAGTGTGTCTTTTGGGTCACTTTGCCGGTCCCAAGCCCGGATAAAGGAGGAGGGTTGGTTGTAGAGCTAGCAATTTCACCCTACATAACAATCTTTTGATTACATTTGCTGTTATAACATTTAACAATACAGGACAAAACTGATGTGTGTAATGTGGATCTAGACAAAGCATTAAAATCATTAAATGTTGTTAATGTTGAAATTATTTTTGTACATTTGTAGTTCTAAACATATTTAGGGTGTTTTTACTCACTTTTGTCTCTCCCACGACCTTATTCCTCTCTCCTACAGCGTCCGTTACAGTTATTTGCAAATGGCAATGACATCAATTAGGCGATGACGTCATTTAGCGACTTCTAGCGACTTTTGGGACAGCCAATAGCTACTTTCCTTACTGAGGAGTTGGCAACACTGGACTAATGGAACGCTAAAGCTCTGGGGCTCTCCAACTTAGTGACAAGGGCCGTGCTCTGTGTTTGAGCTGCCTGGGAGCATGATATTACACACTATTACAATAATAACATTACTGCTACATACAAGACATACAATAAAAAACAAAACGATACAATACAATACAATACATTTTATTCTTGTACAGCCCTAAATCACAACAGCAGTCATCTCAGAGGACTTAACAAAACCATTGAAATCACCAAAACAGTATTTTTTTGTGGTATGCAGTTGTAGTAACCGAGGCAACTGTTAAATACATTTTTAAAAGCCAAAGGTTGTCTCAAACCAAAGTTTTCTTAGAATAAAACTAAAAGCAGGTGTTACAACCTAAGTCTTCTCACATAGAAGTGTGTTATAAGTAGGGCTGCACAATATATCGAAAAAATATCGTTATCGCGATATTGGTGCATGCAAAATCCATAACGGAAATATCCGCGATTTTTTTTTCTTCTTCCTTTATTAAAGACAATAAAACAGACAACCACATCAACATTCAACTAGAACAACAAACAAACAAAAAAGTATATACATACAGTACAGACCAAAAGTTTGGACACACCTTCTCATTCAAAGAGTTTATTTTCATGATTATGAAAATTGTAGATTCACACTGAAGTCATCAAAACTATGAATTAACTCATGTGGAATTATGTACGTACTAAAAAAGTATGAAACAAGGTAAAATATATCTTATATTCTGGGTTCTTCAAAGTAGCACCGTTTGCTCTGATTACTGCTTCACTCTTGGCATTCTCTTGATGAGCTTCAAGAGGACCTGAAATGGTCTTCAACAGTCTTGAAGGAGTTCCCATGATGCTTTGCACTTGTTGGCTCCTTCACTCTGTGGTCCAGCCCCAGAACCATCTGGATTGGGTTCACGTCCGGTTACTGTGGAGGTCATCAGGCCCAGCACCATCACTCTCCTTATTGGTCAAACAGCCCTTACACAGCCTGGTGTGAATCTACAGTCAATAGTCATGAAAAGAAACTCATTGAATGAGAAAGTGTGTCCAAACTTTTGGTCTGTACTGTACATGTATTTGAATGTCATTAATGTTGTGCTTATATTTTGTAATTTATCTCTTGCGTTTCAATGCAGATGGCAATTTTAGGTGAAAGACAAAAATATTGCAATAATATTGTTATCGCAATTAGGAGTGTGACGATATATCGATTTTTCGATATATCGCAATACTTTCTCCTGCGATCGATTATTGATATGCTATTTTATTTTTATTTTCAGTTAGTATCAATACTTGATAAATGCCTACATTACAAATCTCCATTCCATTTATCATGAAATAAAGTGTATTTTTTCACTTAACATTTTTCTATTTTATATATGCCATATATTGGCATATGGTATATTGCCGACCAATATATCAATAATCGTCATATCATAATATAATCGTTATCGTAATATAATCGTTATTGTGAGCTTTGTATCGCGTATCGTATCGTATCGTGAGGTACCCTTAGGTTCCCACCCCTAATCGCAATACTAAACACTCATATCGAATATCGCACTAATTTCCAATATCGTACAGCCCTAGTTAAAAGAGTGATTGTTCATCATTATTTCCACGACTGGGACCGTTAGGACCTGTGTGGACCTGTGGGTCTGAGACTGTGATGACCAGAGTAATGTCTGAAGTCGTTCAACAAATCACAGAAATGACAATAAAGGGTCACAAGTCTTGCCTCAAATGTTGTCAAAAGTATTATTTGTGCCCTATTTATTGTATTATTGATCAGAACTATCATCTCAGACGACGTTATGTTGATCCCAGAGTGACCGCACTGCCGTCACTTTAAAAATCCTCCTCCCTGTTGAAAAGACAGGGACTTTGAAAAAAGACTTTTTCAAAGTCTATAAGGCGTACGCTGCATTGAAAATAGTTTTCACTCAAAATAAGAGTGAAAGTAAGAGTAAGAGTATGCCACGCCCCCTTTTGGTCGTGTGGTTGCAACCCAGCATTATCTTTTTATCTCTGACAAAATCCAGAACAATAGTAAATAAGTGCCACAGGACCTACAGCCCCATCAGTCTCTCTCCTCCTCTACTTCTTCAGTAATTATGTTTTTAACAGTTTCTTTAGGATTGAACGTGTGAACCATCTTTGTGTGTCCAAAAAAGGGTATATTAAACCGAGGCATTATTATTATTATTATTATAGTTATTTAAATGTTTTAAATGTGTCTTTTATCGGATTATATACTGATCCAGGGCTTTATCTTTTCTCTGTTTCACATCAAATTCTGAAATAACTGGTGCCTCAGGGGTGATGTTTCTCTGATCTTTTTTTCTTTTCTTATGTTTCAATGATTTATTGCATTATGATCCTGAGAACCACACGGCTACATTTAAACCCACTGGAACACTTACTACAAAGCTGTAGAGCAGCTTTGTTTTAAATCTGCTCTACATCTTCATCTTAGGGGTGTTAGAAGTTTATAAGCGTATGGTTCATTTCACCCCTTTTCAAAACCTGGAGTCCTGGTTCCACAGCCTGTCTGTCTGCGTGAGCGGATCCCTCTCTGATTCTGGACATTTCTTGAGATTTCTTTCCGGGAATGGTCACCTAACACGCTCCCTACGGAACAGTGGCTCCTGTGTCTTTGTTATTGTATTTCCTTAATTGAATTTAAAGCACAAATAGTTCCAAATTCAAATTCCTTTATTTATCTGTGAGGAACATCATTTGCAAATGGAACACGAGTTAATTTCCATAAAACACAGAGACACAAGGTATAGAATACAAGTACAATAAAAGTGCAGAAAATAATCTGGACTGAGACAGGGAGGAAGCTGGAGTATACCTATGATGAAAATCACAAGCATCTTTCATCTTTTTAAGTGGGAGGACTGGCACAATTGTTGGCTGACCCAGTACTTTTTAGTCCCACTGTATCTGATTTCAGGAAACATGAGCAGGAGGTTCACTGTAATATCCACATAACATTCATTATAATTAAGGCTGGCTTTGGTAAATGGTGCCAATCCTTCATCCTGCTTTGCTTTCTTCACCTAAATTACAGACCAAAGAGCTTCAGGCCACATGCAGTCAATAACGTTTGGAAGAGCCGTAAACGTTGCCTTTTCCGTGGTCAGCAGTCACACAGTTCTTACATTGAAGTCTAAATAATTGATCCACTTTGGTATAATAGTAATGCGCGTTATTTTTATTTCAGGGATGTCCTGGAGTACAAGGACCAATCGGATTCAAAGGAGACAAGGTAAATCACCCATACAGCGACTGCTACGATGATGTAGATTAGATTAGATTTGATTTGACTTCGAGCCATACATCTTCTCCACACTGCTGTAATCATCTCGCTTTTAGCAACCGTCTTAGCGACATGTCTGCCCCTGTTGCAGCGACCCCTGTTGAAGTAAATGCCATGGAACAAATGTTTAACAAATGTATTTAGATATAGGGGTAACAACGGCTCAGTTGGTAGAGCATTGGCCTGAAGGTTGTGGGTTCGAGCCCACCACAAGACCTACCTCATGACTCCTACTGATGTCTGCTGCCGTTGTGTCCTTGGGCAAGACACTTAACCCCACTTTGCCTGAAGACCCGTTGAAAAATCAAGGCTCCTATGGACTCACCACCTGCAGGAGGATCAGTGAGGGGCTGGGGCTTTGTGGACTGGGTGCAGCCCTGACTGCCACCCCCAAGAACCAGAAATGGATCAAGGGGAAGAAAATGGATGGATGGATGGATTTAGATATAGTTAAATACAATTAAAACAAATCATCTCATTCTAAAATCACAGCCTTTTTCACTTTTTTGGTTCAGCAATAACTGAATAAAACCTGGAATTAATATTCAAGTTTTTTGTCCTATAAAGATCATAATTTGGTCTAAATGCCTTCATAATGTAAACAAATAAATATCTGTTTTCCTCCCTATCTTTGATCTAAAAGAAAACCACTTTCATAGTTTCCGCCTCTGATGAATCATTGTACATCAAACAATAAGAAAAAATAGAAACAGTTACAAAACAATTAGTATCGGATACAGTAGATCAGGGGTTGGTCAGGGGCCAATTTTAAAAACATAAGAGCTGGTTGGAGCCAAAAGAATAAAAGTGGTATAATATATATATATATATATATATATATATATATATATATATATATATATATATATCTTCATATTTTCGTCCGTATTGCATTTGACATAAGTTTGGATATTATTTTATCTTATGTTTAGATTCAACCAGAACTGGGCCAAATATTGAGAAGATATGAATTGTAAGATTGATCGTTAAATATAAGGCATAATAAGTCAGTAACTATAGCTTATAATTACATTTCCATCCATCCATCCATTTTCTACCCTTTAATCCATTTCTGGGTCAGGGGGGTGGCAGTCAGAGATGCCACCCAAGTCTCATAGCACCAGCCCCTCACTGACCCTATGCAGGTGGTGAGTCCACAGGAGGAGGACATTTTTACATTTTAGTTAATATTTTAGAACATATTCAAATACATGGTTATTTTCCTGAGATAATAGGGTTTAAAATGTAGTATAACATGCCATGGCTGAAAACGATATCACAATATAAGTGATTCATATCGGTCAATATTGATAATTATTGATTGCTGTTTTTTTTTTTTTACCTAAATAAATATATTTGTCGTGTTGGCTAACACACGTTAGCAGCCCTTGTTTACAGTCACGGGGAGTGAGAACTCACAAGCACAGTGTGCCCCATTGTAAGCCCTGGTTTAGCTCCTGTTTTCGCTGTTTTCTTGTGTCCCCGTGACGGCTCAGTTCGGCTCTCTGATAGCCGCACATGCTTCCCGAGGATAAAGTTAATCTCTTGCTTTTGGCGCATGCCTCGAGTCGCGGTACCCACTGCCTTTGCCGGGCCGCACATGCTGTTCCTTGCATGGACGTGCATAACCATTGACACAGCATTGAAACACAATCGATCCATGGACGCGCACGGTGCGGTTGTGTTTTTTTGCATTCCCCAGAATTTTTTGCTGTTCATGCTCGGCCATGATAGGTCGAGAAGCCTCTGCCTACGTCCCCCAGAATGCTGTGTGCTTCTGACTCGGCTTTACTTCCTATTTTTTTCTAAGGTAGTGAAGTTAAACTATCGAACATTCTATCAACCCCATTTTCTATTGATATCGAACACGTGTCTATCACGATATATATCGTTATCATTTTATCGCCCAGCAATATACCATAGCCTCTTGAAGTAAAGCCGCCATGGTCATAATGCTGTGTTCCCTATAGGGCTCCTCTGGTCGTCCCGGAGTGGAAGGGCAGCGTGGACACCCGGGACCCCCTGGTGAGCCTGGTTTGCCTTCTCTGTTTCTCTGGAGGAACACGGAGGAGGACTGGGCTGCGTTTAAGGTGAGGGATCCTGTAATCACGTCGGCCCCTCCCACCACTACTCACTCACTCACCACATCCATACTGCTGCAGGTTTCGGGGAGAGGGGGATCTGGAGTGCTGTAAATGTAGCTTGTATTAGTAAATGAGAGAATCCTTTGACAAACATCTTTGGGGAACTATAGGGATCTGCAAACCCACCGATGCTCCTGGTCCTGCTGATTTTAGGTTTCACAAATAGCTTAGTACCTCTACAAAGCTGGTCCCAGAGATTTTTATGGGTTTCAGATCAGGAGAAAGTACAGGGCGCTCAGTTTCCTGCAGCTGCTCTGTAAAGTTGTGACCTCCATGAGGGTCGTCGTTCATAAAGATGAAATGTGGCGTTAATGCAGAGGCACATTGTCTCAGTTAAGGTTTTGTCAAAAGTACAAAACACGTTGGACGTATTGAGGTCACCTATGAAAACTCTTTTTAAAGAGGTTTGTCCTTTTAAAATAGAATTTTGCATTATCTATTGGCCATTAAAAGTTCTGGGCTAGTTCACACTAAAGGGTACAGAAGTGTGACAGAAGGTCAAAAATTAGATTTGAATAATCAGATATATATTATGTTTTTCATTTAATCCAAATACCTCTTCAGTCCATTGGTAGTTGCTAGAGAACTGTTTTATATATTAGTCACATGATCTATAGCGGCTGTTTAATGTGATCCACAGAGTAGAAACATTGGTATTACTTTCATATAGTAAACCAAATAATTGTGATACCAGACAATAATTTAAGAAAAAAAAAAGTTTTTAAAAGAATTACGGAAACCGTTGCATCCGTTACACATTATTCAAGGGTCATTTCATTTTGTATTATTGTTTTTCAAAATTGATTCCTTTTTAAATGAAGTTATTTACTGATGTTGTGTTAATGTTCATCTTTGTCACTGAGAACATTTTATTTACTGAGTCACTGAGTCACAGAAGAAGTATTAAATCAGTGGCTGATCTGGTCTTTTAACATTTCGCAAAAAAATTATTTGTCAATATTTTCTTTTGATTTTATCCACTCTATCTCTTTTATATGTCTGTGTTTGAAATGTATATATTTTTCCAAACATGATAAAAAATTTAGTTTTTGAGTTATGACCTTTTGGTGTCCGGATACTATAATTGAGACTTTACTGTGAACACACCCTTATAATGAGATTTACTTTGTTGTGTTTTAGAATGTGAAATGATATTCTGAGTAGAATATATATGGGGAAACAAGTATCAATATAAAACATGCTATCCACCTGTAAACATTTACGTTTTAACTAGGGCTGGGACTTTAACGCGTGAGTTAAGATTAATTAAATACACAAAAATTAGCACGTTATAAAAATTGACGCATTTTAATCATATTTATTTCTGTGATTTTTAAGCAGGCAGGCGCGAGGGCGGCTATGTGAGCAGTGGGGTCCTTCGGAGAAAACTCTAGGTCAAAACAACTGTAGCGGTGTCTAAATCCGAATGTGTATTCAGTCAGTCTTCAATGGTATACTAAAAATCCATGTGAAAAAAATTACTTCTCAGGTCAAATATTTATATGCAATTAATTAATGTCAAAGCCTCTAACTAATTAGATTAGTTAGATTAATTAGATTAATTTTTTTAATTGAGTCCCAGCCCTAGCTTTAACATTCTCTGGTCTCTCTCCTTCCTTCTTTGTCTTCTCTGTCTCCTCTTTCCTTCGCTACTTCCTTCTTTTCTTTCTCTCTCTTCTGCTCCTCGCGCAGAAGAGACCCTCATTAGTCAATGTTTCATATGATAAAGTCCCCACTCAAAATTGTCCATCTTCTTGACTTCTGTCTCCCGTTTAACTCTCCATCTGAGAGAGTCCTGAGAGCATCAGGTTGTGCTGCGAGTTGTTTCACTTTCCCCAAAGTTTTTTTTGGTGACATTGAGGTTTTGAAAGAGTCACAAGCAATAGGGCACTGTCCGGTTTCCGAAATGTGCTAAAAATAGCTCAGATGACTTGCGCATGCGCGCATGTTTCGGACAAACATTGTGTACGACTCGTTGAATACTACTGTGTTCTCCACATACGCGTGTGTATTTACTTGGGCTAAATCATTGAATCATGGTGACAACAAAACACTGCAGTTATGGTGCTTGTCGGAGCAATTTGAGATACTCTGAAAAGGACTATATGAAAGCAGTAACATTCAACCCGATCTGGACCGTCTGGACCGCTGTATCAGGTCCGTCTGAGCTCTTCTGAATGTAGTTAGCACAAACTTTCTCTTTATACCATTTACCCCTTCAATCCATATTAGTATTGTTTGTCCTAATCCAGAATGTATACAATTCTCACACCTGAAGAAAGATGAGAGGGATTTTTTCAACTCCGTGACTATCGGAAAATAAGTACAGACGAAGCGCGTCGGGCTCCGCTTATTATACGGCTTTGTACCAACTGAACACACAAAATTGACTTCAGTCACTTTTATTAATGCCGAAAGGTTTATTTAACTGACTGCAAAGAAAATAGTTCCCAAAGGTTTTCCCGTGGCAGGCGAGTAACAGTGAGGCTGGTTCACCTACTTAAAAAAGTATTTTTGTCATGAAAACCATTACAGATAATTCTGAAAACCTTCGTGCACGTGTGTTACGAATTTATGTATAATATATTCTCCCATTAACATTTAAATGTGTTGATTGATTGTCATTTGTGTTTACTGAGTGTGGCTAGCTCCGATAGTTTCTCTCAGAGACAGTAGTGGCGTAGCCCGTTGTAACCCCATGGATCTATTATAATATCGGCTGACTGTAGCTAACTAATGATCAAACTAATTACAAAGTGGACAGTGCAAAAAACAACTTGATAAATGGAAGTTAATCACAGCAAAACAAACAAAGAAGGCGCTAGCATTGAATTTAAATTACTAGATAATGTTAGCATAATCCTCACCATTACCTTTTTATCAATTCAAACTTTCTACCAGTTACAGACCACGACATTCAAGCCAACGTTTTAATTGGTCTACACCAGGGGTGGCCAACCAGTCACAGACTAAGAGCCAATTTTTTTACTGTGTTACAGCAAAGAGCCGCATCATACAAATATGCAATACATAAACATCACCCCATCCCTTACACACGCACACTTGCGCGCACACACACACCTCTGCTCAGACAGATTTATTGTAAATGTCATCAACATGATAATGACAGAAATTGACTTGTACAGTACTAAATGGCTGGACTCGACTCTCCCTGGTTTGCGGGCGCTTCCACCGCTCGCTTCAGCCGCTCCCTGGTACTTTTTATTAATGCTTTGGCCCTGGTTCTAACCGGGCGAGTCGATACCAGAACAATCTCACGTCAGCGAACATCAATTATGATTCCGAAATGAAAAAAGCAGGCAGAAACACAACTGTCTTTATCGAACCATGATTCACTCTCTGACTGCATTTAGCAAAAGATATAGATTTGACACATAACACCAACACCACTTTAGCTGATTTAGAACCACAGACACATGTTCAGTGTAAGACCAGATACTTTCGCATTTGATTGAAGACAGACACTCACCAGGCAGAGTTGGCTCATCTCCTGGTGTAGCTGGTGCTAGCTGGTTTTAGCATGTTAGCCGGTGTTAGCTGGTGTTAGCCGATGTCCGTAAATTTAATCCATTTGGTCAAACCACCTCCAGACTTTTCGGTTCTGCCTCTACTTCTGCTGCTGTGATCTTTCATGTTCGTGGGAATCATTCTGCTCCGTCCTTAGCGCTAGCTCCACAAACACCTTCTGGTTTCTGGTGGAACCATCGAGCTCACGCTGTTGTCCTCTCCTCAAACTGAGGAAGGTGATGCCCTCATCCAGCGACCAAGGAATTGTTTTCCGTACGGACGTCATGGGTCGAGGCAACGTGTTGTTTGTTAAGATATTTGCAACAGCTGAGGCAGCAGCTGCAGTGATTGACAACGCATCTGACCAATCAGAATTGACGTTCGCCAACGTCAGATTGTTTTGGCGGCCCGGGTAGTGGAGTGGGGTCGGCCTTTACTATGGGTCAGAACTACATAGGGAATGAATGGCAGCACCACCACCGAGGCGTTTTTGACGCTTGTCGTGTGAAAGCCCAAGAGCCGCACGGAACCAGCCGAAGAGCCGCATGCGGCTCACGAGCCGCGGGTTGGCCACTCCTGGTCTACACTATGATCCCTGATGGTTTGATGGTGGAATTTTGTTCCTGGTATATCATTTTCGTCTAAAGTGACAAGTGGTATTTGATTCATTTCGGCAGTGTTTGTCCGAAACATGTGGCCGGGAGTTGACAGGCGGCGGGGGCGTGTCTTAGTGACGTCATTCAGATAGTTCGCTATAGTCAGAGTTAAGGGGGCGTGGCTTAAACATAGATCAATTACACTATTGTATATAGAAAGCAAAAAGGAAATGGTCCGAGGTACTCTGACTTAACCTAAAAATCCTTTAATGTGGACGGGACATAGCAATAGTCTTCATCAAGGCCACAGAGAGCACCTGACTTCTCAAATTTACCCTCTATTATAATTTTTGATCCCTGTATGGCAGAAGGGGTGGAGTTACATGATTGTGCCAGAGGTTCCTGATACAGTATTAGTGTGGACGGATCTAAATACAAGTCGGTTTGTGATGAACAACAAAGTTGTTCTGTGAGTAATGTATTTGAATTTTTAAACACTACTCTTGCTCTTGATCCTATTCCCACATAAAGCTATTTTTAAATTTCCTGACAGCTGAATTATCCATCCATATTTTTCCATCTCTAAAACACTAACAGTATAATTAGTAGGAAATAGAACACATGAGGCCATTGTGTACGAGCCAAACCCCCAAATTATATGTTAATATGCAAAATCTAAATGTCAAACTGTTATATCTCCAGTTCACTTCACTTTCAAAAGGCTTCAATTCAGTGGGCGGCACGGTGGCACAGTGGTCTGGCAACCACCTCCTGTATGGACCCTGATCTGTGAAAGGTGCCATATAAATAAAGATGACTTCA